CGATCCAAACTGTCTCCAACGAGATGGATCTCGACAGCCAGCAACCTCCGGAAGGTCCTCGCGGCTGGATGTGCTGGGAGTTGAAATCCCCTCGCCTGAAGGGGAGATGGCTAGGGTTGTGGGAATGGCTGTTGTGATGGCTGGATCTTGGGGGTGTGGGGATGCTTCGATCGAGGATACACGAGGCCCCCTTCTCGCCTACCTGACCTTTTCCCCTTTTCAGTGCCATCGAATTCACCGGACGTTAGCCGACCAGTTCAAGTATGCCCTTGTGTGGGTAAGTGTTTGCTGAAGGAGGAGGGGGCAGGCTGGTCTTTTATTCGTAGCTGCAGACCCATGGCCAGAATTAGGGTCTCAAGCCTGGCTGGGGGCATCTAGAGGAACAATCTAGGGCGCAGGGCGATATTCTAGTGCCGTGATGGCAAACCTTTGGCACGGGTGCCAGAGGTAGCACGCATGCATGCGTGTGCCCGCAGTTTGGGCACTCGGTGTCTAAAAGGTTCGCCATCACTGTTCTAGCGCAGGGGTCTCCAACCTTGGCAATTTTAAGACTTGTGGACTTCAACTCCCAGCTTTGCTCGCTGAGGAACTCTGGGAGTTGAAGTCCACAAGTCTTAAAGTTGCCAAGGTTGGAGACCCCTGTTCTAGTGCTCCTTGCAGGTGGAAATCCAGCACAGCAAGGGCAAACTTTCCATCCAACTTCACTCCCGAGGGTCCCCTTTCCTACTGGCAGTGAACTGTTTGTCCCAGGAGAGACTTTCAGGAAGCGTCTCCTGGTCCTCTCCATATTCTGCTGTAGAGCAGCCTTGCATAATGTTCGCGAGAAGGGCAGCAGAAACAAGACTCTGTTTTCCCACCAGCTAAAACAGGCTGCTGGGCCGGCTGCTGTCCTGCTGACCATCTGGGACAATCCTTCTGCCTGGTTGGAGAGTCAGGATGGACCCTGGGTTCGGATCCAGCAGCAAGGTCTTCCTTGCATCAAGGCCCAGATCAAAGGAATAAAGGCAGCAAGAGCAGACCTTTAGCCCCAGACCTCCTGAGGGGGTCTTGACATACGCAAAGAGAGGCCCAGCATCGAGAGGGCAGGCAGAGGCTGTTAACAGACTGCTTGCCAAGCATTCCATTCAGTCAGAACTGAAGCAGCTTCTTGGATGAGAAGCGAAATGTCTTCAACAAGGAAAAACAAAGAAAATCCAGTTGCCTTTTAGAAAAAGCACCTTTGGTTCAGTCACATTTAGCATCTTGGAGGAGAATCCGAGCCGCCAATATCTGCCACCACCTTGTGCCTGTTGGGAGGGTCCATTTTAATCCCCACCCCTCTAGAGCTAAACCTTAGGGCTGCGTTTCTGGATCTTGGGGTGGACTGGGGAATTCTGGGAGTTGAAGTCCGGTCCTCTTAAAGGTGGCCGTGGTTGAGGAATGCTGCCTTATTTGATATCAACTTGTTTAATCCGTCCTTCACTTCTCTCTCTGCCTTTCAAGGGAACCAGCACCAAGTACAGCCCTCAGCGCGTAGGGCTCAGCCACATGGTGGAGCACGAAGACGTCATCCAAGTGGTGAAGAAGTAACCGCCCCGCCTTGCTCCCCTCCGTAGAGTTTCCATGCAGCATCGCTGCGAAGTGTGTAAGAACTCAGCTGCTCCACCTGGCCAAAGGAGGCGGGGCAGGGAGGACACTTTCCCTCAATTCCACGAAGGAGAGAAGATGCAGCCACGGAGGGGGAGACGCTTTTCCGGGACACAGAAGGACCAGGGTTTTTCTCCCGAGCGGGAACCTGGTTTCGATGGCTGCCTTGGGAAGCTTGTCGTTGAGGGTCCTTCGATGGGAGATTATTTGAGACTGAACGATCGTAGCAGCCTGGCGACCTCTGGCCTCAAGATTTGTGACCTGGGGAGTGGGATGTCGGATCCCGAATGAGGACCCTGCCTTTCTCCCTTCAGAACTCTGCGTTGCCACCTCTGCGGACAGGAGGATCCCCGAAGGAAGGATCCACCCACGGGTGGGAGGGAGCCTGGATCAATGAGTCCTCCTCCCTCCCTCCCTCCCTCCCCATTTCACCAGGTCACCTCCTGATCCCACAGCCCACCCCCAGACTTCGACTCCAGACCCCCCGGCCTCCTCCTCCCTCCTTCTGCTGAAATAAAGGATGGTCCCCACGTCCCTGTGGAACTTCTGAAATGTTCATGTAGCACTTCCTTAGATGGCTCTCAGCATCGCCTGGACCTTCAGGGGCCCTCCTGAAGGCGTGAGCTACAGGGCTGTTGGCTGCTGGTCACTCTGGCTGGGGATGATGGGTGCGCCAGTAGTCTTAAAAACACCAGGTTGAGAGTTCCTTGTGATTGTTTGGGGCTCTAGTTCCCTTCGCTCTGATCATCGCACCAGAACTGGTTCTCCTAAGCTCGGCTGCTAGTTTGGACGGCAGTTGTTCACGATGGAGAGGAAAAATTGGGGGATCAAGGGGGGGGGGAGGAAGGTGAGTAGGGTACCCCCCCCCAATCAAAACCAGTCTGGATTCTCTTGTTCGTGAGAAGATCCAAAGGTCTCTCTTGTTTCTAATAGATGGGAAACATGAGCTTCAGTTCTTCTTTCTGCCTGGAAAAACTTTTGATTTCCAAGGCATAGGAACTAATCTGAATTGCTGGCTGCTGCTTCTGAGGCCTTGCGTAGTGGGGCTAGGTGGGGCGAGACCCCGGCCTATTTGCTGGGCACCTGCTTTCCCCACAGCTTGCTTTGCCTTTTCCAGGTTGGGGGGGAGGCTCTTCTTATCCCTGCCCACAATGTGGTCCCACAAAGGTTGAAGAGCCCCAAATCTTCAGGTTTGGTTGTTTTTTTTGTTTTTGTAAACAAGTTTTATTAGAATTTTTCTTTCATTATACATATTTTATGAACAGAGTTGACGGGGTCACATCTTAAACATCATATATATATGCTTCTGGCATATTGTTCAATTTCAGCCATACTATTCTTTTTCCATATTTCTTTATCTCAATTTCTCCTTAATAAGTAAACAATATCACTATCTGCCCTTAATTCCTAATCTCTTAACAATAACATCAATTATTTTATTTCTCCATTACAAAATATATTTCTCAAAATCCCCACTTTTTAACATTTCAACTTTATCTCTTTCATTTAAATTGTCTTCCAAAATTAAACCAAATTGCCACTTCACCCAAATCTTCAGTTTTTGGGTGGTAAGAAACTCTGAACGCCAATTCTTCCTTTCTGTGCCATAGCTTGCTTTCTGGGTGTTTAAAGTGGCATCAATTCATTCGACTCCCGGCTTTCATTCCCGTCCCACCCACCCCACCCCCAAAAAAGAGCTTTCTGCTGAAGCTTGTGTGAATGAGTCAAAAAGGATGAAAAAAGACCGTTAAAACCCACCGAAGGAAATAAGTGGGGAGGCAGTTCAAATCCCCCACGGGAGCCTTACCTGCCTTTGACTCTTGGTGGCCTGGTGAGGTCGGTCCCAAACCTGCCCCGGGAGTGTTGGGTTTTGGGGGTGCAGAAAGCAAAGTGGGCCCTTGCTCCTGGGTATTGAGGTGAATCCTACCCCTCTGCAAATGCTTCCAGTGAAAGACCATCCCCCCCCCCCCCAAAGCTCTTTCCATCCAGCCACTGCAGGGAAGAATAGCTGCCATCAAATATGCATGGAGCTGGCAGGTGTCTGGCAGCCTCTTGGGCAGGGCAGACGGTCGCTGACTGAGTTGCTGCCCTTCCAGGCCTGTCCCTTGGACTGGGGAGTGAGGGGATGGAGCCACCTGTCCTCCCAAGAGCTTAGTCCACTGCCAGCCCAGAGGGCAGGACGAGGGGGGAAGCGGGTAGCCCCTGCCCAGGTAAGTGGGCCATGTCACTCTTGTTGCAATGATGTCTCATCCCTTCGCATTTGGTCTTGCTGTCGTTTAATCTGCAAAACAGCCATCAGCTGCTGGATAGCATACTTGCTTTTAGTTCATTGGTAGCCAGGTTTTGGGGTAGGGAAGGGATAGGCTTGTTCTCCCTTCTGAAATCCTCACAACAGCCCTTGGAGGTAGGTTGGGGGGCCTGCGGGGGGAAGGAAGGCTCCGTTTTCTTATCGGAGGCTTTGCAAAGCTGGAGGGTGAGAAGCTGCGAAGGCATTTTGCCTGCTCTGTTAATGAGTCGTGTTGTGCTCCAGTTAGCCCACCTCACAGGGTGGTTGTGAGAGTCATAAAGGTACTTCCCCCTTTGTCAATAGTGAAGCGGAAAGCTTTGAGTCTCGCTCTGGAGGAAGCTGGTTTGAAATTAAGCACAATTTTTTGGGAAACCTTCAAAGCTAGAAATGGACAGGGAAGGGCTTGAAACAAGGATACAACCCTGAAGACTTGCAGGTAGGGCTCTGTTAACACTGAAGTTTCTAGTCCTCAGCAATAAATCTAATCTCTAGCCTGACCTCTGCTTTAAAAGTGGAGAAGGTAGAGAATCTTCCCTATTTTCTATGATTTTTGTTTTCCTTCTGCAAGGGGTCGGTCATGCCATCCAAATATATCCAGGCACAGTTGTGCCCACCGCCCTGTCCAATTTGAAAAGGTGCCAGCAGCTGTCCTGCCCCACCATTTGTAGCAGACTTTGGAGGGCACCGAGCCCCCACTAAGGGGTCCAACTAGCCCCCCTTCCTAAACCCAGCAGGGATTCCTTTAAAAAGAGGCGACATCTCAAGCCTGTGCGCCTGTCTTCCTGTTGGCTGCAGGCAGATGGCGAAGAGAGAAAGGTGAGCCTCTCTCTGCCAGCTGCCCAGCAGAGGGGCTGGTGCCCTTCCATTGTCCCTTTGATTTATGTCTCTCGGCCATGACGTCTGAGGCCTGGGAGGGGGGATGAATCTCCCATGGGGAGAGGGGAAGCAACAGTTGCCAAGGCTCTCGGTTAGAGATGGCAACTTCCCGTCGGTGCGGTGTGGCACTGGGGTGCTGATGGGACCGGACATCTTCACATTGGTTTGTGCAGGTCTTTAGATCTTTGGGAAACCCTTGCATCGGCTGACCTGGGAGCGAGGGGCCAACGTTTGTCACGTCATGCCAAAACCAGGGTGCCCGAGGGCTCGGGACTGACCCTTGCTGTGGGTGACGTCCAGGGGGCAGCCACTGATGGTGTCCGATCCGAAAGGTAAGCCTCCCCGGCAGGCTGATCTGGGTTCCTTCCATGTGTCTCTTGCACGTTGCCTTTAAGTTCTCATCCTGTTTGGGTCTGATCTGTGATGCCGAGGAGATTGCAAAGAGCCAGAGATGCAAAGCTGCACATCTGGATTTCAGCAGGACGCCACTGAGAGATTGGGCCACCATTTGCCTGAAATGCGATAGGGTTTCCTACTTCAGCAGAGGGTCAGACTAGAAGGCCTCCAAGGTCCCTTCCAACTCTGCTACCTCTCTTCTCAGTCTCACAGTTTCCCCGCCCTCGTCAGTTTCTCATCCTGAAATTTGCAGGTGATACTATCGACTTGCCTTTGAAAGCAGGATGAAGGTTGGTACTGACTTGGGAACAGAACTGGAGATGCTCCCCAAAAGTCAAAAATGACGGTCCATGTTGGTGGGGGATCAAATCTCCACCAGTTTGTGTGTGTGTGTGTGTTTGATCATGCCATTGTGGCTGCCATCTTGACCCTACCTTGCCAACACCCCTGCCCCTCCCACCCCTGGATCGCTTGCCTTTCATCACGCCAAGCACCAACCTAGAGTTGTGCTGTAGAGCTGTTTTTGTACATCTCCCAAGATCTGGCACAAAGACAAGTTTCAATAAGAAAGTGCCTCCGTGTGTGTGCGCGCAGCCTCCTCCTGTTCACCTGTCACAGGTGTGTAATTGCACCCACGTTCCTTCAGCTTATCTTGCAGCGTGGCCGGCCTCTTTCCCAGACCTCTGGGTCTTCTAATATCTCCTGAAGGGCAGCGAGGAGATAAGGTGTCTCCTGGCAGAATCCATTTTCCTTCTGAAGCAGCTGCATTGAAGGGAGGGCTGCAGAAATGATCTCCCACCCACCCACAAAAGAACTCACAAGGGCCCTTCTTGAAATTTCTTTAAGCACAGCTGCAATTTTTTTTTTCAGAAAGAGGTAAATATTCCTCTCATCACCACAATTAAAAAGAGAGAAGGAGGAGAGCAAGAGAAGTGATTTTAAGTTTTCTTCAGATCCAGCTGAGCAGTCCATATGCTTATTCCAGATTCTGATTTTTAGTTCTATTACTTTAAAACAGCTTTTAAGCCAAGGTGATTAAAAAAAGAGAGCCAGATTGGTGAAAGGGGGCTCAGCCGCCCACTTCCTTTTTTCTCCGTCCTCCTTTGGAGGACTCTCGGTCTGGAGATGGACTGGTCCATTTACATTATTCATACGGACGGACGAGAGCCCAAGAGATACGGTTACATTGCCAGCTCACATCAAGAGCTATAGATCTTCGCTTTCCTCCCAGCTCCTTGCAGGAAACACACTTGTGGGGAGAAGGATGGGAAAGCTCCCAGCCAGCTCCGGAGAGAAGACTGCTGTGTGCGAGATCAACCTTCAGCGCAAGCTCTGCTGGGCCTGGACAGACCCTCCTCAAGTCTCAAGCTTTTGAGGAAGACTGTTGAGGTCTACCACTTCCAGTAGCTGAAGCCAAGGAGAGATGGTGGGGGGCCCACAAGGACTTTATCCAGCTTCCTCCACAGGTAAATAAAACCAAGACTTCTCTCTATGTAACTCTGAAATGCGTCATTGCTGAAAACAGGACAAGTGAAGGCAAATGAGGTCTTCAGAGCTTCACAGGCTGGTTTTCAGTTTTCAAAGAGATCACAGACAGTGTTGCTTTCTGAAATCTCCATACTTCTTCTTCATCGTGTTTGCTTTCTCTTCATCCTCCTCTCTGTTCCAGCATGGACAAAACTTTACTGAGCTTTCCCTGGAGGGGATGCAGCCAAGGAGAGCATGAGCATCCTTGACCTCCTTGGAAATGGCTAAGAAAGGAAAAGAGGACAAAGGGAAAAATGCCCGAAAGGGGAAGAAGGAACCTGTCGCTCAGTTGGACGAGGGGTCAGATTCTGACATGGCAAAGAGGAATGCTGAAGAAAGTGAGATGGACAGCGAGCTGGTGGAGGGAGAGGAGGCGGAGAATGAAGATGACCCTAAGAAGAAGAAGGGGAAGGACAAGAAAGGCGTGGTCAAGAAGGTGGGCAAAGGGAAGAAGGGGCAGCTGGACGAGAAGGAGGTCAAAGAGCTTCCTGCCAAGACCAAGAGGCAGCTCAAAGGAGCCTCCCAGCTGGTCATGGGCCTAGCAACAGAGGACCCCAAGAAGAAAGTGGCCAAGAAGGAACACGCCAAAGCCCAGCTGAAGGGAGCCACCAAGGCCATGGTCATGGCCAAGAAAGAGGCAGCAGCCCCACCCAAGAAGAGGCGGAGCTTGAAAAGCACCTCCAAACTCTTCATGGGCGTAAAAGGGATGGGCCCCCAAAAGAGCACCAAGAAGAGCCATTTCAAGAATACCTCGCGCTTCTTCTGGGGCCTGAAGAAGTACAGCACAAAGAAGAAGAAAAAGAACAAGAACAAGGGGGTGCTGAAGTCCACCTCCAACCTGATGATGCGCTTCAAATCTCTTGGAAAGAAGAAGGAGAAGAAAGAGGGAGCCCCTAACAAGGAGAGCAAGAAGTCTTCCTTCCTGCTGATTCGGTTGGGAGGTGGGAAGTCAGACGAACACCAGGGTAAAGGAGGAAGTTTCTTTGGCAACCTCTTCCGGCGGAGGAAGGCAAATCAGAACTTTAAACCCCAGGCCCAGATGGTCAGCAAGGTAGCTGCGGTCACCAGCTGGCTGACCCGGAAATTCTTGAGTAAACGTAGCAAAACTAGATATGACAAACGAGCGACTGACGACTCTTGGCTAACCAAGATTGGAGCCAAGAAACTGCCTTTCCCTTCAGGAGATGAAGTTTTGAGACACCGAGCGAATATGAGAAGAGTTCCTGGAGCCAATAAATGTACCTGTTTCGGCCAATACCCGGACAAATTTGGCCAGTGGGACCACCTGGATTCTGCCACCTTACAAGATCACTTTGATGATTATGAAGAAGAACGTGGTTGTTTTGATGTCCAGTCCTCTTTCAAGCATGGCTTTTCTGGTTATAACCAGGATTATTATGGGAGGCATCCGATGGAAGAAGAATATGGGCCTTATGAGGAAGACTACGATGAGCAGGACCCTTACGGGTACCACAGTGACCCCCAAGAATATGGATCACCTTTAAATTATCCATCTTATGAGGACTTCAGCAGTGATTATGAAGGGGAAGGTGGCCCGTATTGGACTAGGGAACTGGAACACGCCAATGATGATGAGGAGGAGGAGATTTACTGTCAACAGGACATTAATGACAGTGACCAAGAATGGGTCTCCCAGTCTTCCTACAACCCATACGCTTGCCTGTTGGACGACATTGCTGAGATGGAAGAAGCAGACAGAGCTGAGACTGAGCCAGAAAATGACTCCGTTGCTTTCTCCCGTTCTTCTGTTTTTGAACGAGGGATGGGAGGAAAGACGGCTGCAATGGCACCACTGAACAGGAAGTTCCGGCTTTTCCCGAGGCCCCAAGTGAAGCTGTTCGGTAAGGAGAAGCTTGATGTCCCTCTGCCCCCTTCCCCGCAGATCTCTATGGCTTATTTGGATCCCGAGGAGGAAGGCATCCCTGAGGAAGAAGAGCAGGAGCCACTAATTTCTCCATTTGCCCAGTTTGATGGTCAGTATCTGGAGCCTTCTGGGTCTCAGGAGACTTTTTCAGAGTTGCTCCCTGTGAGCAAGCTTCAGGGGTCCCGCCAGACCAGCTTGGGTGGAAGGAACTGGACTCAGGATCCAAATCACTTGAAGCCTCCTCTTTCCCCAAGAGAATGTGGGAGCCCACTGGGACAGTTCCTGCAACAATCCATCTCGCAGCCAAGACCTATTCTGAAGCACCATGGGAACTGGGAAAGGAACCAACCAGGTATGCATGAGCCCAACAGAAGAACTCTGTCTCCACGGTTTGGGAGGAAGAGTCCTCTGGAGTCATCTTCTCCACCCCCAAGGATGCCTTTAGAAAAACCACGTTTCACCTCCCCCTCCAGCTCCATCAGGCAGCTTAGGGGTCCAGGGAAACGGCAGACTATTTTCGCACCTTCTCACACTGCAGTAGCAATGCAGGATGCTCTTCACCAAGAGTTGCAAAGCACTCTCCGGTCAACTAGCAATAGAAAGTCACAGCAAGACCTCAGGTTTTCACAGAGGAACACCTCATGGTCCACAACTGGACATCAAAATCCTTTCCTCAAGGGGAGGAGTCCACATAATCACGTGTCTTCTCCTTCTCAGAGAACAGGCAAAGAAAACCGGGTTTCGTCAGGGGGACGCAGGACAGCCACTATGGAAAACTCATCCAAAGACTCCTTCCAGACACCTCCTTCCCCTCACCCATCAGCACACAAGTGTTTGGGAAGTCAACGCAGCCTCTCATCTTCTAGTTTAGCATCTGTTAAAAGCCTGATGGACACACCTTTCAGTCGTTCATTATTTCATACCTCCAGCACTCCAGAGTTTCTAGATTCTGCCAGAAATAAGACCTCTAGAAGGTCTGCCCCACGAGAATTCCATAATCCCATCAGGAGGAGTTCGAAGGCTCCTCCATTACCTCAACCATCCCTTAGGCATTTTGGATCTCCTCCAATACCAGGTCACTTACAACCAACAAGGGCAGTTCATCAGGTATCTATGGATGCTTCGGGAAGTCTACCCCAGGCTTGGAATAGGCAGGCTGAGCCCCCAACGAAAGCAGTGAAGCCATTAATGAGAAACCAGCATCTGAGGCAGTTTGGTCATCGCTCCCCAGTTTTATCTGCTAGGGGTTCTCCTCACATGCTGTCTCATCAAGGAAGCCACAGAATCAGAATCCGAGAATCACCCCAAGGCTCATCTCTTTATGCCCAATCACCCTTTGAAACTGGTAGACCAAAGGAAGCTCAGCCCCAGCCCCAGCCAAGGTGGTTTTACACCTCAGAAGAAGAAACAGCAACTCCTTGGAGTTCCTCACCCAAGATGGGAGCTACGAGAAGCTTGAGAAATGGTTTTGACTTGCCCCAATCACCCACTCAAACTCCAAGCTCCCGGAAGGACTTCCTTCAGCGCATTGGTCAGCCTCTGGCTGGAATGGTTCAGCCTGCTTCTTCCGTTCAGTTCCTTCCTGGAGAAAGAAGAGGACATTTAGAAGATGAGAATCCATATCTTGTGGCATTTGGTCCAGAAGAGACTCAAGCTTTCTCGAGGCAGCCATTTCCCCAGCATTCTCCAGCTGCTGTTGCCTCAATGAAGCAGAAGACAGAGGCCATGTCTGTCAGGTCTTCTACTCCTAAAGAGGCACGTAAGCTCTTGAGTGGGCATTTCTCCTGCACCATCCCTGGTGGTAATCATGGCAGTTTGAGGAGGCCCAATCTCAGCCCCATGTCTCAAAGAACAGTTTCATTCCAAAGACCCTACACTTTGGAAGAAGAGGGCTTCTCTTTGGCCAGACCGCCCTCCTTTCGCAGCCAGTATAACAAGCCGAGAAGACCAGATTTTGCCCACGGACTTCCTGAGCTTCTAGAACATGAAATGGACGGAGGCATAGGGAGATATGCTGTGGTGATGCCCCAAATCCAACCGATGGGTTCTTCTCCTCGGAGAAGGTCCCGGAGGCAAAGCCAGCCATGGTCTGAATATCACACAGTGAATGTACATGAGATGCCAAACGAATGGACCTCAGAGAAGCTCTTCCAGCACCCTCCAGCAGAGAGTTTTAGGGCTCAGGAAGTTCATCACGGAGGAGGAAGAGGAAGAGGGAATGGGGTGTTCTGGTACCTGACACGGGGAGCATCTGGGGTCAAGAGCGAATATGGAGAGACCAACAAGAACTGGCAATGCAAGGTAATTGAAAGTGTTCCTGTCTGCTGGATATTGAAGAAGGGCAGAGGGAATCAGAGACTGGAAGGCAGAACTGGTGGTGGTGGGGAGTGAGAATTGGAGGAGGCCCCTCTGAGTTCAATTTCTCTTGAACCTCTGAGTCATCCAATGGGCTGTAGATGCCCTAAAGGAGATGAACCCACCCGAAGGGATCTGTATCCCTGTGTGGCTGAGAGTGGCTGAGAGGCTAGTGTGGCATAGCAAGACCCAACCAGACTCTGAGCAGAAATCCCCACCTCTCAGGAGTGGCCCCCAGAGCCATCCCAGCATTTCACCCCCATGAGATAGAAAAGAGAGGGAAACAATGACATTCCTAGCAAATCATGGTTTTTTCGTTGTCTTTCGTTGAACACGAATCAAAACAGCATGAGCCATTAGCCTTGTCTGTGCTCCATTTAGGGGAGTCAAGCCTTTGGCAAGTTCCTCAGATGTCCAACAGTTTATTTAGGACAAGATTAAGGTTATCCATCAATGGTGACATTGAAGCTCCACAGGGAAGTGGGGGAGATCCTGAGGTCCCTCTTGATCTGATGCAACCAAGGGAAACCAGGGAGGCCAATGACTGTAGGAAGGGAAGCAGGTCCTTCCTCGGTCTCTCTCTCTCACACACAATTGTGTGTCTCCCCCTCTCCAGCCTTCTCTTCTCCTTTGAAAGAATCTCAAATGCAAAATTGGTTTGGTCCGATTAAAGAGGAGCTGGCAGGGGAAACATGCAAGGCAGCCTCTCTGCTCTGGGGGAATCTACACAATGCCTTAGATCAAAGACGTCCACTGTGGCTGGTGTGTGTGTGTGTGTGTGTGTGTGTGTGTGTGTGTGTGTGTGTGTGTAATATCCCCTTGTAACCAAAGAACAATATGCATAGGGGAGGACATTGAGCAGAGTTGGAACCGGAGGGGAGAATTAATTAGAGGGAAGCTGCTACCTGACTCCTATCTCCTGATTAGTGGAGTGAGTCACTGTTTAATATCCAGTCCACCATGACATCCAACTGAGGTGTGTTTGCTTACTGCCAAGACATGACCTTTGCAGATGCAGAAGGATAGCTGGGCACCACTTGCAAACCCTCAATCTTTTCCTAGGTGGAAGGGATGGCAAGGTGGGCAGGAAAAACAGGCTGGAAGGAGGGGTGGGTTTCAGCCTACGCCAGACCCTCCCCCGTGCCATGAAATGCCTTCCGTGACTCTTGAGCAGCTGCCGGCTCTCAGCTGAATCTACCTCTCAGGGTGGTTGGGGAGATTCAAAGAGGGACCGGGATATTTTGGAGGCCTGTCTTGACCTTCTCCTGGTCTTTCCACCAACTCCTAGATGCACAGCATTCACAATTTGCAATCGGCAACCAATCCAGGAGAGGCGAGCCGTGACGGTGTGGATGACTTGACCCAACTAGAGTAAGTATTGAAGGATGGGTTCTTGTTGGAGACTGAGGGGTGCTGTCCACCCCCGAGAGATGGAGAGATGTCTTGCTCAAACCTGGCAACTTGAAGATGGGTGGACTTCAACGTCCATAGTCCCCCAGCCAGCACATACACAGAGAGATACACACACATATACGCATATCAGCTCCTCTTGTAGGATTTTGGGGTGGGGCAAAATTAAACAAAAGATGTATGAAAAGAAGGGAAGGCCACTTATGAAAGCATCTTCCACGTGGGGCCAGTTTAGTCCTTCTTACTAATCTCTCTGCTCTTGTGTAGAGTGCAGCCTTTCTTTCATCATTCACCTGAGCCAGGTGGGGCTTAGAGCCCTGCTACCTACAAGTTAACCAGGAGCAAAGCTTCCTTGCTCCTGGGTCTTTTCATCCCGTACCTTCATCAGATTTGCTCCATAGAACTCCTGATGTCAATATTTATTTCCCCTTCTTAAGGTTGTGTTGTGTTCAGCCATGTTTGTTCTTTATGCCACAGAGACCTCCAAGAAAGTGTGGTCCTTCACAACGTCCAAAGGAGGTTTGAGCGGGGGCTGATCTATGTAAGTTGGTTGTTTTCACTTTTGTTCTCCGGGCTTCAAAACCATTGAAAGAAACACCCAGAGTGATGGGGAGGGTCTGGTTTCAAACCCAACTAAGCCACAAGATCTCCTAGGAGGCCCAGACTTGGTCTTCCTCACAGCCTCGTAGGGATGGTGACCAAGATGGAATGGAAGTAAAGAATTCGGCACGTGACTGGTGGCCTTTTTCCTTCAAGAAGAAAAAACTCAACAACAAAATATAGGTGTTAAGTTCTGGAAGGTTTTGAAATCTTACTTGCTTTTTATAAGTTCTCACCCTATATTTTGCAATGTCTTCTCTCTCTCTCCCTCTCTCTCCCTCTTTCTCTCTCTCTCACACACACAACACGTTCCTCATTCTCTCTGCCAGACCTACATAGGAAGCATCCTGGTGTCAGTGAATCCTTACAAAATGTTCAACATCTACGGAACGGACCACGTCCTGAAGTATGAAGGCAAAGCTTTGGGAGAGAACCCACCGTGAGTCTCTTACTGGCTGCAGGTTTGATCTGGAGGGCATTTCACGCCGTCCTCAGAAATGGGGACAGTTTCATTATCCTGGGTCTTATAACAGGCGATATTCATAGTCCTGGTGGCCATGAGGATGTTGTTCTCATGTTCTTCTGTGGGCCGGGAAAGACTTCCTGAAATCTCAGAGGTTTGGATGAACAATGTCTCGGTTGCTTCTGAGCCTTCTCACCCAGCAAATTAGAGTCTTCCAGAGGATTTGCAACTACAATTCATATCATTCTGGTTCTCTGCTTTTTATGGCTAGGGCTAGGAATCCAAAACAGCTAGAAAGCATAAATGAACAGCTTGTCTTCCCTCATATATATTTTTACTTTAATTGGCAGTGATTCTCTAAGATTGCAACTAGGTAGAACTACCTGTATTGGTGTTTCTATAAGTGGTTCCTTCCATGTGTTTCTAACTATTGTCACTAAGGCTTGGGGGAATGCTAGTTAGAAATTCACCGTTCTTGACTTGAGAGCAACCTGTCCCCCATTTTTAAAGACAGTTTAAAACTTCCTCCCTTCATTCTTTTTTTCTCCAGACATCTTTTTGCAATCACTAATGTTGCCTACAGCAAGTTGAGAGATGCCAAACTCAACCAATGTATCATTATTAGGTGAGCTCGGGCTGTTTCCTCAACAATAGTCCTCAATGTAGCTAAGAGAAGGAAGAGAACCCTTCCCCCCTCCTCCCATCTCCTTTCAGGTTAGGTCCCTGTTGAGATGTTTCATTGGGCTCAAAGGGTCCTTACCTTCCTTCCATCTGGTTTGCTTCTAGTGGAGAAAGCGGATCGGGCAAAACCGAGGCCACCAAACTGATTCTTCGTTATCTGGCAGCTATCAACCAGAAACATCTTGTGACTCAGCAGGTAGGACGGAGAGGATGAGCAGAGGCACCGAGGCTCAGCCAAAGCCCTGGTGCTCACCTAAGGCCCAGCTGAGGTCAATGGGTGGGTGGTTGAAGGGGGAACTGCCCTGAACCTTTGAAGACCTACCATTGCTTCCTACCTTCTGCTGCCATTGCTGTTCTTGATGTTTCCCTAGATAAAGGTATGGGGCATGCTGTGCATCAGGTGTAATTTTTCCCGGATTGGTTAATGCCGTGGTGCGTGCATGAACTCAACTGTGTAGGAATTAGTTCGACTCTGTCTCATTTTCCCACCTGTCTTGGAGAATGAGGGCTGCCCGCTGAGCAATCAGTCCATCTCCATTCCTTATCGGTTGACTTATTGAACCAGGATGGTAGTTTCCTCCAAACTGAAGTGATGAAGACTCAGCTCCAACCTTTCCTACATGATTTGGACTGATACACCTGGCTACTTTTCTTATGGCTGACTGCAATAAGGGATCTTGCCCCCAAAATTTAGTCGTTGCTCAGAGGTCAAGCTACTGCAAATAAATATTCTGGTTTATTTATTTTCACATCAGCTGTTGCTCTACCATCTCTCTCTCTTAGCTCCCCCTGTTTTTTTGTTTTTTTTTTTTAATGGGAGGTTCATGGAACATTTTGTCCCTTCTCCACACTGCCTTAGAGCTTTGATTTTTAAATATATATTGCTCTTGTGTTTTATTTGCTTGGGTCAGATTCTCGAAGCGACCCCTCTTCTGGAATCGTTTGGAAATGCCAAGACTGTGCGGAATGACAACTCCAGCAGATTTGGAAAATTTGTGGAACTCTTTCTGGAGGAGTAAGTAAATCAATGCCTGGTCTTCCTACCACATCCTCCCCTACTTACAGCCTCTCTGCTTCTTCCCATACAACCCTGCCTTCAGGGGCCCTGGGTCATAGAGATAATCCTCGACTTACAAACATTTGTTTAGTGACTGTTTGAAGTTAACGGCGGCCCTGGAAAAAGCGACTAATGACCGGTTGTGTTTCTCCAGCAATGGATTGATTTGTGGTGCCATCACCTCCCAGTACCTTCTGGAGAAATCAAGAGTCATCTTTCAGGTGAGGTTGGCATAGTCATGGCAAGCAAAGCAGGGGAGAACTGCAGAATGAAGGATTGGCCCGTTTCCTTTTTAAGAATTGCAGAGGAAGCCTTTGGAAGAAAACAAAACAGTTAGCCTTTGCTGAGAGTGGTTTGGAAAGAGTCTCTCTCCAGCTTGAATGTGTTAGGAATAATGCACTGGATTAAGTTGGTTACTTTGATCCTTTAAAATTAACTAAATGGTACTGTTGGTTGCACGGATCTGTCCAAACTATGATGATTGTCTACGAAAAGAATGAGAGATGGATTAGATTTGGACAGCAGTTGATCATTTATTAAAAAGCAGAAGTGGGTTTTTTCTGGCAATAAGGAAAATTGAAAAGATCGTTCTAGCATTTCACCAAATGACTCTTTTGAAAAGAGTTCTCCAAGGGTGCTCAGAAATATCAAAATATCAAAAATCAAATTGTGCAAATTGTATTTTTAATTCTACTTTTCTTCATTTCATTGGTAGCCATTCTGGATTTTTGCACAGGGGGGTTAAAATATCTTGGTTTCTCACTCATAATTATCCTTCACATCCATCAGTCTTGTCTGACTCATTCCCTAGGCCAAAAATGAACGAAACTACCACATCTTTTACGAGATGCTAGCTGGTCTCCCCACGCAGCAAAAGCAGGCATTTTGTCTTCAAGGTGCAGAAACCTACTATTATCTCAACCAGGTATGGAGCCGAGTGAGAACTCCTCATAGTTATTCCTTCATGATGATGTCTTTGCCCTTTGAATTTCTGCTTCTTCAATTTCTCAGATACTTAAAGGTCCCCAAAGTGGCTCAGATCAGGTTCTCCAAAAACTCAGATACCTTCTCAGAGATTTCTCACGAGATGCAAATGGGAAAGAAGAAGAGAACGGTGAATTCTTAAAATCCAGGAGAAAGGAGTGAATCTTGATCAAAGTGGGCCTTGATCTAGGTTGGACCAACTAATCGTCATTTATTGAGAAAAGTCAAATGTCTCAGGACATTTAAGTAGAAGATGACAAGGTCTCCATTGGAAGAGAAGATGTTTCTTCTGGATTCTCCTGCCATTAAAGGCACTAGGACATGCCATTGGGAGTCAAATGTTTTCCCGCTGTCTTTCCCAGGGAGGCAACTGCGAGATTCCTGGCAAAACAGACCTAGAAGACTTTCATCGGCTACTCGACACCATGGAAGTCTTGAATTTCAGCCTCCAAGACCAGGACAGCATTTTCCGAATCCTGTCTTCCATCCTTCACTTGGGGAACATCTACTTTGAAAAGTATGAGGTAAGAGGCAGCACTGGAACTCGGAGAGACGATTCCTTTTTCCAAGGGGAGATGTTTGAGCCTGATTTGGGTCCTTGCAGACTGACTGCCAGGAAGTGGCCTCTGTGCTGAGCGCCAAGGAGATCCGGGTCGTAGCTGAGCTGTTGCAGATCTCGCCTGAAGGCTTGCAAAAGTCTATCACCTACAAAGTGACGGTGAGAGAGCTAAAATCTAGACATGCGCACACACACACACATACACACACACACACACACACACACACACACACAAAGGCAGAGGCTGGCCTCAGTCTGCAACGCAATTCACACTGAGGCTGTATGTGAAGTTTCCGAAAGATGCCCTAATCTTCAAAAGAAATACAATCATTTATTAGGAGCACCATTTCGGCAATATTCGGATGCAGTTAGAACTAATCCCACATAGATTTATGTTCCCCTATTACCCTAACTGCATCTGAATATTGTCTGTTTCTGCCCTCCTCCCTGGCCATGTCATAAATCACATTCTCCAATTAACCACTTTGGCTGGCTGTGAAACCCAAAACTCTCCTACTGATTGCTGTAGAAAGGCATCTGTGGAATGTAGTTTCAGTTAAGGAAATCAATCAGCTCCATCAGTTCCTCCCTCCCTCCTGCTCATGGCAACTTGAAAGCTTTGCAAGTTGACACCATAACTCACAACATCTTGGATAGTTCTGGTGTCATCCCCCCCCCCAAGGGTTGTTTGCAAGCGACAACACCTTCAGAGCCAAATGGAGCAAGTGGAGTCAGAACAGGAGGTTGGAACAAGCCTTGAGATGGTCCACAGCATTGGTGTCTCAACAGGGTGGACTGGAGTCTAATTAAGAACATCAGGTCTTACTATCAGTGGATGGAGAAACTGCTCATCATAACCCGAGTTTGAGTCACACATTTTGAGCAAATAAGCAAATTCAGAAGGTCCCATAATTAGCCAGGGGCCCTTTTCTGTCCACCCTAAAATCCCAGTTCCCATCTCCAAGCTTTGTAACTAACAATCATGGGCCCCTTATGGTTATACTTAGATCTTCTGAACTAAATACCCCCTCTTTGGACATGAAAATATCATATTTAACTATTCCACAATAAGGAGACTACAGAAGCCCCATCTAATGGTACCACTGTGAAAATATTTTAGTGGGTCCAAGGAAGAGAAGGCAGCCATCTTGGTTCTTCCTTTGCTTTTTGATAGGAAACGCTGAGGGAGAAGATTTTCACACCACTCACTGTGGAAAGTGCTGTGGACGCCAGGTAAAGAGAGAATGGAGGAAGGGAAAAGGGAAGTATGATGCCCATCTTGGTGCCCTAAGTTGGGGACCACCATGCTTAAAGCAACATCCATTGTCTGCATGTGTCCTTCCAGGACTGATGTTCTACCGTGTGGGTGGTCTTCCCTCGATTTTCTCTTTTCAGAGATGCCATTGCCAAGATCCTTTACTCCCTGCTTTTCAACTGGCTCATGGACAGGATCAACAAGCAGATGTACCCCAAGCAAAACACCCTATCGATTGCCATCTTGGATATCTATGGCTTTGAGGTGAGGAAGAGAGAACTAAGCTAAAGACGCACCTTAGGGTACTCTGTCATGCATATCGAGGAAAGAGAGAGGAGGAGAACGCAACCATGAGGTCCTTTGGCACCTTCCTCTTCCGATTTACAGAGGCCATAGTTCAGCGTTAGGTGTCTTCTGCCACCGAGTCCTCAAAGTGGACTTCTAGAAAATTCATGGATCATCATCTTTTCTTGCAATTCCTTTACAAGTTGGGGGCCTTTTCGTAGGTAATTCCATCTTATTAATGAAATTGCAAGAAAACAATTCTGTTTAAGTACCAGTCGATTTTTGTTGGTGGTTCCTTGCAGCTAACATCTGATTAAGCACTTTGCTTGGTAGGTTAATTTGTTTATTCAATATATGACTGCAGAAGTATGGATTCCTCAGGGTTTATACAACTGATTAAAAAGCATGCAACCAAATTCTAAAAACAGTAAAAAAAGCAATCCACATTGGATGGTGGAATTTCTAAATTCCTTTTTCTCCTTCCCTCCCTGGCTTTCCCGTAGGATCTTGGTTTCAACAGTTTTGAGCAGCTGTGTATTAATTATGCCAATGAATATCTCCAATATTTATTTAATAAGATCATCTTTAAGGAAGAACAGGTAAGACCAGGAGGAACCAAAGCCCTTGAGATCTTAAAGGCTGGTGGTTGAATCAGATCCACCACCCAGCTTTGTGCAAAGGAAACTAAAATGCACCTGACATTTTATTTGGTAGCTCTCTGCTTTGTGTTAGAAACCAGGTGACCTCCTTTGAAAATGTCCTACACAGCAGAGGGCAAATAGCAATACAGTTTTTAAAATAGATCTTCACCATTTATGGTCAAGAGGTAATTGAAGACTTTGAAGGCATGTTCATCCCTGAAGTTCTTAGAACTTCAGCAAAATCCTTGTATGGATCCTGCTTTGGAGGGTGAACCAGATTGGATCAGCTGGACTTGCCTTCCGATAGAGGCTGTTCCTTGGTCTTCTTTTTCGTCAAGGTTGCTTAGCAAAATGGCAGCAGCTGTTTTTCCCCAATGGCGCATCTGCTGGCGTGCTTAAAGACAGCAGGAGATCACGGCTCTTGTGTTGTCCTCAGGAAGAATATATCCGTGAGCAGATTGAATGGAGAGAGATTGCTTTCACGGACAACCAGCCCTGCATTGAGCTGATTTCCCAAAAGCCTCATGGCATTTTGAAGATCCTGAATGACCAAAGCAGTTTCCCTCAGGTGAATGTGGCCTCCCTTGGCTTGGGGCAAGGCGGAACTCAGGAATTAATTAAAAGATAATTAATTCCTACCTATGAAGAAGAAATCTGAAATCCCCTAAATAGTCTTTGCATCCCAAAACTTACTCATAAGTCCTGAGCAGGGGAGAGGTCTTCTCCTCACATGGAGGGTGTTCCTTCTGAGCTTGGAGACAAGTCAGTCTGAAAGTCTTGGGGTGACTTGTGATTATGCTTTCATCTTTCTAGGCCACGGATCACACATTCCTTCAGAAATGCCACTATCATCATGGCTCCAATCCCCTCTATTCCAAGCCAAAAATGCCACTGCCAGAATTCTCTATCAAGCACTATGCAGGAAAAGTAACCTACCAGGTGAGGGGGGGAAGAGGAGGAGGAGGAGAAAGAAGAGGAGGAGGAAGAAGAGGAGGAGGAAGAGGAGGAGGAGGAGGAGGAAGAGGAGGAGGAGGAAGAGAAGGAGGAAGACAAGGAGGAGGAGGAAGAGGAGTAAGAAGAAGAGGAGGAGGAGAAAGAGGAGGAGGAAGAGAAGGAGGAAGAAGGGGAGGAGGAAGAGGAGGAGGAGGAGGAGGAAGAGGAGGAAGATTGTGGGGGGTCCTTGGTGCGTCTCTGAGCTTAGTTATCTTCTTGCAGATGTTCCATTACCCAACCAGGTAATATCATTAGTGTCAGAAGGGAGTGGGGTTTGCAGAGAGGAGGAGCGGGAGTGGGTGGAGGAAAGGAATGGTGATAAAGGAGAAGGAGAAAGAGAAAGAGAAGGAACAGTGGTGAAGGAGAAGGAAGGCACAGCAACATATCTGCACCATGAAGGGTCCAGGAAGGTTGTTTGGTGCCATCAGCTGTTTCCATTACAAGCTAAAAGGCTGATCATTCAACTTTCTGTGTGCCATCTGGGTTGAATTGTCATCCTGCGCAATGTTTTCCATTATAGCGGCCTAAGGAAAATGGAGCTGAAACCAACATTCCTGGACAGCATCAAAAGCTGAGAAATGAGCCATGGTTTGTTCGGCCTTCTCAAGCAGGGTGCCACCTAGGGAATTGGACTTCAGCTCCAAGAATTCTTGATCGTGGTTCTGCTGCTTGTATTTTCTCATTCTGTTTTCTCCTAGGTGCATAAATTCTTGGATAAAAACTATGATCAAGTTCGCCAGGATGTCCTCGATCTTTTTGTCAACAGTAAAATCAAAGTAGGTGCTTAGACTGAGCTCTCAGCTGGCCCCGATTCTTTGCACAAGTTTAAATGTTCGTGCGAAAATTTTAGTCACAGTGTTTGGAAAAGGAATAAGGAGTTAGATATCATTAGAAACAAAGAAATAAAGATTGGGTGGTGGTGGGGTTTATAAAACACACTAAGCATCTTATAGTCTAATATAAACTATCAATATTTACAGAGCCATAAACCGATATTATTAGTCATGGTTTGTCTAAATGTGATGAAGATGATGGATGGTCCAGCAACTGAAGTTCTCCAGCAAATTCCTTCTAGATTATTAAAGGATCTTGGTGTAACCCTTCTTTTCCAGTTTAGCCCACCTCCCCAAATCCCTGAAGAATAAAATAAATAGGGGAGGGGGGGACATCCATCTACACTGCCTGGTGTCCCAAGCTTCTTGGAAGAGGGTGGGATCCCGATGGGCATGAAGGAATAAAGAGGGGTGAAGCCATTTCTCGTCTGCTCTGCTCTTGGCTCAGATGGTGGCCAGCCTCTTCTACAGCCACGCTCAACTGGTGGCTCAACAGAGGACCATGATGGGAAAAAGCAGCACCAGCAAACGGAAGTATAAGCCCCAAACGGTAGCTGCAAAGTTCCAACAGTCACTTCTGGACCTAGTGGAGAAGATGGAGAGGTATGTCAAACAGGACTCCAGTCTTAACATCAATTAGTAGATGCAACATGGAGATGGAACCTTGCCTTCAGAAGTTCTGGGTGCTCCATCACAGGAGGTTTTTAAGAAGAGGTTGGAGAGCCATTTGTCCAGAATTGTATAGGGTCTCCTGCTTGAACGGGGTTGGATTAGAAGACCTCTAAGACCTCCCTTCCAACTCTGTTATTCTGTGATGAACTAGACCTGTCATGGCCCATGCCACTGCAGAGTCTAGCTAAGGATCTTCTGAGGACCAGAACCAAGGATCTGATCCAGGAGGAACCCATGCTGAAATCCCATTGCAATGAACAGTCCAATTTATTAACAGAAATTTACTCAAAGTCCAGAGAAGAGAAAGCTAAGAGGAGAGGGACAACTGCTCTATTTAAACATTCGAAAAGCAGAAATAGAGCAAAATTGTTCTCTGTGGTTGTAGGAGGAGGATCTAGATGTGGACATCTGGAATGGGCAGCTTTGAAGTGGAAATATTCTAATGATGAGCTAACACAAAGCAATTTTAAATTTCCCTTGCTTTCCCAAATGAAAGCTTGGGCATGTTTGTTTTCTTGTTCTAGGGCAGTGGTTCCCAACGTGGGGCCTAAGCCCCTTAGGGGGGCAATTTGATTTTTAATGGAGACAATTTGAACCTTGTTTAAACAAAGTTAGTGGCCTTTTAGGCTTCCACCATGTGAGAAGGAGTTCACTTTTTGAATAGTAAGAATTATATGTCACAGGGGGGCATCAGGATTTTAGAGATGCTTAGGTGGGGCATGGCCAAAAAAAAGGTTGGGAACCACTGTTCTAGGGGTACCCCTTTAACTACAAAGCAATTTTGCTCAGTCATCTCTCTCTCTCTCTCTCTCTCTCTCTCTTTCTCTCTCCCCCTCCCTCCCTCCCTCCCTCTCTCCAGATGTAACCCTTTCTTCGTTCGCTGCATCAAGCCCAACAGTAAGAAGGTAGGACTGACTCCATGCTCTCTCTCTCTCTCTCTCTTTCCTGGTCCTATTTCTCCCAAATTAAGCAGTTCAGATCCCGTTCGTGTGATGACGGAGTATGTGCCATGCTCCATCCTGCCCATCAATTGCATTTTAACTCAATTGTCCCTCTTGGACGCACAGCAATAAATAGATTATTACTTGTTGAACAATTGCCATGATCCACTTAATGATCAGAGTAAAAATGGTCATCAAATTGGGTCCATGTGATGACTCGTTTAATGACCACATGGTTTAGTGCCCAAAGTTCCTGTCCAAATTGTAAGTTGAGAACTACTTGTAGGCTTGAGTGAGTATTGGGAAGCCAGGGATGTATAATGTCCATGATGACATCACACGGATGATGCAACTTCAATCAGTGGCATGATTTTTGCCATGGCACCATAAAGTATCTGACGCCATCATGGCTTGTACCAACTAACCATGGTTAGTTTTTTCATCAGCTGGCCTATTCACTTAGTATAGGGCTCAAGTATATTGTTAAAGCCCAGGAGATTAATAGAGTGGAAAAAATGTTTTTTTGTCATCCTATCAAACACCCTTGATTTTCTCCTTCTTCTCCTTCTCCTTCTCCTTCTCCTTCTCCTTCTCCTTCTCCTTCTCTTCTCCTTCTCCTTCTCCTTCTCCTTCTCCTTCTCTTCTCCTCCTCCTCCTCCTTCTCCTTCTCCTCCTCCTCCTCCTCCTTCTCCTTCTCCTCCTCCTCCTCCTCCTTCTCCTTCTCCTCCTCCTCCTCCTCCTCCTCCATCTCACCTCCAGGAACCAGGACTGTTTGAGGCTGATACAGTCAGCAACCAGCTACGATCATCAGGAATCCTGGAGACCATCCGAATCCGCAAGGAGGGCTTTCCTGTCCGGATCCCCTTCCAAATCTTCATTGACAGGTGTATACAAGCCCCCTGAGATCCTTAGTCCAAAGCTATTCCAGCCTAAGATCAGAGCTCCATGACCCCCAGATCCAAGGGTCAGAGCTGAGAAATCCACCTTCAAATCCTTAAGGATCCGTGGCTCAAGTGTCAGGCCAACCATTGCAGCATGGAAAAACACGTCCACTATACGATGGCTTAGCACTATATCCCAGTCCAATCTGTGTCTCCTCAGGTACCGTTGTCTTGTGGATATCCGTAGTGACATCATCCCAGATGGGTGGAATTCTGTGGGGGTGCTGAAGAAGCTGTGTCCGGTCACCCCAGAGATGTACTGCATTGGCACAACCAAGGTAAAGCCACCACTGTTGATGATAGTTTAATTACAAGAAGTTATACAACAGATAGTAGATGGACATTGCACAGGGGGGGGGTCCCTGGTCTTTAGAGAAGGGCTTGGTGGATTCTTCTCAACTGATTCCGCTCACAGTGTCTAGATGGATTTGGACATCAAGAACTGCTCTTTAGGTTCTCCTATCCCAGGTCTTCTCCATCACCAACTGCTCCATCTGGTCATGTACCCATAGGAACAACCCAATGTTACCTGAATTCTCTTATTTTGCTTGTCCTTCACCTTCCTACCTTTCCCTCCTTGTGCATCCCATCCCTTAGCTCTCATTGCCAAATGCCAACGATGCCAAGGGCTTAGGCAAAAAAAAAGTCATAATATCAGTGCCATCCACCAGTGAAGATGATGGACTCGTCGTGGCCCCTTGGGCTTCTGCTTCTCCTCACCCATCTTTCTCTTCTTCCTCTAGCTCTTCATGAAGGAAAGCATCTACCAGCAATTGGAGGCCAAGCGGGAACAGATTGTCCACATGGCGGTGGTGACCCTCCAACGTTACGTCCGTGGCTTCTTGATCAAGAAACGCTTTTATGCCTTACGCTGCAAGATTATCCTCTTTCAAGCCCGGGCACGGGGTTACCTTGTCAGGTGCTGAGTTTGACTCTCCTTGAGAGCCTTGGGGGCGGAGGGACTTGAACAGAGCCTCTGTCATGCATGGACCAACCTGTCATCACTCCACCCCTTTTCAGGCTTAATAAAGTCTAATTCTCTGCCCGGTTAACCAAATATTCTCTGAAAAACAGTTATAGTCATGATGGCGCAGTGGTTAGAACGCAATATTTCAGGCTGACTCTGCCCACTGCCAGAAGTTCGATCCTGACTGGCTCAAGGTTGACTCAGCCTTCCCTCCTTCCAAGGTCGGTAAAATGAGGACCCAGATTGTTGGGGCAAGGGGCTGACTCTGTAAATTGCCCAGAGAGGGCTGTGAAGCGGTATATAAGTCTAAGTGCAATTGCTACAGGTTCTTCTAAGTCCCTCCCACCTTTCCACTCAGCCCCCCCCCCACCCCACCCCAGATAATAGCTTAGGGATCTCAGAAAACCCTATGAAGCTGTCCAAATGCATTTTCAACTGAATTCTGAAAAGGTTCAACCACTCTGACTGATCACTAAAAAGAGAATAATGCCCTTTCCATCCCCTCAACAACCTTGTGAGGTGGGTTCCTCTGAGCGTGAGGGACAGGTTTAAGGGCTACTCAGGTGGACTTTCTTAACTCAGTGGGGATTTTGAGGACTTCCCCAACTTGGTGTTCTCCAGACATGCTGGAGAGCCTCTTCCACAACTGTCAGCCAAGATCCCAACAGCTTTGCTGGATGGGTTGAGATGATGAATCTCCAAGCCCTCTGCAAGAGGTCATGTTAGCGCATGTCCCTCCAAGTGGTCCACCTCCTCCCTCTGATGTAGATGCCTTTGCCATCCTTGGTCTGGCCTGTCTGTCCATTATTGTGTTTTGATTTGATTTTTTACCCTGGGTAGGAGAAAATGTTGTTGAGACTTGGGGTGATCTTTCCAACCTCCATCCCGGGGGTTTCCCGTCCTGCAGGCAAAAATGTGGGAGGCTGCGTCAGACGCTCATCAAATTCAGATGCCTGGTACGCATCTATATGAACCGCAGGAGGTACCTCAAGGTGAGTCTCTGGGGGTGGGGGCCGAGTGCAAAATGGGGATACAGGAAGGGGATTGGGGAGAGAGGGACCTTATCATAAATTGCCTCGGTCACTTGGTGTCGACTCTGCACGGTGGATGACAATTCCCACATTCTGTGATCAAGGAGAAGGCCCCAATTCCTGGGCAATTCCCACATTCTTGGGTCCCTTTCCAAGGAAACTACTTACACTCTCCCTGCACTTAGGTGCTCTGGAATCACTGGATTGCCTTCTAACAGAATTCTATTAATGGGGTGCAATGCTTGTGTGACCTTGGAAATCTCACTCTGATTTCAGAGGAAGGATGAGGAGCGTCGAATTGCAGAACAGGAGAAGAGAAAGGCTGAGCAGGTAATTCTCTGGTGTTTTGGGGGTCAGTCTGAAGATGTTCCTCAGTCCCAAGGCAAATCCACTGGGTCTTAACACTTTTGAGGAGAACTTGGGCTGCAGAAACTTATTTCGATAACTTGTGTATGCAACGGGAGCGATCTTGCTGAATGCTCGAGAAGGGAGACAGTCACTGGGATCATTAGAGGTGACCCATTTCTCTGGGTTCCACTAGGAACTGAGTCAGCGAGAAGTGATGAAAGTCGCAGACTTGGAAATCCCTGCTGATCTGGTTGGACTCTTAAACACAGTGGCTGGTAGGTCATGATCCACTACGAACCAAGGGAACTTCAAGAGGGTGGCCAGATGAACTTCTCCAAGGATTTTAGAAGGCAGAGCTTTGTGGTCCCACTATTGTAACGTTTCCAGAAAGGAGGTTAATTCCTCCTCTGTACCACCAGTGGCAAACTGAGTAGACCACAACTTCTTGGCTGTCAGAAGGCACCAGACCCTGAATTGTTTGCCTACAACTGCCACCCTTTAACTGTAGCCCTGGAGCCCTGTTGGTCTATCCTTGCCAATGGAGCTCTGGACAAGTACATTATAAGCACCATTTCAAAAGAACAAAACAAAAAATAAAGTACTTGGATGGATCTTCCACTTGCATTCTGGGGCTACATCTGGCATTAGTCCTATTGCCCAGTTGACATGGCCCAGCCAATGTTTTCTGGCATTCTCGTGAGTGAACCTAAGAGGTTAGGATGGGGAAACCCCTCCTTTGCCTTCTGCACTGGCTACTTCCTGTCCCTCCAGTTCACAAGCAAGTGAATGAGGACTGTGTCATGCCTGTCCCTCCGCCCAAGATGAAGGCCGACTCCCAGCTCACCCTGCCTCTTGACATCAACAATTACCCCATGGCCAAGTATGTGCAGCTCCACTTCAAGGTAAGGGTGAAGATGCTGGGCTTAATGATGTAACATGTTCTTTACTCACACCACTGTTGGGAGGTAGACCAAAAGCTAGTATTTGTGACCGGTAGTAAAAAAAATTGGATTTTATCACTGAGCTAAACGCTGCTTGTGGGATTGTGTGACTTTTGAAACCTTTGTCTTTCTTGCTCTGGGTAGGACCTCCAGCACTGTCTCTGTTCAGAAGGCTGTGCAAGAGAGTCTTTCAGTCACTTCTCTCTCATTCCACAGGAGCCACTTTGGGGGATGCTCACGAGGACTCTGTCATCCCCCCTGACTCGGTTAGATGAGAGCCTGGCCCCTGATGCTCTTAACCTCTTCAAGCTGGTAGGTGAAGGTGAATTGCTTCCTCCTGCCTGGTCAAACGATGGCCATCAACATAGCGTTAGTGGTAGGGTGGGTTTTTGGGGTCACTCTCTGGATTTTCTCTGTGGCAGATCCTCCGGTTTATGGGTGACGCCCAGCTCAACGGCCTCCAGGAGAACCTGTTTGGGAACTACATTGTACAGAAGGGGCTCTCTACACCAAGCCTGCAAGACGAAATCCTGGCCCAGATTGCCAACCAAGTGTGGCAAAACACCAATGTCCACAATGAAGAACGAGGGTGGCTGCTGTTGGCCTCCTGCGTCAGCGCTTTTGTGCCCTCCCGCCAGCTGGACAAGTACCTGCTGAAGTGAGTAGGGGCAGGTCTACCTCCAAAGGAGATCCAAAGAGGTGGCCGCATTAGCTGGTGATGATGGTGACCCTAGAACAGGGGCTCAGAATTCTCCAGCTGGCTGGAGAATTCTGGGAGTTGAAGTCCACAAATCTTAAAGCTGCCAAGTTTGAAGACCTCTGCCCTAGAAGATTTCAGAAGCACCAGGTGATGATGGCCCTCCTCTTCATCTTCTTCCCAAAGCCACACAAGGAATTTAAAAAGAGGCTCAGTTGATTGACCTGAAGTTCATGGTCAGGAGAGATAGGAACACAACTCAGTTGACCCTCGCTCATCTATTCTGAGCACAAATGGCAAATGTGCACCATGGCAGGCATCTCCTTCTACTCACTGTCTCCTTCTGCACTTCTCCCCACCCACTCAGGTTTGTTTCGGACTACGCCTTTGACGGCTATAAACCTGTGTGCCAACACAAGCTCATGCAAGCCATGGCAAGAAGTCAGGATGGTGGGGAGGCCGCCCGAGCGTATCCACCCACTCTGCTGGAGTGGACAGCCAGCCGGGACCGAGTGAACATGGCCCTTGATGTCTACTGCTTCAATGGTGAGTTAAGGGAAACAGCAGGACAGGTTGGGAATTGATAGGCAGATGAGACGCCTCCTTCTCTAGAACCTGGGAGCTTGCTGAAGAAACACCCACCACAGGGAGAAGGAAGGCCCAAAGCTGAATGGTTAAGGAAATAGGTTCTACTTGCAGGAAACTGCATTCAGATCTGTAAGTGTGTGTTGAAATGAGAAAGGTATTGCCTAGGGAATGATAAGATAATAGAGGACATAACCCACAGCTGCATAATGGACAGGGAAGGACACTTAGAAAGGATCTCTCTAACTTCTCAGGCTATAAAAGAGACTGTGGGAGATTTGTACTTTCAGACTTGAAAGATTTTGTTAATGTAGACTTCCAAGAAAGTAGAATTGTTTCCTGTTTGTTCTGCATGGAAAGACTGACAAAATAAGACAGCAGGAGGGACGTCTGTCAGAGTGAATGATTTGGGGTTTTGTTTCAACAGGAGATCATTATTCTTGCCCTGTCCATTCCTGGACCACAGGGGAAGGCCTTGCTGAAAGTGTGTTGAGATACAGGTAGAAGAGTTGGGGTGTGGGGGATATCGGTAGTGGGACGGAGGAAGAGGGGGTGGGTTACATTTCAATGACCCTTTCCAGATCTCCAAGTACTGGAAGTCAGAGGCAAGGAGCTGCTGAGAAGCTCCTTGGAGGATCTTGTCTCATCCACCTCCAGCCCCAAAACAGAGAGTCCAGCTGCCCAATGTAGGTCTCCCCACCTTGCAGGAGAACCTAAAGCCCCAATGTTTCTTCACAGGGGTCTTACAGATGGATGGCGGGGCTGGTCTGTCACCATGAAGGATGGTACCCAGTGGGCCGAGCTGGCTGGCCACGATTATGTCTTGGATCTGATTTCTGATCTGGAACTGATCCATGGTTTCCCCAAGCAGAAGTCCTATTTCATCCTCGCCTCTGAAGACCCAGAGAAATACACTGGTGGAAAATTGTAGGTGGCATCGTGGCTCTTCCTCAGATAGTATTTTTGGTTTGGAAAGGGTGATGTTCAAGAGCTTTCATTGGTTCAGGTGGCTTACCAAGGAGGACGAAAGCAAGCAACATTGCTGGTGTTACCCCAGCAATGGGAGACCCAAGTCTTGGAATTGAGATGGCTTTGGAATCTTCTGTCTTCTATGGTCTTGATCCTGAATGGGACAGAATTATTTTTTCCTAGACTGGGAAAGAGGGCTAGATCATGGATGTAGACCAGTTCTGGACTGTCCCGATGTCAAGGTTGACCTTGGTCTTTTCTCCTTCTGCTTCTTAGAGTTTTCCAACGTGGTTTGGATTCAGATGGGAGAGTTCCTCCTCCGCCACTGATCAAGGCCCCCACCGTGGCCTCTGCCCACCTGCCAGACTCTGAGGGATATTGCAGCCATGGTGAGAGATTGGGATGCGGCTTACGGTCTAGTCAGAGCATGGGATCAATCTTTGCAAGATTGTCCTGTAGCTGGAGCCACATAGATTTGAAGACTGGTGTGTCTATTAAACTGTGTTAGAGCAATGTTTTTCAACCTTGGCCCTTTAAGATGGGTGGACTTCAACTCCCAGAATTCCCCAGCCAGCAGTGCTGGCTAGGGAATTCTGGAAGTCCAGCCATCTTAAAGAGGTAAGGTTGGGAAACATTGGATTAGAGGATGCATTTTTCTCACTAAAGGAGAATATTTGTAGCTCAGGGTTGAAAGAAAAAAGTCTGCAAGAAAAGGACCAAGTTCAGAGAACACCAAGGACCCCACATTTCTCACTGCCCCATTGGTTGCATTCACACAAAACAACTAAGAACTGTTTTATGCCACGTATCACCCATTAGGCTGCTGACATGGGAAATGTGTTTTTTGAAAAATGCTTCTCTACCAGCCATCCGAATGGCAAAAATGTCATTTTCTCTTTGCAATTGATCTTATTTCTATTTCTTTTTTCTTTTTCTTTGTTTTAAACTGGAAACAGATTCGGATACCTGCAGTGAACCCCGGAGCCAGAAAGGGCTGGATCATTATCTGGATAGCCTCTTTGATCCTGTGCTGTCCTATGGGAAAGGGGTAAGACAAGCATCCCCCTCCCCCACGCCCCCTAGATTCAAAAAAAAAAAGCCCACCTTAAAGTATCTTACATCTTATTTCCCATAGAAATCTGTTTCTCTGGGAAAATGCAGCTGTGCATTGCCAACCTATTGAAGGGAGATCAGATAGGTTAAGAACGTATGAAGAAGCTCAGCTCAAAGCATTTTTTCGCCCCATGTTGGTTCAGGCCTCCTGAAGGGGAAAATGGGTCTCTGTAGAGATGCTTTGATTTCTACCCCCTCAGGAACTAGAGAAGCCAGCGGCCATCTCACGAAGGATGAAAGGCGGTGGTCGAGTTGGGCACGGCAACGGTGACAATGTGACTGGCATGGTCCCTCAGACTTCTGGTGAGTAACAAGCTACGTTGCCTTAGTCTATATATTTGTTGGGGGATGAAAAGTTTTCCCTGCCATCTTTCTGAGTGTGCTAGTCTTCCAAGGGCATTTTATGAATATTTAGAAGTGCAGAAACACAACCGTAACAATAATATCCATGATCAAATTCTATCAGTGCCGGAATAAGACTGTTCTGATCTAGGCTCCCTTAACAAGCAGGAGGCAGGAATTGGTCCTGGGAAAACCTCTTTTATTTACACGACTGTGAATTACGTTCATTCACAGTCAGCAAGGTTTGTCCAAACAGTTTTTCAAAAGAATATTTATCAACACAGACATTATCTCGTTTGGCAAGCTGCCACGTAACTTGTTTCCAACCGCAGTACAAGGCAAAACTTGGCACAGAGTCTCTCAGAGTCACAGAACGAACAAATTGTTTCCTGCAAAAGCCCCCTTTCTGTTCCCTCCTCTTTTGTTTTCTACGGGAGGGGCCAATCACCTCCAAGGTGTGGCTTTACTCCTGAGTTGACCCTGCTTTCTGAGTTGTTCTTGTCTTCTGGCAGCTCTGCGCATGCGCACACTGGGAACGGGCTCCAGCTGTTCCTCTGCCTCACTGCTGTCTAGCTCCCTCTCTGCCTCCAACGCAGAGCCCTCGTCGGAGCTTTCTCCAGACCCCAGGACTGGCCCAATTCCTCCCCAACCTCCCCACTCTTTGACTCTGCTGCCAGCTCTGCTGGCCGCCGGCAGGCCACAACAAAGACACAGCAGATCCAAAGTATATTATTAGATTAGAAATGGTTTGTGCAAAGGCAGACAATGACAAAGAAGAAAATTCCAGAGACTAGAAGCCACCTAAACTGGATCTTATTACGGTTGGTGGTGCTGCTCGGGACGAAATCCATTAATTTCTGAATGCCAGGAAGGTGTTCTCTGTTTTTGCAAGCATTCTAGCATTCTTTGGCAAACTCAAAAGGCTGTTTTCATCTTCCCTCTCTGCAGGAAAGAAGGAGGAGGCTGTGTTGACACAGCTGGCTTACGACAAATACCAAGAGTCAGTTCTGGTTAGTAAAGGCAGGAACTGTCCAGCTGAACTAGAGGTGCTTTAGAGAAGTGCTGGATAGAGGGACATGTGAATTTCTGAAAATAAATCTATGGACATTCTCAATCATCCAGGTCACGGTTGTTCCAACGGTGCTTTTCCAAAAGGCAACTGGACTTCCTTGGTTTTTTCCCTTGAAAACGTTTCGCTTCTCATTCCAAGAAACTTCTTCAGTTCGTGGCTTCTTGGATGAGAAGCAAAACGTTTTCAAGGGGGAAAAAAAAATAAGAAAGTCTAGTTGACTTTTGGAAAAAGCAATTTTGGGACTTCGGAAAAGAAGCTTGTAGCATCCTGTACAGATTTTATTCTCTCCGGCTTTCCGTGTGAGACACCTCAGTTTCCCAAGTGTATAAGGAGGGGAAGGAAGTCCAGCCATTCTTGCTAACCCTCAAACATCCCATTGCCAATTTGGCCATGGGTGAGGAAGCCAGGAGCTGCTTTGGGGTGGTATCTGGGCACCTGCCAAGGCTGCATCCACAAGCCGATCCCTTCCCCTTTTCCGATGCCTTTATACCCTTCTCAGCTGACCCGAGGCTGGCCGACACTGGATACTCACCTCCCAAGCAGCCTCTGTATCCATTTCACTTGGAGGTTGGCTTCAGCAAGTGCCACAGCCCTGGGCCTTTTCCTGCTGCGTGGAATTGAAAGGACGGGCTTTCAATCCACTGACCTGCCCTGGAGCGATGGCCCAGGTCTGCGGGACGGTGGGTGGAGGGGGAAATAGCTTGGCAGAGGGGTCGTCTTTGGCTCCCCTAGGCTACTCAAAGGCAAGTGGATAGCTGTAGGCAGGGGAGTAGGCAGAAGTTTGGGGAGGGGCGTTGGACTGGAGAAGACAGGCCAAGATCCCTGCAACAGGACCACAAAACTGGGAGAAACATGATTCCCAGTTTGCTAATGAATTTCTCCACCCCACCTCTCCTTTTGGCAGAGGGAAGCTGGGAAAAGGCTGATGGACAGATCTGTGTCACCTTCAGGCATTGCACGGAGGAGAACCAACCTTCAGAATCCAGGTAAGGAAGCACCAGAGAATCTGCCAGGTGCAGAATAAACAGCACAGAAGAAAAATATGGTTTGAATTCTTATCCCCTCTTTGCTTAGGGGTTTATAACATTATTGTGGATTTCATCTTTTGATAGCTGCAGGTTTTATAGTTCTTGTTTTATTCAATTGTTGTACACTGCCAAGTGTCACTTTTTCTGAGGTGGGTGGCTATACATATTAGATAGACACATAAATAGATATTGAGCGCTTAAGTTGAAAGTTCAGACTCATCAGTGGCAGACATGCCATAAACAGAAACCTGATTAACTGCACATGTGCACACAGAGGACGTACAGGCAGGTTCAAAGCGGTTGAGAAGTTGTGGCCCAACTTCTGTGAGATGTAAGAACAAGATCTTTTGCATCAGCCATCAAAGAGTCAACCTGTTTGGCTACAGCATTTTAGCAATAGCAATAGCACTTAGATTTACAGCATTCTCTGGGCAGCATACAGAGTCAACTTCTTGCCCCCAACAATCCGGGTCCTCATTTTACCGACCTTGGAAGGATGGAAGGCTGAGTCAACCTGGAGCCGGTCAGGATCGAACTCCTGGCAGTGGGTAGAGTCAGCCTGCAACACTGCATTCTAACCACTGCGCCACCAGGGTTCTTTTACGGCATCTAGCCATGGTGGTTTGTTAACCTGGGTTGGAGGATTAAAACTTTCCTTCTTCCAAGAATCCATTTACTCTGGTTTCCCTCCCTCCTCCCTGGGCAGAGTCTGGCTCCACGTCTCAGGCCGGTGGGCTTGTCCGCCACTCCAAGCTGAATTCGGAACACAACCCTGAGCCTACGCAGAACATCCGCAACATCATCAAGCAATACCAGCAACCTTTGCGAGTTTCAGAGCCGGTCAGGTCAGATCGGGTCCTCTGGCAGCCTTTCCTCTCTTCCCCCCCCTCCCAAATATTTATTTGAAAAAAAAAGGGGGGGGATTATGCTCTATCTTGATAATGCAAAGCTTCCACGTTTAGAGGCAGCGTCTCTGTAAACGTCAGGGGCTAGGAGATGCTCCCAGATCATCAGTTCTTTTGGGGAGGGGGCTTTGTTGGGAAAGGACACGACTGTTTTTGATCGATTGGATTTGGAAACTTCCGTCTGCCCTGCCTGTCTTTTCAGAAAGGAAGGGGAGAAGGTCTTTGTGAAGAAAATGGATCCCCACGAAGAAGCCTTGATGATCCTGAAGAGACAGATGGCACCCACAGGAGTACCTGTGAAGCCCCTTCAGGTAGGGCCAGATGGCCGGCCTAGCAGACCCACTTCTTGGAACAACTCCCCCCCCACCAAACCAGTATTGGCTTTCTCATGCCTGGCTCCATGGGCTGCTGGTAGGAAAGTTGAGACCCTCACACCAGCAAAAGTTGTATCAAAAAGCAGAAATAAATGCCGAGAACTTTGAGAGCTGCCAGTGGTCTGTTAACCACAAAATGTGGAGCTGATAGCTGGTCTCTGAGCCTCCTGCTAGTCCAGGGGTCTGCAACCTGCGGCTCTGGAGCTGCATGTGGCTCTTTCATCCCTCTGCTGCGGCTCCCTGTCACTCAAAATATGCGTCACAACCACCAATGTGTGACACCCACCGGCACATGATTTATTGAGCTTTTTGACCCATCTTTTTTTCGGAGTTCAAAATGTTTTCATTGCATGCAGAAAAAAAAAAGTTGTTTTCTCTGTAGCAGTTCATTGATTTCATAAATGCAACACATTATAGTTTTTTTATACATAGCATAAAGGTAAAGAACGATATATGCAGTGCCACCTTCATTTTAGATGTCAAAAGGGTTTTGTGGCTCCCGGTGTTTTCTTTTCTGTGGGAAATGGGTCCAAATGGCTCTTTGAGTGTTTAAGGTTGCCAACACCCGTGCTAGTCCTTCCATTCTGGGCTGCCTCTGCTTGCTCACTGACCGTTTGAACCACTGAAAAAAGAGTGGTAGGAAGGAGAAATTGGAGGGTTTCCTTCGGGCAGCTCTGCCAAGGGATGCCAGAGAGAGAGCAGACAAAGGAGAAATGTCTGTGTAGCAACTGGATCCCCTAGAATGAGGATGGGCACTCGGAAAGCATCTGGGGCAAAGACCCTTGAAACTTAGGGTTGGCCACCCTGATCTCAGGTGGTTCTCAGGCAAGGTAAAACAAGAACCAGGTAACCAGGCTGAACATCTGCAAAGGACAATGCTGGGTCCCCTTTGGGTAATGTGTGAAATGGCTTCTTTGCAGACTGTCCATGAGCCAGCACCGAGAGAGATCATCGCGATGGTGAGGCCAGTGCCTAGTGCCAAGGTGGTTGAACCCCCTACCAGGGCCCAGTCTCTGCCTGATGCTTCTTCAGGTGAGCAGTCATCCTCTTCTCTCTGTCGGTTGGATTTCTGGCCTGCAAAAACCAACTTTTTGCATGGTGATGATTCTCCATCTACCACAGCGGCCTCTGGGTTTGTTTTTTTTTCCCCTCTCGCACTAACTAGGATGATTAGAGCCACGAACTTCAGATATTGTGGTGGCTATGATTGCTTTCCCCAGATAAACTGTACCTTCCTGCCGGGTGGGTACTTTTTCTCTTTAAAAAGATGAGAAAGAACAGTTGAGTTTTCTCCCATCCAGCTCCCATCTCACGAGAGTTGGCATCGGAAGATGAGACAGTCCAGACAAAACTTTATGGCCGAAGCAGCAAGGAGTTTTATGGGTACCACAACGTCTCCTGGAAGATCTATCTCAGGAAGGAGGTAGGTTTTTAGGGACTCAAGGGAAATATGGTCATGCTTTATAAAAATTAGAGCAGAAGAAAGATCTGTTGGTTCCTTCTCAGACTAGAACTCAGGGCAGTCAAAGAAAGCACCCAATGTACATCTAATCCTGGAACTCATCAGGGCAGAGGAAGAGGAGAAGAGTAAGGAAAGTCTGTAAATGGCCAATAGGCTCTGATAGCTAAATCAGGCCTCCATATTCAGTAGCACTTTATCTTTGAGCAGCAGACAAATATTTTAGAGAAATATTCTAGAGAGCTTGCTCTGGCTGCCATGAGTTGCAATCAAGATGCTGGGCTGGATGGAAACTTTGGGTGTAGCCTCCCCGCTCCCCCAAATCACAAGGTCTAGAATCTTCCAGAATCTTCCTCTTTCCTTGCAGGTTTTTTACCCAAAGGAGACTATCAGCAGCCCTCTTCTGCTGGATCTCCTTTTTCGGCAGGTGAGTGACCTCTGGCATGTAAGTTTGCCACTGATGCTCCTCTAAACCATTGGTCAGTTGAGAAGGTGCGTCCCAAGTTACCTTGGACCTCCGATTCCTCCCTGGACGGGTTGTTTAAGGGTGAATTTTTCTCTTGGGTGCGATGCAATGCTATTGAACTCTATTGTTTTTGAGTTAGTTTAGTAAACTTTCTATGCCACCCAGACTGCTGAGGTCTGCTGGCAGCTTATAAACAGGTAGAAATTCCCAATTAGATGTTTTCCATAAGCAAAATTGTGTTGACTTCTTACTGTTATCCAAGTTGGGTGGTTTCCCCCCAAATGTTTCATTACCAGTCTAGGTGACCTCATCAAGGCATGGGGATGAGATGGCCAGCAGATTTTACTTCTCATGCATTGATAATAAAAAAAACTGCAGAAAACCATCAAGCTCAGAGAACATTAAGAAAGGAGCTTCTCATGTTCTCTACACTTTAAATCAAATCTATGTTGTGAAGGCCTTTCTGAGGGTCGACCAAGACGTCTTCTCATCTTGTCTGGGTCACTTTGCAGATCTTCAACGATACTCTATCGGACGCCTGCATTCGTCTCACCGAGGAGGAGAAGCAACGCATGAAAACTCTCTTTGGTAACTACCTTTGAGAGGAAGGGAAGGTGGAAGGTCTTCAGATGTTACCATGTTGGGTTAGAAAAGTGTCCAAAAGCTACTAGTGCTGGAGCATCTTTTCCTGCACCTATTCAGTGTCTCTATCAACTAGCAGTTATTGAACAGAGCCATATTGCCGGTGTCATGCTCAGAAACAGTCTCCTTCTGGACACCGGTTGATGGAAGAGAGGGAAATGTAACTTTTAACAGTAACAGAGTCGGAAGGGACCTTGGAGGTCATCTAGTCCAACCCCTGCTCACACAGGAGACCTGTACTAGGGATTCGAACCACCGAACTGCCGACTTTTCTGATCGACAAGCTCAGTGTCTTAGCCACTTCTTGCTGAGAGTCCTTATTTCCAAAAAGACTAACCTGGCCATTGGGGGGAAAAGATTCTTCTCTCTGCAAAAAGCTGGATGTACAGTTGTGGTGAAATGTAGTCTGGATTCCCAGCAGGGAGGGGCTGTATTCCAGAGGAACAAGAGACGGCCAAGTTTAGAGCATTTGTGTGAGAGAAAGAGGGTGAAGACAGCTCTTCCCTCATGGTTCCCTGGGTCTGCTTTAGCCTGGCAAGATTCTGTCTCTAGGTGAAGCACAATAAAGGAAACTACTTAGAAGTCACTCCAGCCGCATGTCTTTCTGGGTCTTTTGGAGACTGACAATGCCTGCTGGTTGAACATTTAGCTTTAATTCTTAGCTTTTCAGCTCACAAACTTTTAAAAGAAGCCAGAATGAGAGAGGAGTTGGGTGCCGGTTTTTCCCTATCAGAAACCTTCCAAGAACACCAGTGTGGTTTCTCCCTGCAGCGGAAAACAAGCTGGACTCCTTCAGTCCGGTAGCCGATGAAAGCGTCAAGAAGGAAATTATCCGTGTGGCCCGAGAGAATTGGGAGGTGTATTTCTCCCGCCTTTTTCCAGCCACGGTAAGAGAATCCCCCTCAGTTCACACAACCCTGAGAGGAACTTAAACCAGGCTGTGGTCCAACCAGTCGAGAGGCCACTTCAGGACATTAATTTTGAATGGTCACTAAACGAATGCTCTTAAGTCATTGTGTTGATATTTTGCACGGTTATATATTTTAACAACGGCTCTCATTTCAGTGGTGGGAACCCAGAATCTCTTTGGAGAGCTCTTCTTTTGGCTTGCTTGAAGCTGCCGCTTTCCTGTCCTTGGGTGCTGGTTCCAGCCTTGCTCACTTCCCTCTCTCCCCCTTCAGGGCAGCGTCGGCACCGGAGTGCAAATCCTGGCCGTCTCTGACACGGGGATTAAACTCTTGCGACTGGTCAAAGGAGCCAATCTCCCTGGGGAACAGGTCCGGGTGCTGCGAGGCTACAGGTAAGTAAGGCCAGGACACACCTGTCCAGAAGAGAAGTAATAGAATAACAGAGTTGGGAGGGACTTCAGATGTCTTCTAGACCAGGGGTCTCCACCCTTGGCAACTTTAAGCCTGGCGGACTTCAACTCCCAGAATTCAACTCCCAGAAGAAAGCTGGCTGGGGAATTCTGGGAGTTGAAGTCCACCAGGCTTAAATTCGCCAAGGTTGGAAACCCCTGGTTTAGACCAACCCACTGCAATTAGCAATTAACTGAGGGACCCCTTTGTCTTCTCCACATCCCCCAACCACCACCAGCTACAGTGAGCTCCTGTTTGTCACCATCCCCTCCAAGAACATGCTGGAGTTCAACCTGGTCCATGAGAAGTTGATCCTCTTCTCCCCCAAAGCTGTCCAGGTAAAGGCTTTGATCGACCACTTCATCATGGAGCTCAAGAAGGTAAGACCTTGGGAGGGGGTTGAGAATTTGGTTGGGGAAGAGGAGGAAGGGGGCTGCAAGGAAGAACAGAGGTGGAGGCCAATATCTCACTGCCCTAAATGCATTCAGGGGACTTCTTTGCAGGGATGAATGGACAGCTGGACAGCTTTGCTCAGTCTAGCATTTTGAAGCAGACACTTGTGAGTCTTTTTTCTCTGGTTTAGGACTCACAATATATGGTTGCCATTAAGAACCATATCACAAACGCTGAAAACCTTCTGAGTTTTCACAAGGGAGACATCATTTGCCTGCGACCGATGGAGGGCCTGGAACCAGGTGAGAAACCTAATGGGGGAAGAATTTTAGCAGAAATGTAATGCAGCAGCAACAGGAAGATAACAATGAGTTGGCATGTTTATCCACCTATCCTAGGTCCTTGAGAAGAACTTGACAGATGGACCAAAATGCCCAATCCAATCTAAATATCTGGCTGACTGTGTGACAAACCATAATAATAGCCATTGAATAACACCGGCATTGACAAAATCCCCCATCAGTCAATTGCAAAAGGCAGCTTGACTTACAACAGCTTACATCCTGCAACAGTACTTTTAGCACCCTTAAACATGCACATCTGCCTATCTCAGGTTCTTGAGAAGGACTCGATAGGTGGACCAAAATGCCAAATCCAGTCTAAACATCTGGCTGACTGTGAGACAAACCATGAAAATAATATCAGCAGCTGCAATAAATATACGCGGGGTAGAGAAAGCATTGCTTTGGTTTAATCTTTGCAGACGTAGGGATTAGCTTAGTTTCCCAAGGTGATCAGCTTCCTTTATGTCTCAAATATTCCCTTTTGCTGAGCGGCGGAAAATCCCTTCGGAGTTGAGCCCAGCCACCCCTTTCTTCCTCAAAAGAGGCACAGGTGTCCGACAGATGCAGGGGAATGCTTGTTGAATTAATCATCATTCAAGATGTTGAGACACGTGTCCTCAGATGCCACCCTGTCCTTGCGTTGATATTCACGGCCCAGATGCTCCAATTCTTCTGACGTTCTGGAATGTCTGATTCGGTCTGTTCTAACCATTGTTTATAAATGTGGCCTCCTGATGAACAAAACAGAGGTTGGCTGCACGAACAACGGAGGGGGTTCTGACGGACGATTAGCCCATCTCTAAATGTCAGTCTTCAATCTGGGATAACAATTGGAGTCCCCCAAGTAGCAAACAGGCATTCTTTGCTTCTTTTGACTTCGCGTTGGGCCGTCATCCTGACCTTGCTATCTGCAAATGTGATTCTTTCCCAGCACCGCCAGGGTGAGAAGGGAGTTTGCACACCGAGCCGTCTTGAGAGCTAACAGACCATGAAAGGACATTCCAGATTTTCCAATAGGCTATTGACCCAAACACCCTCCAGCAGCTTGGAAGGGGTGATAAATAAATGAATTCCAAGGGAGCCTGTGAAGGCAAAGCATAAAGAATTAATGCCATTTCCCTCTGATGCATAAAAGGAGGCTTGAACCCTAGAGAGGGAGGTGAAATGAAACTTTGCTGCAAAAGGAATCAATCAGGGAAGATCGTGAAAAGAAATTGAAAACATTTTTTGGGGGGAATAATCTTAATAACAGCCCATACATACAGACGCCGGGGAAAGCCATTAGGAAAAGGGCAATTTATGCAGCAAAATAGTAAATGGGAAAGACAAAAGAGAAGATGCAAAAGATTTTAATGGAAATAGAGATGAAAGAGGGAGACTTAATGAGATCTCCAGGAAGGGAAATATGTTTTACAGCAGATTAAATTTTTGGAACACCGACTGTCTGTGTTCACGATAAGAGAAAATGGAAACAAAAATGACTTTTGCAAAAAGAAGGAATGCAAAATGAAGCATCATCACTGCCAATGCAAAAGGGGAGGGATTGAGATTGAAATTAAAGTTAAAATTGAAATTGAAATTGGATTGTGATTGTGATTGTTGGCCACTCTGCATGGGAGGGTTCTTGGGGTCCTTCTGATGCCCCTCTGTGCTTCTCCCACCTACAGACCACTATTATGGCTGCGTGGTGAGGAAGAAAATGATTCTCCTGGAAGGGGTCAGAAAAGGCACCCTGGATTTTGGTGGGTGGCTTTGGCATGGCGTGGTGTGGAGTGGAGTGCAACACTGCTCTCTTCCAGATTTCCTCTTCTTCAACATCTTCCACCTTTCAATTGCATGCTGGTGTTTGATTTTTTTTCCCCCTTGAGCAAACTCAATCCTTGGTTGGAGATGTTTAGAACTTCCTCGGTCCAAATAGACCTAATCAACAATGACCTGAGCAGGAATGGGCAAATATGGCCCCTTTATGACCCGAGAACTTCAACTCCCAGAATTCCTGAGCCAGGAATTCTGGAGTTGAAGTCCACAGGTCTTAAAAGTTGCCAAGGTTGGACATCCCTGTCCTAGAGGAAAGGGGGATCTAGGAAACTGATTGGGCAGACCTCTCTGAAACCCACTCCTCTTCCTTGGGGGAAGGTGGTTGGAAGACCCTCAAGAGGGAAAGATCTCTTGACGAGTGTCCTGGGGATCTCTTATTCCTGGGATAGGCTGGAAGTTTGGTGCCATCTACGGGAAGTCGGGGCTGTTCCCCTCCAGCTGCGTCCAACCAGTGGCAGCCCCAGATTTCACACAGCTGCCCACGGAGAAGAAGGAGGATCCCAACAGCAAGCAGGCCAAGGTAGCTGGTCCAGCCTCGGTGGCCGTGGCTGTGGCATCAGCAGCTGTGGCTCAGGAGCTGGACAGGAAGGTTGAGGCAAGTCGGTTGTGGAGGTGTGAATGTCCTTGTGTGGCAAGAGGTGGGATTCAAAGGAAGGAGGCAGGAGCAGGCATATGGGTCCTGTTATTCCTTGGCTGAACATGGTTGGTTTATGAGAACAGGATGTCCTGAGACAGGACTATCCAAGTCCTGGAACAGGTTGCTTTTGTCCAAATGCCTTGCAGGTCAAAACAGTGATGAGTGATTGATTTGGTTATGGTTATTGTTTTCACCTGGAGCCCTGGTGGCGCAGTGGTTAGAATGCAATATTTCAGGCTGACTCTGCCCACTGCCAAGAGCTCGATCCTGACTGGCTCAAGGTTGACTCAGCCTTCCATCCTTCCAAGGTTGGTTAAATGAGGACCCAGATTGTTGGGGGCAAGAGACTGACTCTGTAAACCGCTTAGAGTGGGCTGTAAAAGCATTATGAAGCAGCATATAAGTCTAAGGGTATGGCTATGGCTATCTGCAAAGTTTTGGAGAAAAAGAAATGGTGACCTCATGGCCGGGGATAAAAAATATGGACCTCTTTCATTGAGTCAAAGAGGGATCCCCGACTTAACTAGCGGTCTCATCTCTGCAGTCATTATAAGTGTGGGAGATTTCACCCAACACTCCCAAAGAACTGATTTCTGGAGTTGGCACAGCACCGTTGTATTCGTTGCCTCTTTGAAGATTGGCAGAGAAGCTCCCTTGGAAACCGATATGGGTCTCTTTCGCTCTCTTTACCCTGACAGGTTTTCCCAATGGGCGAGGAATATTTGGAGAGCTGGGAAGAATTTAAAAGCCGCCCCGAGATCAGACCCCAAGGAGGCCCTTTCACCATGCTGGAGTTTGCCAGGAAGTATTTCCGAGAAGGGCAGAAGGCAAAGACGTGAGTGATGGCAGAGAAGGGAACGTCTGGCAGAAATAGTAGCTGAATGAAAGGATGAAAGAAGCAGGCAGAAAGGGAGAGAATGAAGCAATTCCAGGAAGCCACCATCTCCCACGTTATCTTGGAATACCCCACATTTATGAAACCCCTGATAGTGTTTGGGGGGGTCATGGGAGGTGCCAGAGGAAAGCCAAGAGAGGGAGGGGGCGAAGCAGACAAGGTGAGAGATAGAGAGGATCTTTCATAACCAAAAATGAGTTTTGATCCCAACAGCATACCAAGAAATCAAATATCTAAAATGTTCACCAGGGCTAGAGAAAAGGGATTTTTATTTATTTCTGGTCAAGTTTTTGAAGATGGGCATCCTACAGTTGGAATCCTCCCTGCCCCCCAACACATACGGCATTCCTACTTTAATGTTTTATTGACTTTATGATTTCAGGGACAAGCAGAAATCAAAGAAGGGCGTCGAATCTAACACCGTGGCGGATATTCTGAAATACACCAAGGTAACCATGATGATTTCCTTCAGAGGCACACAGATTCCTTGGTCCCCTGACTTTACATTCTCACTTCTGCAACCGAACAAGCATTCTGTGCACAGCAGAGGCATAGTATGGGTAGTTCCCTCTTCAAGCCAAGTCTTGGACATACCCACCAGAGCGTGCCAAATATCTTCCCCACTGCTTCCTCCACGTGTTGAGTGTGAATCCCACACCAAACTGATCACCTCACTTGTTTTCCCCCTTCCTGGCTTTCCAGTCTCCCATTCAGGAGTCACTCATTGGATTCACCAACAGCAGCTTGAACAAAATAGCAGCAGAATCCTTCCATGGTGAGTCCTTCTCTTGTACCAAGGTGCCTGCCTCTCCTAGGAAGACATGGGCCTCCTGTGCCCTGAGTTCAGACTGACGGAAGCTCTCATCGGAGAAGAGTTTTGAGGCTACAGTTTTGTGGTCGTTGTGTTTCAGGAAACATCTACTGTTTCTTTTTCTCTCGCCGGCTGCCCAAAGTCAGCTCTACAAGCTTGGCAACCGAGACTGGTTGGCTTATGATAGCGGCATGAGCTTTCCAAACTTTGGAAGAGGTTGCTTCCATCCCAATGCTCTGCATGTCAAAATAGCAATGAGTGATTTAAGCTCTCAGCAGTCTTGGAAAAGTTGTCTTCCATCTCTTCTCCAGCACATCCAGGCTTGGAGAAGTCAGCCAACAATCTACGGCTGTTTGCTGTTGAGTCGATTTCTGGTGTAAATTAGGAAAATGATCTCATTCTGTAATTATTGCAAAGCTTCGCAAACTAACTAAGTGCTCAGCCATTAATGCTAAGCATGCCGTATGATGGGCAAACAACGAGTTGGTTCACTCATGCCAAGTCAAAACAAGAAGCTAGATTATGATGACATCTTAACCTAACAAAGGTATGAGTAGTTGAAGAGATAATCCCAATTGAAAAAGGCGTGTGTTTTTTTGTGTCCCCCCCAGCTGTGATGAAGTTCATGGGTGACCTCCCACTCAAAGGACAATCTGAGCTGGATGTGGTCTATGCTTTGTTGAAGGTAATCTTCTTTGCAGTGTTGGCTTGTATCAAACCTTGTGGAGCAGAAGATGGACGTGTTCCAGGTTTTGGCGGTGTGCTTTTTTTTAGTTGAGGGGGTGCAGTTGAAAGGTGAAGGTACTTTAAGTTAAGTGAAGACTAGCTGTAAATCTCCAGAGTTTTCTGAAATCCAGTGTTTTGCTGGGAAATTTCTGTAGTTTTGTGCTTTGGGGAGTTTAGGATCCTGCAAAAATAGGAGGTAGGGAGCTCATTGCCAACAAGAATGGTCTGCCCCTTCGGTAGAGGAGGTTTTTTGGATTCTATGTGGTCTGGGGGGGGCGCTAACTGGCCAAGCCTTTCCAGGTGAGAAGATCTTTGGGAGAATCAGTGGCTGACCAATTATGAGAGAGAGGAGCGGGGAATAGACTCTTTCCTCCCATGCTCTCTTCCTGCTTCTTCTCCAGCTCTGTGGAAACCACGAGGTCATCCGTGATGAAGTTTTCTGCCAGATCCTCAAACAGATCACGGACAACATCAGCAACAAGACGTAAGCCAACCCTTCAATCTTTCATGGCTTTCCGGAGTCCAGTGTTCCCCTCCCTAGAGTTCTCCAGGTGAGTTGTATTTCAACTCTCCTAGCTACTGGCTCAGGAGTATGGGAGTCGAAGTAGCATATATCCCAAGGAGACCATGTTGGAGCAAGCTGCAGTAGATAATAGTACAGTGTGGGCATACCCACCTCATATAACTCACCTTTAGTCCTTGGGCAGTCAAGGGACAGAAAATACTTTTCAACCCAAAGGAGTTTGGAGATAGAGCTGTTTTGGGGAAAGCTTCCCCCAGTTGGGGCCTCTCAGGAGGAGGAAGGGACCCCTTCTTCTCTCTCTGGGGGAAGGCAGAAACACAGGCTCCAAGCCAGAAGCTGAAGTCTAATGCCAGGGAACCTTTGCCGTGTTAGCTCTGGGGTCCCAAGAGAGGCCAGGAGAACCAGTGCCTGAGTCAGTCCTGCTCCTATCTCTAGCTATGGGTAGAGCCTCCCCAAGATCCAGCTGAACTTTCATACTGGTGTCTCCTTTGGCCTAGGGACAGCTGCCCAAAAGGATGGAGGCTTCTGTACATCCTGAGTGCCTATTATAGATGCTCCGAAGTCTTCAAGCCCTACCTTCTACAGTTCCTCCAGGAAGTCTCGGCCCACCCTGGTTTGCATTTCCAAGGTGAGCTGGTGCTGGAACTTTCCACGAAAAGACTCCCCATGTGGCCCAAGATTATTTCAACTCTGGCCTGTCCTAGGCTGCATAAACAGAAGGATAGAAACAAGATCACGTGAAGTGTTGCTACCACTTTATAAGGCCTTGGTAAGGCCACACCTGGAATCCTGCATCCAGTTTTGGTCGCCACGATGTAAAAAAAGATGTTGAGACTCTGGAAAGAGTGCAGAGAAGAGCAACAAAGACGATTAGGGGACTGAAGACCCTTACCCACTAATTTACGCATATGCTCACCTCTTAACTTTTTTAAAAAATTGAAAAAACAGCTACAAAAGACAATAGGGAATGTATTGAGGAAATCCTGGGGGTTTGTCCCTTGGCCCTCTGTACAGTCAATGCTCTAATCTCCCATTTCAAAGGATCAAACTGGAGTCTTTCAGGGTTTGGGTTTTATTATTTGCAATAACTGAGTTATTTTTTTAAAAAAAAACCCAAACATATTTGCATTACCAATAGTGGAAATCTCTCCTTCTCTCATCCACGTAAAACATTGCCTCCCTGGGGGGAAGTAAAGTGAATTAAATGCTTCGATTCCCAGGACAAGGCAGGTGTTAAAATCTAGCTGTTGGAGGAAGAAAACTGACAGGGCTTAAGCCAAAATTCATCAATCAAACGTACTTGCTCTCCAATCGCTAAAACGTGGAAATGAATCCATCTGCTCTGTCTACGGCTGGAAGAAAGCCTACTGGGTCACATCGCAGCCCAGGGTTATTTTCTCATTAATCTCTCTCCGGTGGGACAGAGGGGATTGGCAAAGATGGATGACCCCTAGTTTGGCTTCCAGCTGGGCCATGATTCCAGCCCATCAGCACCTCTCTTCGGCTGGAGAGGAACGCTGCTGCCATTGGAGAAAATCTGGCGCTTGGGAGGTTCTCAACCATGGAAGGTTAGGGAATGAATCAAGCAGGAAAATTGCCACCCATCCGGTCCTGCTTTTCAGGGCTCAGTAGCCCGCTCCAATCTATATGCTGCAGAGGGAAGCAAATATGGGCAGAGCGGTCTACCTAGGTTGGAGTGAGAAGATTTAATCTCATGAGTGGGACTTCTCCATGGGCGATTGAGAACGTTCCACCTCTTCTTCGGGGTGTTCACCTCTCTGCTTCTCTGCTTCAACCTCCATCAGGCATCGCCAAGGCCTGCGAGCAGAATTTGCTGAAGACTTTCAAGTTTGGGGGCCGCTGTGAGTTTCCTACTGCTGTGGAGCTCCAAGCCTTGGTGGTGAGTTCGGGAGGGAGGGAGGGAGGGAGGGAGGGAGGGAGGAAAGAAGGAAGGAAGGAAGGAAGGAAGGAAGGAAGGAAGGAAGGAAGGAAATGATCATATCACCTGGGAAGGGGTCACCTAGAGAGGGATGGTGGCTTTGCTATTGGGCTGAAAGAGATGGGCAAGTAAGATGCCTCCATAGCACCCACTTTCCCATTTATGTCCCTAATAATTTTGCTTTTTGCTATTCTTCCTCCTCCTCCTCCTCCTCCTCCTCAGGCTGGAAGAAGTTCAAAGCGCCAGCTCTTTCTCCTTCCAGGAGGGATCGAAAGGCACCTCAAAATCAAAACTTGCTCGGTGAGTACCAAAAAACCAGCCTCCCTTCCCTGATCTGATGCAGCCAGCGAATAAAGAGGGAGTGTTTGTACACTAAACTCCAAAGTGGCATGTTTCAAGTGTCAACAATGCACCAGCTGGCAGCCCAGCATTCGCCTTCCACGAAATCTTGCAGAATATAATATCTTTCCTCTTGGTCTGTATGAGTTGTTTCCAGAGCTTACTCCGGAAAACCATGCCTATCTTTTCAGGAAGCAAACTTAAAGTTCCACTTAAAACTTTTATGCTCAAAATGCACTTTCAGCCAAAATGGGCCGAGTCCACTCTGTTACTTTTCCCAAAGACAGATCCTAGCCCACTTTCCCCCACAATGTCAGGTTAACATAATTTGTTCCTTCTCCTTTTTCAACATTTCCTCTTACAGCCTCCTCTACAAACACATAGACCCAACAATCTTCTGGCAGAAAAATTCTGTGCAGTTCCGACATTTGAACCTTCCACATTTTGACCTGTTGCTAGGCATTTACAATTCTCCTTGGTGCAACTTCCTGTCCATTCATTTTTCTAGGTAGCCCAGGATGTCATCGAAGAGATTTGCTTCGAAATGGGTCTGCACCAGCCGGAAGCCTTCAGGGAATACATCATTTTTGCTGTCTCAAGTAAAAGTGAGTTGATGAGGCTACAAGGGAGATAATTTCCCTTATTCAGGCATCGAGAAACAAACACCTTCCTTTCTGTGGGCTGCATCTTTCAGATGTCCAGCTGCATCCATGCTACAAAGCCATCCAGCATCTCATAATTACTTGCAAGTTTTCCTTAGGCCCCTAATTCCGGGGGGGAGGGGGGGTTGCTTCTCCATCCAAGAAGCTGCTGCACCCTTATCTATCTATAATTCCCAGGAAAATTTATAGAAATGTTTAATGTGATGGTTAATCTGGTGAGCCCAGATTCTCATTCTTGGTTGGGTACCACAGAGTTCATTCATTGGAGCCATTGATGAATTTTTGTCTGTTCGTGTAATCCACCTTAACCTCAATATTTCGGATCCACTTGATTTAAAGCCAAGAGACGTGGCCTCTTTCTCTTGGTTTAAGCAGGAGAAATGTAGATATTTCCTTCAGATACTTGATCTCATGTGCAGAGTTGCAGAGAATCAACTGGTCCATCCATCGGCAAAGGGGAGCTTCTCACTTTGGCCCGCCCCATTGTGTAGGTTGCTTCGAAAATTTGATTCCCTCTGTTTCCACATCCCAGATCAGAACGTCCGGCCTTTGGACAGGCGGGAGTACATCCTGGATGTCACCCTGGAAATGGAGAACGTGGACAGCAGCTACATGTTCTGGTACCGGCGTGTGATTTGGGCCCAGCCGCTGAAATTTGACAATGAACTCTACGTCACCATGCATTACAACCAGGTGAGACCCTTTGAGGGAAACGTTGAGAGGAAAAACTCAAGATTTGGTTCTGTTCTGTGAAGACTCAAGCACCCTTTCTTAACTTAACCTGATTTCGTTAGTTAAACTATACTAATCGCATGGAAACACAGTAAATACTGAAACATTCTACAATATGATAATGCAATACCATACCGTATCAAAAGACTTTGAAATATACCGAACAGCTTGTGTTGCAGAACACAATCTCCTGCAAGCTGGTCTTTTCCAAGGGAGTCAAGCTTCATCTTCTGCCACCCCCATCGAACTCATCTGGAGGGTCTCAGGTTGAGTTAAGGTGGCTTCCTGGCAGTGATGATGTCACTGGTGTCTCTCTCACAGGTACTACCTGACTATCTGAAAGGTCTCTTCTACATCTCATCTTCTGCAAAGCCAAGTGACCAACAGTTCCAGCAAATTTCCAAATTGGCTGCTCTGCAGCTCTGGGTGAAGGGCCTGGCAACCTTGTAGGTGCCTTTGAATTATGGTGGTGTTTAGACAAGGCTAATGCCGCAGGCAAGAGGGAGGATGACTCCTGGGACTCAAGGCTGAGTGGGCAAAGACTGGGTGGGATAGTCACCACCTTCTGGGTGTGAAGCTGTAGCACCACCCTTGGGGTTGTCATTCTCTGTCTCCTTGGCTTGGAGGCTTGGTGGAGAACTTCCCTTTAGCTCCTCATGCCCCTGTTTCCTCAGCTGTCTGTGAATTCTCACCTAGTCCTTCTGCTTCTCCTCCAAGAAGGGAAATTCAGGACTACATCCCACCCCAGTTCTACCATCTGCAGAAGGCTCAGGCGTGGCTGGACATGGTGGCCCCCTTCATGCATCAAGCACAAGCCTTGAGCGCCCACCAAGCTCGGGCCCAATTCTTAGGTAAGGCCTTCTCCTTCCAAGGGGCCAGAAAGGGAGGGCAGACCAGCCAACCTTCTGGAATTCAGCTGCAAGAATGCTGGTTAGCCAAAAGAAATGCCTGCGATGTCACTCGGCCCTGTGTTTCTCGTTTCAAGAGTTCTCGGTTGCTAATCTCCCACATTCTCTGGCAGCTGCACAATAAACATACAAGAAGGGTTGGATGAGAGTCAAGTGAGAAAGAGCCCTACTTGATTGTCTGGATTTGAGGGTCCTGTGATTGTTTTGGAAAGCAGTGACCAGAGGCTTCCAGGAGATGACTTACGGAAGAAATAATCATCTCCTGCAATGACCATCAAGAGCATAAGTGTGATGTCCACACACTAAGAAATTCTTGATGTCTTATTCATGATTTAGGGATGGGGATAACCAACTTTGGCCCCTCAAAGACTTGTGGATTTCAACTCCCAGAATTCTCCAGCCATCAAGTCCACAAGTCTTTGAGTGGCCAAGGTTGAACATTCCTGATTTAAGGGATGCAATCCTCTAGTACTTTTAATTTCTTCTAAATGAGTAACCCTCGCACTGCTGAAGATTATGAATTCCCCAAGTTTGCAAGGAAGAGCTCTGCACAACCAGTTTCTATGTGGGTCCCGTTCTTGTTCTTCGTGGACAAGGAATTCAGTGACCTCCTGCTCCAGGTCCCCTTCTTTGAGCTGATGGTTGACCTCCGTCCATTGTAGGGCTCCTGAGCGCCTTCCCCATGTTTGGCTCTTCATTCTTCTACATCCAGAGTTGCAGTAACAACACCATCATTTCGCCCTGTATCCTGGCCGTGAACCAGAATGGGCTGAATTTTCTCCACAAGGAAACTCATGTAGGTGTTGTGTGTTTGTTCCTTTGACATCTCAATAGATTTTCTTCTGTTCAGATCTCGTTTGCTTGCTTTCTGCTAAGGAAAGGAAGCTTGGACTTTATGCCAGTCCTTGGGGAAAACCCTGCAAGTGGTTTACCAACAGATGATCCCGAGGATAATAAAAACGATGGGTTCTCTGCCTCAAAATATAGGGAATCTCATCTGCAGCATCAGAACAAAGCCCCCATTGAACAAACTACGAACAAAATTGATCACTGAACACCCCCAGACACATTCACACAATGTATGTATCAAAAAGGAAGAAAGAATAGGGAGAGGAGGAATCCTCCAGGATCAACCAGGTAGAAGGGAGTTTGGAGATTCCAAAGAGCTGTTTTGTGGGAGAATATCTGCAGAAACATTCTAGACTTCATGCAAGATGTGAATGGGATGGACATGGGCATTAAGTGACTACTACATCCAAGATGTGTGGGGTCAAAAACCAGCTCAGAGCATGGACTTCTCTAGTTCTTAGCCACAGGAGTCAGGGAGGGCCTGGGGAGACAGAAAACGAGCTTGTGGTTTAGACTGCTTGCTCTTCTTCTAAAAGTTTTCTCCTCCACTGTCCTAGCAACCCATTGTGACGTTCTCTCTGAAGGAGATCCACTCTACTCGGACCCAGAGACCCTCAGCCGGATCCAGCTACCCCTATGTGGAGATTATGCTGGGAGACCTGATGTCTCACAGGATCACACAGCTGCAGCTTAAGCAGGTATAGCAGGGGAAATGCAGGTCCCAGGAGAGCATCACAATTTCTCCAAAGCAGGATCTGGTCAAGGAAGTGGTTTATGGGTTTAAGGCTGTCATTCAAATGACTGAATTTTTCTTAAAAAAAAAAAAGTTAAGGAATTGCTTCTCAGGGAAATTATTGGGGAAACTAGAGAGGATTTTCTTAAGACTTAAGCTGGCTTTTTGTGCATACCCCTTAAATGTGTGGTGAAAATTTTGGGCGCTCTTTCTCAGACAAAGCAGTTGTCATATTTTAAGCCAAGCATAAAACAAAACCAAAAGTCTGAAAGACAAGCAAAACGAGGAAGATTTATTTATTTATTCCACATAATAACTAAATAAAAAAAAATGAGAAAGATGCAAACCGTTATTTACATCGATCTGTGGATTTGATTGTGGATTTTTGCAGCCAGAATTCTTGTTTTCTTTTTTTGAAAATTTAGACTGCCTGATTGTTAAGAATACAGCAAGTTTGGCCAGCCTGTTCAGAATATTGGCTCCATTAAGATGTACTTTGACTTTGTTGGAAATATGTTGAAGCTTAACTCATTTTCCTCCTTTCCCTTTCTGTCTCCTTCCCTGTCTCTTTCCCTGTCTCCTTCCATTGGCTTTGTGAAGCTTAACCTTCAGATGGTAGGTGTTTTCCTCATCGTAATTCTGATAAGGTATTGGGGTGCAACCTTTGAAGTGTTCCAGATGCTTCACTTCATTTGTTTTGCTGTCTTAACCCCCCTTAATGTTTATTATGACATAATTAGGACATAATGTCCTAATGTTTCCTCTGTTTGTATCTATTTTATGTACTCAATTCATGCTTATACTTACATAGATTACCCAACATGTTCTTGACAAATAAATAAAATAAAATAAAAAACATCTGCAGAGTAGGGCAAAATGGCTGTCCAGGCGGGCTAGAACAGGAGTGTTGCTCTAGGATCCATGAGTTTAGGATGGGAGCATTAGAAGTGCTGGAACGCTGACCCACCATGGCAGACTATGCAGCTTTTAAAGTTCTGAATAAACCCTTGAGAGGCGCGTCCTGACTTTCGTTGTGTCCTCTTTTTTCCCCCTCGCAGGGCCTGGAACTATGTCGTGTCATTGCCACCCACATGGAGAACCTGCTGCATGCCCGTGAAAAGCAGCTGACGCTGCCCCCAAGCGAGATTACTTTGTTGTGACTGGATCTGCTGCTCTGCGTCTCTCTCTCTTCCAGATTCCAGAAGAGATCCTGGCCCTACTACTGGAAGATATAGCTGAGCTGAAAACAGCTCATCCTATAGGATCCAATGACGTCCACATTGTCATCTCCAGATTTAAGGGTGGGAATGAGAGCAAGGTGACTTCAGGGCATCGCATCTGGATGGTTTGTGTGATGCAATAGAGCAGTGTTTCTCAACCTTGGTAGCTTGAAGATGGATGGACTTCAACTCCCAGAATCCCCCAGCCAGCGCTGCTGGCTGGTGGATTCTGGGAGTTGAAGTCCATCCATCTTCAAGCTACCAAGGTTGAGAAACACTGCAATAGAGGCTTCTGGTTTTCCCAGCTCCCTTCAGATGCTGAATTGGAACAGGGACCGCCAAATTCCAAAGAACTCTTAGAAGCATCTTGTATTTTTTTTTCATGTGGACTAGAAGCCTCTGCTGTTTCATACAGACTTATTCTATATTAACCAGTTGACTTGCCCAACAAAATGTCGGCCAGACAACACATTCTCCTTTGGGTGTAAATTGGTGGTTATGGCCAAAGCGAGAAATTATTTTGCCAAGTTTTTACTTGGCTCAATATTCTGTTTCCAACAGCTGATGGCCAGATGTTCTATAGAAACGTCTGAGCAAAATAGGATGATGATTCATCTGTTGTTTGTATCCAGACTAAATATATGTATAAAAAAGTTTTTAGAATTGTTTTTTTTTTAATAACTATTTTTCTCCTGTTTTATGGTTATGCCTCTCCAAACTGTAACTCTTTATTTATTCATTAATAAAAGCAGTTGATCCATCTTTAGAAACGACATTGTTTCATATTAGGGCAAGATACGGCAGCTGTATAAAATAGCGGCTTTGGAAACATGAGATCAGATTGCGAAGGTATCAGATTACTACAGGTAGCCCTCATTTTACAACCAACGGCTTGTATGATGGCAGCGAAAGTATTATAGCACTGGAAAAGTGACTTAGGAGTGTTCCCCTGTGATGGCGATTTGGGCACCTGCCAACTGACGTCTTAAGAGGGGTTGCAGAATTCTTCAGCAGCCAGAAGAGCAAAGTTCGGGGTGGCTCTTTTGCACTTCATTTAAGCTCTAAGCTTGGGTGCCCCCCCCCACTAAGTCGGAGCAGGGCCACCCACCCACCCACCCCCGATTGGCTCCATGCTCTGCAGCTCTATGGATTTCCATCTCCTGCTTTTGAAGTCCCCAGTGCCATTGGGATTTCCTAGTGGTCTCCCATCCATCGACGTCTTTGCTCCGCAGAGCTGCAAATGGGGCTCGGGCGGCAGCGCTTTGGCTTCAGTGGTGCTTTTCAACTTGCTCGGTGTGCATTGCCAAGGGAGGAGAGGCTTCTTACATTTTATTCATTTATTTTATTTATGTGCTGCCCATCTGGTCCCTGGGCCACTTTCGCTCTCTGCATTTGCAAACCAGACCCTTTAACAAAGGCCTTTTGGGGCTGCACGCATGCTCCCAAGGGCTGGCTGGGGATGATGGATCTGGATCCCTGGCTGGAAGAATCTGCAAAAGGAATTTCCCACAATGCTTCGGGGTTGGCAAGAGCCGCCTGCGCAAGGCATCATGGGAGGCGTTTCAAAGAGGAAGCAACTTCTTCGCTTGCAGTCACTTCGGCCGGCTCTCCGCGCGCGGATTTCACTTTGGCCAATCAACGAGCATCCTTTTCAGGTAACTCCGCCCGGCAGGGGAAGCGTAGCCAATCGGCGCCAAGGTGGCCACGCCCCAACCCTTACCTCAGTCTCCCAGCGTAGACTCGTTAGGCACCTTCACACCGCCGGCCGAGAAGATGCATGCTTTGTGCGCCTGCGCTGTTCCCCGGCTGAGCATGCGCAACGGGACCCCTCCAGCCCTCTTTTCACCACGCATTTTGATTTCCGGCCGCCGTAGGGGAATACCCATTGCATAACATTCACCGAGGGGCGTTTCGCACTTCCTGATTCGCGTTTTCTTCAGAAAGAAATCCTCCCCTCCCCCCCCCCCCGAGCCTTTCTCAGGAGAGTTCTGACTCTGAAGCGACCCCCCCCCCCCCCCCCCCCACGTGCCGCTCTACCCCCTCCGCTCGTTGGTGGCGAGAGCCGCATGCGCAGAGCCCTCCCGGCCCAGAGCCCGCTTCCTTTCGTCGCGCGGCCGGGGCGGGGCTTGGCCGCGTCTGCGCAGTGAGGCGCGCCGGCGGCTGCGCCTGCGCGGGAGGCGCGGCTTGCGCTCTGAGGAGAAGGCGGAGGAGGATGCCCTGAAGTTATTTATAATGTCGGGCCGGCCGCGGGTGACGTAGCGAGCCGTCCGGGCAGCGGGAGCATCGGCGGTAGCCTCGTCCCCTCGTTCGCCGCGCCTGCGCCGCCATGAAGGGAGCCGGGCCGGCGCTGCGGCGGCAGCCGGGCTCGGGCGGCGCGTGGTGAGGGCGGGCGAGCCGGCCGGAGCGCGGTGAGTCCGGCCAGGCGAGGCCCCGGCGCCCTTCCTGGCCTCCCTCACGCCCGGGGGTCCCTCGGCGGGGCCTATCCTCTCCCCTGGGGGGGCCTCATTGACTCTGCGGGGGGTCGCAGCCTGACCCCCCCCCGTGGCCACGTGACAGGGAGGAGGGGTCCTGCGGGGGGTCTCCTCCTCCTCCCTGGGGGAGGGGCGCCTTGGGGGCCCCCACGAGGAGCGTCCCCACCTGGCCAGACCCCCAGCCTTTTGGGGGGGGGGGCTGATAAGCAGCAGAAAGCAGAATCGGGGGGGAGGGGAAGGTGGCGGATGTGGAAGGATCCGCAGGGGAGGAGCTGCCCCCCCTCCTCATTAGGGGGGTGGGGGGGGCGGCAGGAGCTTTCCCCCCACCCGCAGGCTGCCTGAGTCACTTGTCGGGGAATCCGCGTGGCCGGCGGGGATGCTGCGCTTTCCCTGCTGGTGCCAACGGGGCCACTTCCTGCTCTGAGCCTGGTGGAGAAAGGGAAGGGGGGGAAGGGGCCTAAGGGGCTCCTTTTGCGGGGAGGGGGCAGAGGGGAAAGGGAAGAGCAGCCGGGGCTCTTTGCCCTTCTCTTGCCCTCTTGGTCAGGCCTTCCTGACTTTGATCCCTGTGCCCCCTTGCCCAGGGAAAGGCTGGCGGGATGGGTTCCCGGGGGCACGTAAGGACTTTTCCTCAACATCCTCAGTCTCCTGACCATCTCCTGTAATTTGTTTCTCTCTGCAGGTGTGAGATCTCCGAGGTCTTGGCACACACGTCGGAGGAATAAAATTGGTGGCTCCAGGTGGAAATGCCGGGCTCGGTGCCTGTCTCCCTTCAAGCCTTGGGTTGAAACTGAATAAGTAGCTTTCTCGCAAGACTCGGAGTCCTCTTGCCCCTGTTCCGGGGGGGGGGGCAAGGGGGAAACTCTTGGAAGGGAAGGAGGGGGCATCCTCCCCATCCGGAAAGGCCCTTGATCAGGGCGGAGGCCAAACTGTAGGCCTTTGGCTTTCTTTCCTCCCGGGGCTCGTTCTGCAACGCCAGACCATGCCGTGAATATTATAGCAGGCCATCCCTCTCACCAGCCCTTCCAACCGCACCTCAGGGAATTTAACCGAGAGGGCAGCAGTGACCAGGGGACTGGCCATGGCTGGGAGTGGATATACGGACCTACGAGAGAAGCTCAAATCGATGATGCCTTACCGGGACGGCTACAAGAGCAGCAGCGGCAAGAGCAGGCGGGATCCTGCCGAGTCCCCCTATGGAGCTGGGGGGGGGAGCCCCCGAACGCAAGCGCAAGCACCACCACAATTCCGACTCGGAGCCTTCCGACTCTGAAGACCCCCCACGGGAGGAGGAAGAGGAAGAGGAGGCCCAGAAGGTCAAAAGCGGCATCCGGCAGCTCCGCTTGTTCAGTCCTGAGGAATGCGTCAAGATCGAAGCACGCATCGATGAGGTGGTCTCCCGGGCCGAGAAGGGCCTCTATAAAGAGCACACGGTGGACAGGGCCCCACTCCGGAACAAGTACTTCTTTGGGGAGGGCTACACCTATGGGTCTCAGCTGCAAAGGCGAGGCCCCGGCCAGGAGCGACTGTACCCGCGGGGGCAAGTGGATACCATTCCTGAGTGGGTTCACGACCTGGTCATCCGCAAGCTGGTGGAACACCGGGTCATCCCCGAGGGCTTTGTGAACAGTGCGGTGATCAACGACTACCAGCCGGGGGGCTGCATCGTCTCCCACGTGGACCCCATCCACATCTTCGAGAGGCCGATTGTGTCGGTGTCTTTCTTCAGTGACTCAGCACTCTGCTTCGGATGCAAGTTCCAGTTCAAGCCCATCAGGGTCTCCGAGCCGGTCTTCTTCCTGCCCGTGCGAAGAGGGAGTGTCACTGTACTCAGGTAAGGAAATGCCGCCCTGGGGGCTCCCCTGCGCTTGGCCTCTTGTCTCACCTGCCTGCCCAGTGACTTGGTTTGCTCCAGGCCATCTGAGCCCTTTTCCTTTCTGCGGTTGATTCTGAAAGAGGGGATGTTTGACCGCCATATTAGAACAGAATAGAGCTGGAAGGGACCTTGGAGGTCTTCTAGTCCAGCCCCCTGCACAAGCAGGAGGACCTATACCATTTCAGACAAATGATGGTCCAGTCTCTTCTTAAAAATCTCCAGTGATGGAGCACCCACAGCCTCTGAAGGCAAGCTGGTCCACTCTTAATTGTCCTCACTGTTAGGAAGTTTCTTCTTAATTCCAAATTGCTTCTCAATTAGTTTCCACCCGTTGTTTCTTATCTTGGTCTTTGGTGCTTTGGAGAATAATTTGACCCCCTTTTTGTGGCAACCCCTCAAATACTGGAATAAATACTGGGTTAGAGATTCCTTGTTGAGCCGCAAAGGATTTTGCTGGCTCAGTCTGCCTGGATGTAAGCGGTTCTTGTTTATTGAAAGGCTGATTTTCAAGCTGTCTTCCGGGAACTTCCAGAGTCTTCTAAGAGAGGCTCAGTTCACAAGGTCTGTTGCGATGAACAAGCCTCAATATTTGGTTTTAGCCATCTCGCTAATATGCTGTTGGGCCCAGAGAAGTCGTTTCACAGCACGGTCCCAGATTTGCATAAGATAAGATCATAACCGGGTTGATGACGTGAGCTAAGTGTGCAATTTAGATTGCAGCTGGCAGAACATTTGAGTTCCAGGCTTGGTGTGGGGTGACTCCACAGAGAGCAGGCAGTCTTGAGAACCGTAGAGGCCGAAGGAAGCTTGACGTGAGCAACATAGGCGTCGTAACGGTAGAAAGTAGTTCATTTTAAGATAAGTGCAGAGCAGCGTGTCCAGAATAAGAATAGTTAGTGCCCTCCATGTTAGAAGAAAGAGCAGGGTGGGGAGAAAACCCCAGAAGATCATACTGGAGGCATCAGGAATCGAGGCAGAAGAAGGGACATCCTGCCCTACTTCACGCATCTTCTGCAAAAGGCTTGTGTGGGTTTGCACCTCAGCTGGAAATGTTTTGACTGCCAGGGTGCACCTTCCAGCTGAATGTGAGCCTAATGACTTGCTCAGAATGCAAATTGGAGAACGGCATGACTGATCAGTTCCCTACGGCAGCATTTTAAAGAACAAGACGCAACCTCGGCAGCGCACAGGAAGGCAACAACGGAGCAAATGCTAGGCCTGAGGGTCTCTTCTGAGCCAGCAGTTAACCTCTGACGTTGGCCCCTAGGGAGGGCATGGCCTGGTGAGGAGGACTTACCTACCATGCTCATCATTGAGGGCCGAGACTTGTCCTTTCCTATCAGGTGGATTTTGCAGAAGGTCTTAGTTCTCTAAAACAATGACTTCTTCTTTTTTTTCTGGAGGAGGGAATAATCATTCAGCGATTCTATCTAGAACAGTTTCTGCTAAAGCTGTAAAGCTGCAGCTGTAACTTGCAATCCTTGGCTCTTTTTTTTTTTTCCCTTTTCCTGTACATCCCACCACTTTCTAGCTCTGATTTTTTCCCCCTGTAAAACACAGGATGGAGATGATCCTGGATAATAAGAGATAGTATTGCCTGTGGCAATTAGCACCTCGTGAAGGTGGTGCCGCTGCTTCTTCACAAGCCCCAAGTGTGAACTAGTACAAAATGCTGGGTCAGGACAAACTCGTGACAAACTGTATTTATAGGCTTGTAAGCCGGAACCAGTTTTCTGCCAGGATGAGTCAAGCCTCCCTAATGATTCAGCGTTGCCATGGTAAATGGAGGGCAACCGATCGTTTGGGGGGTCTGAGGAGTGAAGTTTTCTCACTCTTGGAAGTGCTCCGCGAGGGGTAAGGTGATCCCCTGCTTGCCTTGGTAAGCTGATCTCCACGCGGTCTGGGAGGAAAGCGTCTCGGCAGCACAAGCAGAGTCTTACACAACGGCCCAGGTGCATCAATAACAAAGAGAAGCAAAAACTGAAGTGTTATGTCCAGGGCGCCTCCCACATATTAACTAAGGTTCGTGCAGGAGACAAAGTAGCCTCGACAGTCAGGAAGAGGCCAAGCAGCCGCATAGAAAAATGACCTGCAAATCTGAGGTGTTTTTGGTAGCAAAGGAGTTTTAGGCAGAGTGATTGCTGAGGATTCTTAGATGGCTTATTTGTACATGTAGCAAAACACATTCTTGTGTAGTTGGCAGGTGGTCATTGGCCTTCTGCTTTCTAGCACAGGAGGAGGCTTCTAATTCACCTGTTTATTCACCTGCATGGCACAGCCAACACCCCCAAAAGATACCAGGACAGTTGACCCAGGAGAGCAATCTTATTAGCACAGGTAGCTGAGAAGGTATTATTTTCACAGCTTTTGCATTCTGCCTAGAAGTTGCTTCTTTGGGCCTTCAGGTTTGGACCTTTTCGTTGTTAATTTTGGCTGGGGATCACCATGGCTCTCTGTTTCCTGTGTCGAGCTGGGCCTCCTAAGAAGCTGAGCATACTGCTTTTTGCCACTTACAAAGCCCACCTGTGTTTCGGATTGCCCAAGTTGGGAGAAAAAAGAGGTTCTAACCAAACTGGGGGAGCCCTTTGGTGAGCAGGTTTACAAAACCACCTGAACAGAGAGCTGCTTATCTCTTTCAAGATAACCTCCGCTTCCTCTGCCAGTTTACCAAGGCAACCTGTGGGGTTTTTCTCCCCAGAAACCTGGTACGGTTACAATAGGGCCAAGGGCACCGTGCAGTGCCTTGACATTTATTTCCTGGCAGGCTGGTTTCCAAGGTAAGGGGAAGACATCTCGCCACTAAATGCCCTTTAAACAAGCAGTTTAGACTTCAGTCTGCGGGCAGCAAGTAGGTGCAGCGTTCTTATGCATTAACTTTAAAGTTTTGCTGGTTCAGAAGGGGGGCAGCTTCCATTTCTTTCAGGTTTTCTTGAAACAACCAGCAGAGTCTTCAAATCCAGCCAGTGAGCCGGATCTGAACCTTCAGCCAAAGAAGTAGCAACTTCTGAATGTAGCTGCCTTTAGGAGCTATAGGGGCAGGTAGGCAGGGACACGTTCTTAATCCTGCTTAATCAGAGGCCTCCTGCCAAGATGGCACTGAGCAGAAATTACGAGAAGCGGAGCGGCCTGTATTCCTTCTCCATAACGTCTGGTGTTATGTAGATTGATTTGTGTTGATTTCTCTTGAGTTACACCCCCCACCCCCATCTTCTAGTATTCGCCACAGCTTCTCCAAACCCATCCCCTGGCTCTTTCTAGGCTGTGCTTTCTGATATTTACAGTTGCAAGCCTTGTTCCTGCGTTTGTGTTGTTTGCGGTAGGAAAGGACAAGCGTTCCACAACTACACACAGCCTTTGCAACTGATCAACCAAGTTGGAATGTTTTCTTTCTCTTAATAGGTAGCCAACAGGTTTTTGTTTTTTTTTTGCATTAAAGATAAATGAGAACAGTTCCATTTCTATCCAGTTCTGGACAAAGCTTGATTGTGGACGCTGAGTGAACTTGATGAAATTATTGGGAACGTCACCATATGGTGACACTCTTAGAATAGCTGAGATCACTCATGTTGGAAGGCAATGCATTTGACATGTGTTTCCACTGCCGGCCAAGGTTGGATTAATAGCCATGACGGTTCCAGTGGATCTTGGTAACAAAACTAGAGTCTTAACCACACCGGCTTTATAGGGAAGGGTGGATGTTTTGTTTTTTTCTCTTTTCTTTTTCCGTTCAGTTGTGTCCAATTCTCAGAAACTGCCTGGACAAGTTACTGCAGTTTTCCTGGCAAGGTTTTTCAGAAAGGGTTTGTATTGCCTCCTTCCTAGGCTGGGAGAAAGTGATTAGCCCAGGGTCATTCCGCTGCTTCATACCTAAGGTAGGACTAGAACTCAGGTCTCCCTGATTTCTGGCCTGATGCCTTAACCACTGTGCCAAAATGGCGCTCGTGAATAATCTGAGGCCCTTTCTTCGAGTGTCTTGCCGCCCAAGCCATAGCAGCTGGGTGTAAGAGAGAAGATAACCCCCCTGTTGTCATTTCTGTCTCCTGGAGGTACCGGCCCCAAATCCTAATTACCGGCCCAGCCTTTTAATCTACCCAGCTTTTCAAATTTATGCTCACCTATTTGTCCTCAAATTGGTTTCATTCTGTTTTTACTTCACACACGAGTGTTGCTTAAGAGACATCCTGTGATCCATAGCCTTGTTATTTTCTTGCATTTAAGTGTCCCAGACGTAGCTTTGTGAGGTGTGTACCAGTTAGTACCAGTTAGTACCGACCAGATAACTTACAAAACAAGAATTGGAGTTTAGTCCTGAAACTTTTTTCTCAGAATTGGGGTTGGTTCTGCAAAACGTTACTATCTCAGTGCATTTTCTTAGGATTTTGGTAGCTGGCTAAAGAATACCCATGAGTTTATGCTATATGACCTGTCTTGGCCTCTTGAGCTGCTGAGAGCCGGCCTTTTAGACCACAGACACTTGGTTATACTAGCTGTGCATAGCAAAATATTCCTGAGTTTGTCAAACTGACCAAGAGCTTGAAGAGTGTTATTTTTTCATAGAAAGATCTGGTATCTAGATCTGGTATCTAGCAAAGACAGGCTTGGCTAGCACATAGGGGTCTCGATGATGCTGTGGTGTAAATCCAGCCTACCAAGGAATTTCAATGCCGCCTAATTTTGGGGGAATGGCAGTCCCAATACATCTAGGAGAGCTGTTGTGTTCTTTTGTCTTCTATCTCCTCCTCTGTAACATTGTCAGAATAGATGCTTATCTGATCTTTGGTCAGAAAAGGATCAGAGTGGAATATCAGGATATAAACCAAATATCTTTATTACAGTCTTTGACCAACCTGTGATATCAGGATATTGACAGGAGCTAGGAAAATTCAAAGCAATTTGATTGGAGACCCAAAGTATGCGAGAGGACCCCACTTGTGGTGGGCCAATATTTGTGGCTCATTGAGTTAAGGATTTGGGGGAGGCGATGGAGTGCTATAAGTAGTATTGAAAATGGGGGAGCCCCTTGAGCTATGGAGCCCCAGATAACTTTTCCTGCAAGGCCTGGCCAATCATTCTTTGACAGAGGCACAATGTTTAGCAGCCCTTCAAGGAGCAGCCGTGGTTGCAGACTTGGTAAGAAAAATTCCCAAAGTAAAATCCTGTGCTCTAAAGTCCCTTTTGTTTCACACAGTGGCTACGCAGCTGACGAAATCACACACTGCATTCGACCACAGGATATCAAGGAGAGGAGAGCTGTGATCATCCTTCGGAAGTGAGTGGCGGGATCTCTTTGAAGGGAAAGCTATTTTCCTGTTTGTCTTATTTGCTGGTTTCCGATGGTTCCCTTGGATTTAGTGCAACTGATGCTGACTTGTTGTCCGTGCTTCCTCCGTCCTCCTGCTTCTGAGGTGTTGCCTCTTGAAGCATTTATTTAAGGAGGGGGCAGACTTCTCGGACCTTTCTGTAGACATGAATCACTGAACCATGAGCAGTTGGAGAAGCCAAGAAAGGACCTTCTTAGCACACAAATGTCTTGCCTTGTTTTTTCAGAACTTGCAACTGGGGGAGGTTGGAAGCATGCTAAGTCAGCGCTTCTCCAACCTTGGCAACTTTAAGCTATGTGGACTTCAACTTCCAGAATTCCCCAGCTGCTACACCCCAGTAGAAGGCAGAGGCTCTGTTTGAAATTGTGTTTGAAAACTTGAATGCTTCCAGCCGTTTTATACACAAGGGAAACTTGAATTAAACTCAACCTTGTGGTTCCACTATGGCCTCATGCTGTCATCCAGCCGATAGTCCCAGGCGGTTATCCCAGGATATCTGCATCCTGCTAGCAAAGTCTTCTGCAGACTGGAAGTAGATTAATTACTGCTGTAGTCCACAGGGAAGCAATGGTGTCATCTGATTTTTGTTAACCTCCGGTAATTTGTATCAGGAAAGCAGCTAGAAAAGAGCAAGGAGGCTTTGAGACTCGCACAGTAATAATTACCTTGTAAGATTATACCTCGTCATTATGCTCCCGTAAGCACTTGAGGTCACAACAATGGAACAAAAGCTGGAATATAAACTAAAATTCTATCCAAAACTAGACCATGAAGATCAATAATTAAAAGCCTTTTATGGAAGAGTGGCAGCTAAAGGCATCTTCCCGCAAAGAGCATTCCAGTACAGTATTGCCTACTGTAGCCATACCTGCGCTAGCCAGATCAATTTCTAAAGGGCCTCCTTTGTTGATCTCAAAACACCTGGGCAGGTTCGTAGAGAGAGAGGCGGTCCTTTGTTGCTTTCGCACTTGCGATGCCCACACCAACATCTTGAGTTGTGCATGTGAAGCTTCCACCTGCCAGCACAGATCTTCTGGTGCCATCGCACGCTCCCTGCACCTTCTGCCGGTCAGCAGCTGGCCCTGCGCTTATCCAGCAGTGCAGCACTGCGCTGTGTGCCAAGATCGGTGCACACGTCTCAGTCCTGCAGTCCTGGAGATCCGGCCTTTTGCCAAGAGAGACGAGGGAGAGAGCACGTTGCGGGGAAAGGATCTGGCATGGATGGAGTGGAAATTCCCTTCAGCTGCCTGGTTACCGTGTGGTCATAAACACTTCAGGGCAGCTGAAGTGTTTTTGTGGGTGGGTGGAGGACTCTTCTTATAGGCCAGGAAAGTCGTTGATGAACATGGAGCAGAAGGAACAGCCGGGAACAAAAAAAATGTGCCCAATTTCTAGGGTAAACAGAGACCAAAAAACGCTTCAGCGCAGCTTGGTCCTCGGTGGCTTTGGCGAATGTGTGAATTTTCCGCTGTCCTCTTACTGCGAGGCAGACTTGGGAGCCTGTTTGAATGTTAGGGTCGGTACTGAAATATCAAAAGGCATCTCAGTTTCTCAGCCATTGGCTACTTTTTGTGGCTGCTTCATCCCTTTAAAATGTCTTAAAGTAAACATGTTAGCATGGAGCAGTTGGGCTCTTTAAAACATAAGGAAATTTGGACAGAAGCCGGTTGAAAATGAATGATGAGAAATGATAAAATGGTTTTGTTTTTTTTAACTAGCAACAAAGGGCACCCTGGCTCTTTTAAAAGCTGCTTTTGTTCTAAACTGAAACTGGCCCTTTCTCCCCCCTGATGCTTGGGAGAATGCCTGGTCAGCCTGACTTCCCATTTTAATATTAGTTTGGAAGTTTCCATTTCGCCCTTATGGAATGGGTTTTTTTTTAAATTTTGCATTTATGTACTAACTGCTGTGCTTCAGTCATGCGGGATGGTGCAGAGGGTTGCGCTTATTACACGGAGCCCTCTAGTTACAACGGTTCGCTTAGTGACCGTTGAAAGACAGCGTCACTGGAAAAAATGACTTATGACCATTTTTCACACTTACGACCGTTGCAGCATCCCCGTGCTCACCTGATCAAAATCCAGATGCTTGGCAACTGACTCCCATACCCTCTTTTGACAAGCAAAGTCAGTGGCGAAGCTGAGTTTCGCTTAACAACCCTGAGCATTCAGACTTGTGTGGGTGTGTGAGACGCAAGGTATTTTGTGTGATGAGTGGCCCCTGGTGACGAATGCTGTGGTGCTGTCTAATATTTCCAGAACCAGAGTAGACGCCCCCCGGCTGGAGACCCGATCGCTGAGTAGCTCTGTGTTGGTCCCTGGCTACGCTTCAGACCGCCTGTCAGGGAGCAATCGGGACCCCATCCTGAAGCCAAAGAGGTCCCATCGCAAAGCAGACCCTGACGCAGCCCACCGGTAAGAAGCTCCACGGGAGGCAGGCTGGCACTGGGGGGCGGGGGGGGGACACACACACACGAGACTGTGGTTGGGTGGGATCTCAGCCTTTCCGAGTCAGTCCATGCATGCAAATCTCTTTTTCTTCTTCCTTCCGGCAGACCTCGAATTTTAGAGATGGATAAAGAGGAGAACCGGCGCTCGGTCCTCTTGCCTAAACACCGGAGGCGGAGTCATTTCAGCTCTGAGAACTATTGGCGAAAGTCTTACGAGTACACAGAAGACTTGGAGGAGGAGGAAGAGGAGGAGGACGACGACGAGGGGAGTCCGGCGCGGAAAGTGAAAATGAGGCGGCATTGAGGAATTCTTTGACACCCACATCCTCCTTCCCCAGTCTTAGAGGTGATGAGACTGGCCTTCAGGCTGTGAAATTGAATCTTTCCCCTTGACCCTCTCTGAGTTATTTCTCCTTTAGCTTCAAGGTTATATTGCCCCTTCTCTTCCTGTTTTATCTTGAAAAAGAGCTGGAACAAATCTGGCTTCCTCCCTCTTTTCCTTCCTTCCTTCCTTTCTCCCTCCCTCTTTCCCTCCCTCCCTCCAGCATCCACGCTGACTAGGATGTATGTGGTGCCACCTGCCCGCTTTCTCGGGGCAGGTGGCCATGCCTCATAGCAGAGGCAGCTCTTTTTTTTTTTTTTTTTAAGAGGAAAAAATAAAACAAAGCTCCGTGGTTCCATCAGAGGCGTTGGGCTGGAGCAGATTTTGAAGATGCCAAAAAGCGATGCGTTTTGAGTACGCTGAGGGCTGGCAGAGTTTCCTCTGCTCCGAAGCTGCTGCTGCTGCTTCCTCCGAAGGCTCCCCCCCACCCCTCGCAGCCTTTTCACACCGCCACGGACACGGCGATGCCTCTCTCTCTCTCTCTCTCTCTCTCTTGCCCCCTCCTTGCTCCGTCTTGCACCAAAGGGCTCCCAATGCTGACTATTGCGAGAATTTTTCTCCCGCAGTGTTGAAAAAGCTGCTTTCCTCCAGCAACTGGAAGTCCCGGCCAGCTCCTCTCAACAACACCGGACGGCAAAGCGTATAGGACATGTTGCACTTTAGTGTCAGGGTTTATTCCCCCCCACAGCCCCTGCCCCCCCTCCCCGTTTTTGTGTGTCCTGTTTGATGCCATAACATTTCCCCCGTTCCCTTCCTTGCTTGGGCTAGCAAGCACCCGTGTTTTCCTGCACTGCTGCTGCTAAGAGTTTAGTCTGTTTTCTTTCTCTGAAGGAGGTCCGGCAGTCCCACCTTGGGGCTGCTGCTGCTGGAGGGCTCTTTAAGGGAGGTGGGGGGCGCCTGGCCAGAAACCCCAGGTTCTGCTCAAGTCTTCACACTAACAGCACAGGGGGCAGGCAACGTGGGGGCTGGGATTCCAGCATCAGAGAGAAGCGGAATTGTTCATTGAGCCCAGGAGAATGACCTGTTGAGCTGGGGGGGGGGGGGGTCTCTTCCCTGCCCTCGTGCCCATGTTTTAGCAAAGAATTTTTATTAATATTGCTTCCGATGCCTGAATGCCAGCCTTAGGCTGCTGTCCTCGGTCCTTCGAACCAGATGGTCAGTTATTAGAAAGCATTGATATTTCAGAGGTAGAGGGGCTGTTGGTGGAGCTGTTCTCGGCTCTTGGTCCCGTTAGGTCTGGAGTGTCTGCCCTTGGCACCCCTGAGACTCCTGGACTTCAACTCCCAGGATTCCCCAACCAGCCATGCTGGGAGTTGAAGTCCACAGGTCTTAAAGTTGCCACGGTTGGACACCCGTGTATTAAGTGGAGCCGTTTCGTAGTGAGCAGGGCTGGAGCTGCCAAGTTGGCACCACATGGGAAACAGGAAGGTGGTTCTGCCCCAGGCAGGAGAGGAGGTTAGGTGACATCATCAGTCCTGTTCTCTGCCCTCTCTGAGGCGTCTCGCCAGTAATCCCCACGTCTCAGCCTGCCAACCCCACCTCCCCTGTCCACCTTCCGTGATCTTACGGCCTGTTCTACCTGCATGACAAGGTAATGTCAGCGCCAAACATTGGGCCTCGTGTAGCCTCAGAAAACCCCCAGTTTTACTCTGGGGGTGGAGATACCATTTCTCCTGTGGCTTTGATCTGAATGCCTGCTGATAAAGATGACTCTTTGAGTTGTGAGAAGGTGGTTCTTTTCTGGGACGCCTGGCTTCCTGCCTTCTGGAGCAGAGAGCAGAGTTTGTCTCACTGGCGCTTGGTTACAGCGTGGCACCACGGGGGGCTTTAAAGCAGGCTGTGCCTCTCCTTTCGTTGATTGTGCGGCTGCAGCTATTGGCTGGGGAGTTGAGAAAATGGTTGGGAGAAGGGATCCCTCTTTCTCGTCTCGCGTACCTGCGTAGGTGAGTGAAGCAGAAGAGCTAACGCAGTGTTTCTCAACCTCAGCCACTTGAAGATGTGTGGACTTCTGGCTGGCTGGGGAATTCTGGGAGCTGAAGTCCACACATCTTCAAGCGGCCATGGTGAAGAGCATCGTCCTAACATCGCTGGCAGGTCCCAAAAGAGCCTGATCAGCAGCTTATGGGAGGCGTAGGATTTGGTATCTCGGAATACATCCAGCTATTTCTGCTTTGCTATTTGCAGAGAGTGGCCAGTTTGGAGTTTTGACTAAACCAAGACGGGCAGTTCGGCCTTCCGGTGTTTTTAGGAAAAGTGGCCATTGTGTGTCTTTGTCCAGCAGCCTAGCCTAGCTCAGCCTCTCCCGGCAGGAAATCCCAGGACCTTGAGCAAAAGCGAAATCTTCCATGCTGGGGATGGGCTGGCTCGGTGGGAAGGTCGGCCGCACCTGTGTCCCGTTTTTAGTTTTTAATGTTTGGCTTGAGGGTTGTTTCTCACGGCCAGGGCAAGGTCAGCCTTTGATGAGAAAGCAGAAGGAGCTTGTTAGCTAGCCTGCTGCTTTATTTTTATTTGGTTTTATTTTATTTCTTTCTGCCTCCCCCTGAAGCCTTTCCTGCCAGGAGGGGGGAAAAAATGCGTAGGTGGCTTCTCCGAGCATCTGGCCGACTCTGATAGACCCGTGGCCTTATCTGGTCCTTGCACCTGTTTCGGTGCTGGTTGCATCTCTCCGGGAACTCCACCAACACCGCAGTGGCCGACATCTGCGTCCCCCAAGGCTTGATATTCTTGGAACAGCATGCAGAAAGTTGAACAGGAGGGGGTCTCCACGCATGCTCTTTCCTTTCCCTATAGATCTCCCCCCCACCTCCCCTTTGTTGGTTGACTGGGTTGTCAGAGGCTGATGTTTCAAGGGAACACTCCGTTGTGTGAGTTGGAAGACCTTCGAAGGAGAACCGAAATCCTTCTTTTAGTGCTGTTAGTGTGAGGTTTCAGAGAGGCCTCCCCGGAAAAGTATCTTGCCTTAGCCTGTCAATCATACCCAAACTGTTGCTAAAATCTGGAATTGGCACAACTGGGATCTCTTTTCCAGCAGATTATAGCTGGTTTAGCTTTTCCCAGGGGTGTCGAACCTGCTAAGACTTTTTATTTTGCTTTAAAATGCACCTGGGTTTTCTCTCCTAGCACCACCCGTTTCCTTCCAAGCACACACTTTAAAATAAAGTTCTGGCTGACTTTTTGTGTTTTTTAAATAAATAAAAAAAAATCTAATTGTTTTGTTACAAATAAAATAAGTGGCAATATTTTTTTCGGTAAATTTTTCATAGGAAAAAAGTGTGATTTGTAAACAAATTGTACAGTTCTGAAGTTTGGGATACATAAAATAACTGTACTGAGTGGCACGCTGTAAATGGGGTGGGGGGGAGAGATTATTTTCCGTACAGTGTATTTGGGGAGAAATCTTTTAATTCGGGTTGATTTAGGAAGAAATATAGTTCCCTGTCAAGGGTTTGAATTTTTTTTTTCTTGTATAGAATGCTGCATTTAACTAAATAAAAGCTGAAAGCATCACTTGATTGACTTCGGTGTTTGGATCGGTGTTTTTTTTTTTTAATTGCGCAGTGCTACTTCAACACTTGTTTATGCCTTGAAAGTTTTAGATGTGTTTCCTATATTAACCATAACCCTTAATTGCAATAGTAAAAAATAATTCAAACTGAAAGAAGGAGACTGGAAAGAATGAATGAAAAGTGGGGAAAAAAGCACATTATAAAGGATATAAGGAAGTGACTTCCAATCTTCATTACAAAGACTATAAACAAATTTAATAACTCTTCACCCCCTGTAAGATTAAAAGGATATCTCTCCATCCCATATCCTCTCCCTCATCTACAAGCGAATCTGTAAACCGACTTTTCAATCCTGGAGTCGGCAAAAAGTCCATAAAGGGTTTCCAAAACATTGCACACAAATGTTTTCATCTTGATCAAGTAAACCTACTTTATACTCCTTCCTTTTACTTCTAACAGTCTCCTTTAATTCAATCAAATATTCTTGATTTCTCCGTTTTCTTGGAGAAGCACAGATCTCTTCAAGGTTTTATAAGAAGCTTCTTCGTAGGTCCAATTAGAAAAACCATTTTCCATGGCCATTGTCTTGGCTTATCGTTTGTATTCCCCTTTTAAAATTTAAAACTTTAGCCAGTTTTCCTTCGTATATCCAGTAAAGTGTCTTTTCCGAATCCTTCTCTTGGCCTGCCATTTGAAGTTTCACTTTTGGTACTTTCTCTGCCTTGTCGAATAAATTTTTTCTGGCCCTCCTGATTTTGCAACGAGCACTGAGGCAGTTTCTCTTTCGTGAAAGCTGGACCTGAATGGCCAAGCAGCCTCTGGATTTTTGCATTTTTCTCTTAACCCACAAGGTGGTGCAGGATGCCAAGCTAAAGGCTGGAAAGGAAGTGAAGAATGGGAGGATGTGCAACAGCAATTGTGCAAATCAAGAAGAAACTTAGGAGCATTTTTGCTTTGCACCCCCAGAAAGACTCTTAGTCCTAGGTAGCCTTAAAGCTGTGATGGGGAAAATGTGATTGTTGATAGGATGATGAAGGCTGGACTCAATAGCCCAAATTGGCAGGAAGCAATTTTCTGAATTGCCACCATGAAACGTGGAAGGGAAAGGCAAATCCTTTTTCTCCACTAGTGCCAGGCTCTTGGGGAGGGGGGAATCTGGCATCCCACAGTGGCTGAGCCTCCAGACAATGGAGGGCAGAGAGGGGCAGATGAGAATCCTGCCCCTGTGACTAATACAATTAATTCTGCAGGAAAAGCAAAGCTGTCGCTATATTTAACTTGCCAAAGAAAGTTTATTTACAGAACTATTTCTATTCCGCCTTTGGTCCCCAAACAGATGTCCCTTTTATCTTTATCTTTGTTTGGTGAGAGTACAGTATACCAGTATTTCACAACCTTCTCCCGGTCCCTTCTATGGTGCTGGCAGCCTCTTAGAAATCATTTTTTAAAAAGTTTGAAATTTTAACCTGGGCAAGCACAGCACAGCCCATCCTTACATTTACAGAATGCCAGTTTTCTGATTCCGTTCACCCCTTCCTGGCACATTTCTCCCTGGGGGGAGGGGATGCATCTCACCCACGCAGGTGCCCTTCCCCACCTGGTCCCTGGTCTTCTGCCAACGTGGCCTCTCTCCAAATTAGGTCTTGAAGGTGCCTGGCTATTAGGGATGGCATGGGTCTCCTCGGAGTAAAGCCACACATGACTGGGGGGGGGGGCTGTTCTTTTCAACAGGGGAGGCCCACTGCTTCTCTCAGACTGGGCCCCCTCTCCCCACCATTCTGCCCTGCTTACGCCAGGCACCCGTGCCCTAGGAAATCTTTGCCATCCAAAGCAGAGGCGCACAGAGGAACAATTGTCAGCCAGCATCTCCCAGCTGCAGAGGAACAAACGTCGCTTTGACACGTGCAGCTGAAGCTACCAAGGCAAAGCTAACAGGCTGGACCTCTTAAGCCCCCTCAGAGCAGCATCATTGGATGTGAGTTTGCCCCTTTCAGTGGCTCCTGAACTCGGTTTAAGGATAAACAATCAGAATAGAGCTGGGAGGGACCTTGGAGGTCTTGTAGTCCAGCCCCCTGCTCATGCAGGAGAGCCTATATCATTTCAGACAGGTGACTGTCCAGTCTCTTCTTAAAAACCTCCAGTGATGAAGCACCCACAACTTCTGGTGGCAAGCAGTTCCACTGGTTGATTGTCCTCACTTGTTAGGAAGTTTCTCCTTAATTCCAGGTTGCTTCTCTCCTTGATAAGTTTCCATCCGTTGTTTCTTGTCTTGCCTTAATGAAATAAAATAAACCCAGGATAGGTTTGTTCCTAAGAATGTCTGTAGAGATCTGGGCAAGAAAAACAAAGGGGTACGTGACTCAGTGCCTCTGTGTGCCCACCGCCTCTTGCAAGGAGCAAGACGGTTGATGTGTCCCTCTCAACATCTGACAGCCAGCTGCAGCCACAGAAATGCAGCTCAGGTCCCGTCTGCTCTCCCTGGCTGCAGAAGTCAATCTGTTGTCCCGCCACACTCTGCATTATTTCTCCGTTATTTCTTTTAGAAACGTCTGCATTCACTGGGGGCTCAGCCTGCCCTTCCACCAGGAGCCCCACTGTAGCCCCCGTGTAAGGGTCCGTCTCCCACTGTATCCCTGCAGCCACCACACGGGAAGCACAATGAGTGGAGGGGCCCTACTTCTATTCCAGGAGGGTCCAACCTTGGTAACTTTAAGGAGAGGAAGAAAGAAGGGGAAAGAAGAGTAGGAGAGAGGGTAAGAAGAAGAGAGGAAAGGGGAAAGAGGAGAGGAAGTAGAAAAGGAAAGGAGAGGAGGAATGAGGAAAGTAGAAAGAAAAGAGGAGAAAGAAGGGAAGAGAAAAAGGAAAGGGTGTAAAACGAAGGAAATGGTAAAAGAGCAGACCCGAACAATTTATTAATTAGCTAATAGAAGTTAAAGAATAAGATGAATGAACAATGAATAAGGATGGATAAAAGACTGTACATTTAAATATGTTGATGAAAAATAAAAATTAATTTCAAAAAAAAAAGAAGACCTTGAAGACGTTCAAAGTTACAGCAGCACTGAAAAGTGACTTATGGCCAGTCCTCGTACTTACAACCGTCCGCAGCATCCTTACACACACACATGATCAGAATTCAGGCATTTGGCAACAGACATTCTGGATTTACAACATTTGGGACATCCCAGTGTCGTCATCATTTGTGATCTTTTCCCAATTAAGCACAATTGACGCTCACAAATACCCTCTCTAGTGCTACTCTCTTTCCTTCTAGCTTCTTTACCTCCTTGGGTTCCTCTCTAGAAACGGCTACCTTGAGGTAGACTGCATGGGGATGTGGAGGCTTTGTTCAAGTGCATCAACTAGCCTCAAGAGGCCTGCAAATTTGCAGCTGGGTTTCCTGCTTTTTGTCTTAGCTGGGTCCTTGATGCCTTGATATGCTCCTAAGCAGCAGCACCCCTGTTTTCTTCCATCCACGCCGCAATCCCATCCTCCGTCACAAGTTCTGAGTACCAGCCCTTCCCGGCAGGTCACTGTCCTCATGACACACGCACTCGAGGCCGTTTGTTCCCCTCCGCGGCGACTTCAATGCCGTGTTGACACTCTCCAAACTGTTGACTGGAGAGCCGCATGGCACTGAATCATACGCAAGAGGCTTGTTTTGTACCCAGAACTGCACATCTGGTTGGGTGGGTGGGTGGGAGGTGGGTTCAAGGAAGGGAAATAGTCGAAGTAAGCAGACGTTGGCCAGGGAGAAAAAACAGACCTGGGTAAACAGGAGCCGGAAGCAAACTCAGGCTGCAATCTGCTGGTTTTGCAACAGTGTGAAAATCTGGAACGATGCTGGCTTGCTTCAACATCCGTGGCATCTTCTCTGACTTTTTAAATGCGGTATTTTAGGGGTGCAGATGTATTGGCTGCTTGTCCTACCTTTGCCTGACTCCCAGCAAAAGGGGGGGGGTTGCATCATTGGGAGACAAGAGCCAAAGGCAGACACACAAACACAAAAAAAAGCTTTAAAAACTCCTGCGCTTTCTACTTCCTTGCCTCACATCCCGGCTCCCACTGTCTTTTCCGCAGGAACGGCTCCTCACATTCCAGACGAGGGTTCCAAGATGGCCTTCCTTGCTTGCGCAACTGGCAGCCGGCTGGATCTCCAGCTGAAGCATGTTGTTGTTGTCGAACTGGTTGCCTGTAAATCTGGCCCAGGGAATGAATCATCCCTTCCCCAGCTCGTTAGCTGCTCGGTTAATTGCAAACAGCCCTTGTTTTTGAAGGGACTTGGGGAGGGGGATTTGGCAGAGGGGAGCCTTATATGAGGGTTGGGCAACTATATCAACTTTAGGACCCATGGACTTCAATTCCCAGAATTCCCAGCTGTGCCTTATATGGTACCCCAGAGGCTCAGTTTCCCCTGTTAAAGTCCTTGGTCTTTGGGTGCACAAGGCAAGCCCGAGACGAGAACAACAAACCACATGACACCCCACAGCACAAAACCACACATCCAGCTCTTCCTTTTCCATCCTGCCAAATAAAACCAAGCTGGCTTATCTTAAATATCAAATAAAGAGCCCAACTCATGTTCTTGGCGAGGCCTCGTTAACACCAATGGGACAGAAGGTAGCGACTTTCCTGATGCAGCTTTCTGGGGGGGGGGTTCAGTCATCCTCCACGCACACGAAGCTGCCTGTTAATGAATCCAGATGTTGGACAACTCACCCAGTCTTGTCAACTCTCTCCCCAGCCCCACTCAGCCCTGGTGTGCCAGGGACACCAATTGTGTTTGCTCAACTCGCCAAGCCACAGTTTATTGAACCCAGCACAGTTAGCAGGATTCACACAGCCTGCTAAGCCAGAAGTAAACCTGGTTGGAAACTCAGGGTGTTGGGTGACTTCAGCCCTAAAGGTGGGATGCTTACTTGGGCTGCTGCAGAAATCAAAGAAGGTAAATGATATTTCGGTGTCCAATGCTTGCTACTTTCTTCATAGAGTCAGTTTGCAACTAGCCAGCCAGCCTGCCTCTCTGCCCTTCTCATCAGCATGTGTGAAACAATTCTCCCTAGTTTTCAAACAATCACATCCTTCCTAGGAAGCCAAGATACTATCCTGTTCTAGACCTTTGACTACAATAACTTACACTGCTTATAAAGTGAATCCCACGGAAGAGCATCCCTCTTTATTCCTAAGGCTCCCCTGTAATTTACTAGGCTTACAAAGAGATGATTTACACCAGGTGTAGATGTGGCCTGTTGGAAAGAACCAAGCACCAGATGCTCCCTTGTCTGCAAAGGCAAATGTTCCTAATTATACTTTTTCCACTGCAGTGCAATTTAAATTCCTGCCCTTCGAATGGTGGCTCTTCTGGTGCCAAGGTCCCAGAGAAGGAAGCCAGAGCAATGTTTGAAAGAGCAGAGTAGCTTCCACAACCCGGGAATGTCATCCTTGGTTTAGTGAATCCAGGATAGAAGATGGTCAGTAGAAGAGATGGAAGAATGTGGAAATACGTTGGGAACAAGAAGAAGGAATCTGGTTCAACAGATGTGCAACATGACAGCATCTGGAAAATGGGAGTAGATATGAGATGAAGTTTAACAACAGCGGATTAAAAGTTTGGAAACCTAAGTAATGGTTATATTTGCAAATGATCCAATACTCCAGCATTTCACAAGTAGATTGTGTGATGTGCTCATTACATATTCTGGGTCATATCAAGTTTGCCCAAAGTCTTGAAGCCATGATGGCCACTTGGAAAACTGGCTCTCTCATTTATTATTTATATTTATATATATTTCATATTTCCAAACGGCCCATCTCTCTCTCAAAGAGGGGCTCTTTAAATTAGGCATTCATTCGCCAAATTCCTCTAAGCTCGCTCATCTTCAGGAGCCTTAAAAGCACAAAGAGGCAGAAAAAATGTTTGATAAAGCCTTCCGCTTCTAACCAGAGAGAAAAAGTGGGGGGGGGGGGAAAGGATAATCAGTGTTTGCAGTCACAGATCACATGGGAAGGAAACGAAATGCCTACAGGTTTTGTGGGGAAGAAAAATCAGCTGTGCCAAGGCGTGGGGAATTAATCAAAGGAAATCGCCCCTGGCTGAACCTGTTTTCCACTTGTGGCCGAGATCCTTTAAAGGTAAACTCTGGTTGGTTTGAAGGAAAACTGGCTTGCCCAGCCAAAAAATGAATCTAGCTAGTTAAATGAAGACAACTATGGACAGCTGCCAATTCATTACGCTGATGTGTTTCCTCTGGAAAGCTAAAGCAGAATTTTTCTGCCATCCATGTTGGCTAGTCCAGCGTAAAACCTGGCCAGCCAGGAATCTCCAATTCCCTCCCACTTTCTCACCCTCTAGAAACAGACCGGATCAGGGGCAGTTTTACTCTCAGGCCCCTAAACATCCACATGTCGGACTAAAAGAAAATTGAATCCTGCAAATTTCATTTTGGCTGGCTGTTTTTTTGGAATGCCTCTCCAACCAGAAGAGACCACTCCAACTTGCTAGTTTGACGGAAGACGTGTGGTGCGGTGCCAGAATGAAACCAACCCACATTATGACTAAGTGCTCTGTGGGAATTGGAGGATGGAGGCTGCAGCCATGTTTTGAGATGTTACTGGAAGGCCCTACACATTCTTTGCTCCCACGTAGAAGCCTTTTAATTTTGCCACATTCCTTTTTTCTTACAGCGTAATGATGCTTACAGTACTTGTAAATAGGCACTGGGAACTTCAGCGGGGGATTACTGGGAAATTAAAAAAGGACTACAGGATGCAGTCTTGGTGGACTTCAACTCCCAGAATTCCCCACCCAGCATGGGGAGTTCTGAGACTTGGTCCACCCATCTTAAAGATGCCAAAATTGAGACACTCTGGACTAGAGGCTTAATATCCGGAGTGGATCCGCCCAAAAAGGAATGTATGTCCCATCTTTCACTTAATACACACAAACCTTTGACCCCAGGTCCCTCCCAACCTCGGGAGTCTTTTTTCTAAAGGACACCAGCGAGGAGGGGGCCTCCGCCCAGCTGACAACCTGCCGTCCCGATCCTCCCTTAGGAGCCCAGAGCAACGGCCTCTCCCGCGAGGCATCCATCCAGATGTGCAGCTGGCAAAGGAAGCAACTTCGCCGCCGCCGCTGCCCTTGCAGGGTCTCCTCCAGGAGATGCTCCGGGGAAGTTTGCCTTCGAGCAGCTTCTCCTGGGAAGCCCACCCGGGCAGTTGGGAGACTTCGTAACGTTTCGCAGGGGCGCAGTTCCCCGGGAGGCTCAGCCACCGGTCCCCGTTTCCCAGCTGGTCGTGCCAGTAAGAAGCGCACCGAAAACAAAACTCTCATTGGGGGAAGCGCGCCCCAAGCCCGCAGAGGGAAGGGAGGTTCGGGGGTCCTGCGCCCACTTTCTCCAAGGAGTCTCCGCGCCTGGTCGCTGCCTGCTTCCCGCAGAGCCAGCTGGGAGACGGCTCGGGCAGGCAAGGCTGCGCGGGGGGCAGCCCAGAGGCGGAGGACAGGATCCGCGGGGGCTCCGGGAGAAAACGGCTTTAGGCATCCTTGCTGCTCTCTGGGTTTGGTTTGGTTGTTTGCTTCAGACGTTTCACAGCCCAGCTAAGTAACACCATCAGCCTAGCATGCTGTTCCCAAGTTGGGTCATGAAACCTCTGCAAGGAAACCACCAAGGAGCCCCCCCAGTCCTCCTCCTCCTCCTCCTCCTCCACTCTGCAATCCCCGCTCCCTCCGAGCACTGACGAGGCTACCCAGTTGGGTCCCGAAACGTCTGCAGGCAACCCCCCCCATTGAGAGCGCCCCCAGGACCCCCCCCGTCAACCCTGCGCTACGAAGCGCCTCCTTTTGAAGACTACATTTCCCGGCAGGCGGCGGGAGCGCAGCACAAGGCACAGCTGGAAAGGAGGGGCGGGGCGGGAGCACCTCCCTCCTCCTCCTCCCCGCTCGCCTGCTACTCCGGCGGGGCGCGCGCTCGTCGGCAGCCTATTGTCTGGCCGGGGTCTCGCCTCCCGCGGGGCGCGCTGATTGGCTGGGCCGGCCTCCCTCGCCCCCCTCCCCAGCGGCAGGAGCCCCCCGCCCAGCCGCCGCCGCCGCCGCCGCCGCGCCTTTTTCTGCTGCTCCCGCGACCGGGGCGCATCTGCGCTCCTCGCCCTGCTGGATGCGGAGGGCGCCGCCGCCGCCGCTGCTGCTGCATGGGGGAAGCGCCGCCGCCCCCCCCGCCTGGCCGCCTCGCCCCTCGCCCGCGCCCCTCGGCAAGATGATGAAGTTTCGCTTCCGCCGCCAGGGCCACGACCCCCGGCGGGAGAAGCTCAAGCAGGACATCTACGCCTTCAACAAGGTGCCCCCCCACCCAGCCCCCCCGGCCCGGCCCCCCTGCCGCGCGCCCCCTCGGCCCCGCCGGCCCGGGGAAGCGGAGGGGGCTGGGGGTCTCCGCACATCTGGGGGGCGCCCGGTGGAAGCAGGAGGGAGGGGAGGGGGCGGCGGGCAGGGTCCCGTCGGCTATTGGCCTGTTTTAGGGGTCCTCGGGCTGGAATTGGGGACGGTCCAACTCGGGCTCTTCTTTCCCTCCGCCTTCGGGGCTTCGGAAAAATGGGGAGGGGGCGAGAGAAGCCGGGCCTTTTCTCGGGGGTGGGGATCGCCCTGTTGGGCGCGAGGGGCTTGGGGAGGGGGGCAGAGAGGAGAGAGCTGAACTAGCCCACCCTTCCACCCCCCAAAAAAAGAGGAGGGGAGGCAGTTTGGAGAAGGAGAGTTAAATTCTGCGTCCCCAGGAAGAATGGGGTGCCGGGGAGAAGACCCCCCCCAACTGCCCCTTTGGCATGTGCTTGTCCGCCCTCCCCCATTGTTTGCATCTGGGGCTGCCCCTCCCTCCTGGCAGGGTGGAGAGCCCAACGGAGGGGGCGCTGAGACGGGCAGGGTCCTCTCAGGGTGGGCTGGGGGGCTTCAAAGGAAGGGAAAGGAGAGCCCGGCAGGCACCGGACCCGGGGAGGGGCTGGAAGTGGGGGACACAGCCCGAGGCAGCAGCTGCTGCTCCAGGAGGAGGGAGTCCCCAGCCCAGCCTCGGTTGGCTTTGTGTGCCTGGCTTCTTCCCCCGTCAAGGAAGCTTCGGAGCGCCTTGCGTGTACCTGCCTTTTCCCCTCTCCCAGTTCCCTCCCTTCCCACGCTCGCTCCCAGCAAAGGTGTCTCTTTCTCTCGCTCTCTCGTCCGGGGAGGGGTTGCTGGAAGCTCCTTCGGTCGTTTTTAACACCTCCTCGGTTGCTCCTCCGTAGGCAACTTTGACCGGGGATGATGTTCTCCGGAGCCCCAAAACTCAGCCTCCCTCTGGGTCTGGACCCCCCCTCCAACCCCGTCCCCCTTTTGCACACACACACACAAGTCACACTATTACTGCTTTCCAAGCTGGCTGCTCTGGTGCCTCCCTGCTCTTTTCAGCCCCTCTGGGCCAGAGGGGGAGGCTGGGTGTCCATTGTGAGGCTGTGGAGTTCTCTCCCCCCCCTCCACTTCCACACCTCCCCCTCCCCTTTCCTGGGCCATCTGCAGCCCTCCCACCCCCTCCCCACCCTCCTTTTCAGCTCCTTCCTCCTTGGAGTGAATGGAAGCAATAAAAAATCTGCAACTGTAGATGTGGGAAGGCCTTTGACAAGAATGAAGAGGCTTCTTCTGTCTTAAAACGTTCAGTGTGCAGAGGAGATGTTTGGGCAGGGTGAGGAGATGCTTCTCGGCCCCCAAACAGCTCATTCCTCCTCCTCCTCCTCTGAGGAGTTTTAAAGAGTTTTTTTTTGGTTACAAGACAAGGTTTTGTTTTCAGCTTATTCGTGCAAACCAATTGGGCTGTCACTGGTGATGGACTTGGAAATGTAAAAAATAAAAAAAAATCATACCAAGAAAAGCAGCTTCTGTTCACCCCTGTCCCTAGTCACAATAGTTTGGCCACTTTGTCCAGAATTTGGAGCATTTTGGGAGGGGGGGGCTGGGAAGCATCCATTCCCTTTGGAACTCCCTCCTGTTTGTAGCTTCTGTTTTGCAAAGGGTGGGTGCTCAAGAGCGGGACCAAACCTTGCTGGAGGTTTAGGAGACCCCCCTCGCCATTTAGCCTCCCCCTCCCCCTCCCCATTGTGATGGGCTTCAGAGCGCCTAGAGAGCTTCAGGTTGGGGTTGCTGATTTGGGCAGAGCTAGTTCTGATTTTCAGGAGGCTAACAGCCCAGGTTGGCACTTTAAGGAATCAGCCAGGATTCCTGGTTTGTTGCTTGAACAGCTCTTCTGGTTTAAAGAGAAAAGCCACGCTGTCTGGGCCAAGATTTCATTTCGGGGGAGGACATTAGATAATACACTGCCTGGGCTGGGTTCAAACATGATAGCCAAAAAGATTTATTTCCATTGCTGGCAGTTTTCTTTCCCCTCTCGGAATAGTTCCGCCCCCTTTACAGTTTTTCATTCTTTACTTTTGTGTTCTTTCTTGCTCTGCTGTTAACATTCTGGCGGCCTCCTAAAATGAGCTGTTCCAAGGTCTGCGTGGTGGGAGGGAAGAGTTGGGGGGGGGATGACAGGCGCTAACGAAATCCAAACTGTATCTTGGATACCTCGGCTGCTGTGTTTGCTCCAGACAAACAGCCTGCTTTGCTTTGGGTCAAATTCGGGGCTGACCAAAAATATGGACTTGCATTAAGCCCACATCTCCTTGGGAATAGCCGGCTGCTATTCCTCCTCTCCAACCCCACCCCAGTAATGTTGCTGGAGGAATATTGTGATTTCGTCTCTCCTTTCTTCGATAGGGTAGAAACCGAGTTAGGCATAAGCCTTGATATGGCTTGCATGCAGGGCAGGAAACTCAAAACTGATGTTTGTTGGTTACCCACCCATCTGGGATCTAATTCCCTTCTTCCCTCAGTCCTCCTGCTATTTTTTCTTGGTGCAGGATGATACACCCTGTGGGTCACAGCAGTTGTGCTTACATGCAGCTGTGCATTTTATTTTCATGCATTTTAATCCTGTCCTTTTTCCTGGTGTGCTCTCTGGGCTTGTCTTCTTCCTTTCTCTTCCCCTGTTGGGAATCCTCGCAACATCCCTGCGGGGTAGGCCGTGGCAGCAGCGGTTGTTCCAAGATCACCCATCCAGAGTTCCTTCAACAGTGAAGAGGGCAGCATATACATTTAATAAATAAGAAACAATGAATGAGCTTTGAGACTGAGGAGGAGTTGAGCTGATGTCTTGCTTGTGTCACCTCGCCTGGAATGCATAATTGGGGAGGTTCCAGATATATTTGCACCCCAAGACACCCATGTACGATGCAATCTCAAGGGAAGCTGGCGTGCTTGTCCCTTGCAGCAGGGCAAAAAAAATGAAATGATCTGCCAGCTGAGTTTCCCATTTTGCAGCCATCCTCGGTCTCCGCCCCCCCCCCCCCCCAATCATCATTGGCAAGGCCAGCCTCTTCCGGTGTCTCTGCCTGGCATGTTGCAACATGGAAGGGCTGGAAAAGATTCCCTCCTTGCTCGGGAGTTGAATGTTGCCTGTGCTTGACAGCGGTACAGCCAGTACGAAGAATTGGGAGCGGGGGGGGGGGAGGAAGCGGCGTGATTGATCCCATTTCTTGGTATGATGGTTTTGAACTTTGCCAGGCAGCCTGTTGATCTTGGCTCGGCTTGCTCTGTGATCCCACCAGAGGCACGTGGGGCTTCGGCAAACAGAGCAGGCGCATGGCCCCTTCGCGGGTCACCAAAGGCTCCCCTGGGACCTTCCTGGATAAGAGGATGGTGACATGCCCTGGAAGCACCTCCCTGGCTGGGTTCAGCAACCCATGGTTCCCGGCTAAACTGGGACTGGGTGGTTTGGGGTTCAGCAGGTGACAGGGAAACCCAGACAGCGTTAAGACACTGCAGGGAGTCCTTGATTTATGACCGCAATTGGGAGCAGCATTTCCGTCGCTATTCCGTTGAGTTACGCCTGATATTCCAACCTGTTTTACCACGGTGTTAAGGGAACCGTTGCCCTTGTTAAGGGAATCCGGCTTCCCCCATTGGCTGCTTGTGGGGGTTGGGTGGGTGGGAAAGTCGCAAATGTCCGGCAGGGACCCTTTGGTCACTGCAACCATCCTGCCCTGGATTTTGACCAGCTGACCCCGGGGATGCCGCCAAGTTCGAAGGCTGATTGTAAATGACCTTTTTCAGTCCTTTTGTAACTTTGAATGGTTGCTAAACGTTTGAGGATTGCTGGTTTTCTTTGTTCTTTTTTTAAAGTTGTATCTAAAAAAGGTTAACTCACAGCAACTGGACCAAAACTTATTAAACTGAGGCGTTTTCTTTACTCATCCAAGGGGCTCATTGGTCAACCTGGAATGTTGGTTAGGCAAAGAGTCAGCGAATCCTTTGAATGGACTAATTCTTGCCATAGCGACTGCAAGGGTTTCTTCCCAGAAATGTTGAGATACTTTTGGCCTGGATGTTTCTTCATTTCCATGCAGGCAGCAAGTTGTATCAGCTGAGGACTTTTGGGCTGTTGACCTGAGATTAGTTTATTTTGTGATGCCGGATATTGACTAACCAGGTTCTCCCATCGCGAGACAGTCCTGTTTGACTTTATCCAGAAGCCAATCGACTACCTTCAGCAAAGTTGGTTTTAAAATGATGCTTGTCCCCTCCTTCGGTTGAAAATCCACACATAGACTTCTGGGGACTCAAGCCCCTAGTCCTCATGGTAGTACAAAAAGGCAGCGACACGCCGCCAAGTCCCTGTTTCTTCCCTCTCTGAGCTAAAGTTGAAAACTGAGCAACCAGACGGCCACAGCGGTGCCGAGCAGATGGCGAACGTGAGACGTTTTCTCCGCTGTGCTGTTCTTGTGTATCCATGGAGTTCATAGCAGAAGACAGACGTCAGACTTTTAATCGCTCCCCCGTTCAGAAGACAATCCAAAGGTTTCTCCTGGTTGCAGGAACGGCTGCCAAGTGTGTGAGGCCTCGAGTAGGATTAGCCAGGAGATGTAGTGCTATTCGCAGGCTCCGTGGGAAGATCTGGGTGTAACTCTGGGGGGGGGGAACGAGACGTTATTAAATTTATGTCAGGGATGCACACTGGACGCAGCTAATAGAGTTTGGGACTCTGTGTCTGCTTGACGAGATGCTGGGGAAGAACAGAGTCTCTTTTCCTACTCCAGTTTTCCTTTACAAAAAGGAAAAGTCTTTGGGAATGGATATTCCAGGATAAAAATGTTCCTCCTTTTCCCCTCTCCGTCTATCAATACTTTACATTGGGGTTTCCCAACCTTGGTGACTTTAAGACGGATGGACTTCAACTCCCAGAATCCCCCAGCTAGGTGTTTTTGGACACGAGTCTTCCCACGTTTGCCTAGCAGAGGGACTGAAAATGCAGGTGTCTGTTTCACGGGAGGCTCAGTGCGAGCAGCCTGCCAGGCAGAGGGCAGAGCTCGGCTGCTCTCAGTTGTGTGTGTGTGTGTGTGTGTGTGTATGCCAGGGGCTGTCTTGAGTTCTCCAGTAGAGTGCTTGGGAGCAACATGTCTCTTTCCTTTGATGGTTGAGAAGGTCCTTCTGCACAAACATGATCCCTTTATGGAGAGGAGAGGAGAGAGTTCTGGATCTCCCCATTTCTTGAGGACCAGATGCTTTTTTCTCTGATGCTGGACTGGCTGTATGCAACTTTCCAGATGTTTCTCCCTCGCCACTCCCTGCCTTCCTTTCCGTTGGGGCTGTTGGTGGGAACTGTAGAGCCAGAACATCTGGAGACGTCAGATTCAGTGGAGGTGGCCTCTTTCTCGCCTTTTCCTACCGGCTGTGCAAGGGCTGAGGGGCAAAACTCGGTTTTTGCAAGGGGGAAGAGATCCTGACTTGAGCAAGCTTGGCCGGAGGGGAGTCCAGCAGCAGGGGCAGTTTATCTGACTGGAAATGGGAAGGGCGCCACTGGAACGCTCCCTCCAAGGATGGTGAACCTGAATGTGTCAAAAACGTACAAGGAGGCCTTTTCTGAGATAAGTCAGCTGAAGGAAGGCAGGACAGCTTCTCCTTCTGAACTGGGCCAGTCTTACCAGGTCAGCAAGGAAGTCGCTCTTCACCAGTCCTGGAGGTGGTGAAGCTCCTCCTAAGATCTTATCTGCAGGGCCATCATCTTCCCTGCTCATCATCAAGGTGGGATCTGGGAAGGGAAATATGCACTGGGGTTGACTCTTGACTCAACCCACGTTTGACTATTAGGCTCTCAGCGTGGATGGATGGTAGGTAGGCGTATCTCCGGTGTGGCAATGAGAGTGGGCACGACTTCCCTATCTGGCCTTCGCCACCCATTTGGCTGCCTCTTTGCTACGGCAGGATCCCCAGTCCCAAGGGAAGTGCCTGAAGCTGGCATGGCCACTGCAGAGACCCGCATGGATGCTTCTGGCATATTTCCTACCGCTGCTCTTCTATTCTCCTGCTCCCTTCTTACAAGGATCGTCTCTCTTTCTCGCTCGTAGATTTTGCTTCAGGATGCAGAAGTCTGTTGGTGCAATCTTGATTGCAGGAAGCGTTTTAGCTGGCTACGGTCCTCTCCCCACCTTTGCAGGAAATGCAGTGCACCTTTTACCAAATTGCAAGATGATTTACTGTGCGCTGCGCTGTCTCTTTACACTTCTCTCCTGCAGGGACCAAAACACAGATAAGCAAAGGGTTTTTGATGCCTTCCTGCTTCTGAAAAAAGACCAGGTTGCAAGGAAGGAGAAGGAAAACGGCCTTTGTTGCAGACTTTGATAGCTGCCCCTCGGCTAGGTCCTTTTTTAAGCCCACCTGCACGAGGATCAGAACGAGGTCCAAACTTGTCCATTCAATTGAATTCTTACTTAATTGCTTGGGCTCCTCAGTTAGACCTTTGCCTCGAAAGTCTGGAACTAGGCCAGGCGGAGATTTCTAGAGCCCTCTTGCTACTTCAAGGGCGGACATTGGATGCTGAATACTATGGGAAATGTGCCGTCCCTAGAAGGCCTGGACTGAAGGGACTTCAGGAAGTTTTGCTGAATGGTTATGAGCAGTTCTTTAGGGGAAGGAAGGAAGGAAGGAAAGGAAGGGAGGGAGATGGGAGGAAGGGCCGGAGAGTGGATGGATGGATGGATAGAAGAAAAAAGAGTGGGTGGATGAAAGGAAGGAAGAAGGGGGAGGGAGGGAATGTCTTTAAAAGGTGTGTACAAAAACTCTTGGACTTCCTCAACTGGTCTCCAGTGACCTTGCAGTTTTCATAAATAAATTCCATCAATGAAGATAATCTCGCCTCACCCAGCTTGAATCCCTAAATGTTCCTATTCTTTTAAACTAAGGGGTGGATCGAAATTGGTCCTGGTTCCAGATCTCCTCCTCCTCCTCCTCCTCCTCCACCCTGTGATCTGGGGAGGTTGGAGGCCCTTTATTTCAAACCTGCCAGTGATGGGGGGAAGTTCCCTGTTCTGCTGCTCCTCCAAGGGGCTAGAGACCCCTGGCCAGGACGTTCCCCCAACTGTGCTGCTCATAGGGGTCCCTGTGTGGTCTCCTGAGGTGGGGAGAAAGGGGGCTGGGGCTGACCAGGGAGAGGAAGTGGGAAGCTTTTTTGCTGGAGGGCTCTTTAAGAGCCGTCTCTCTTTCTCCCTGCCAACTATTCACTCGCATTGACCCTGCTGCGCCTGGGAGAAGCGAAGTTGGAATTGGCTGAAAAGATTCATTTGTCCGTCCACTTCTGCAGGGCTGGGCTGAATGGATTCTCCGGGGAGCGGGAGGGAGGGAGGGAGCTTGGACGTTGCTCTGGGCCAGCTCTTGATTAATCAATTCTTTCTTTTGCAGTGGGCTCTACCCCACCTCCTTGCGTGGGCTGCCTTGGCTTCCTTGACTCATTAGCAGAGTTGTCGGTCAGGCTGAAAGACCACCGGCCTCTTTGGACCGGTTCAGAGAACATCGGACCAAGCCTGGTCATTACAGGAGGCTGCAGCCCATTCAAAGCTCAGCCTCCCTGACTTTTCAGCCAGTTGTGAATAGAATAGAATAGAAACGGCATAGCATAGCATAGATTTTTTTATTGGCCAAGTGTGATTGGACACACGAGGAATTTGTTTTTGGTGCATGAGCTCTCAGTGTACATAAAAGAAAAGATACATTTGTCAAGAATCATAAGGTACAACACTTAATGATAGTCATAGGGAACAAATAAGCAATCAGATATTAGGAAACAGTGCAGGAATAAAAAAGATGGAGGGTCTTTTTTTTCTCTCTCTCCATCGCTTGATTTCCAAGCCCGGAAAATCTTCAGCAGTTGCATTTCTGTCTCTGTGGCTTGATAGAAATAAAGATGGTAGGTATAAGTAAAACACAGCTTGGCCTTCTCAACGTCTTTGAGTCAGGAAAACAAAGCACTTGGCAACTTGGAAGAGAAGGAATCTTTCTTCCAGAGTTCTTCTTCCTCTCTCTAAAATTGGTACATGCTGCAAATGGTCTAAAAATGGCTCTGGCCGGAGGCTTGTTGTCTGAAAGGGCGAGATGGAAAGGGCAAAGAGAACAAAATTGCTGTATCTAAACTAGGATTCTTCAACCCAAGTTGGGAATAGCAACTCTCGGGGTTCTTAAATTACAGCTGCAGGTTGAGATGATGGAGAATTAACCAGCCAAAGTTTCAGTGGGGCTCTGGCAGCCTCCCCGAAATCTCGGGCTGAAAGCTGGTGAGATATTCCTCCTGAAAGCTGGTGAGATATTTCTCCTCCACGGAGGACAAAGCACGCTGCAGCTTATGGCCCTTTTTCAGGGTCTGCAAGACCAACACGCTGTTTGTTCTGCAGCTACTTCTCTGTTATGTTGAATGGCAGCTGGGCTGGATGGTTGGAGGACAAGGGTGGGCTTTGGCTCAGATGGGGAAGGAGCAGGAAGAGGAAGAAGGGAATTGGAGGGCGCAGATTGGGGGTTTCATGAGAGCCCCTTCCTCCTTTCTCTCTGTGACTCAACTGGCGGAGCCTTGAAAACATGATACGTTCTTGAGACTCAGAAATTGGAAACCTGCTTGGACCAAAGCAACGTGGCTTCCTGGCTTGTGGGATTCTGTAGCTGAGATCTCTTTGACCGGGAATGAAGTTTGGGGGTGACTGATCTGAGAACGATCTAGCTCAGAGGTGTCAAACTCGATTTCATTGAGGGCCGCATCAGGGTTGTGTTTGACTGCAACCCTCTGCCAGCGAAAACAGAGCTCGGGAGGGCCACTGGCAGAGGCACTGTGGGCCAGTACTTCGCTGTTTCCAGGGTGGCCTCACGGGCCAGATCTAACCACCCCATGGGCCGGATTTGGCCCCTGGACCTTGAGTTTGACACCCCCTGATCTAGTTGGAACCAAGTTTGAAAAGCTTCTGCATTTCCTGGGCCTGCCAATCTTGGAAAGCATGCCCATCAACCTCCCCCTGCTTTGATGGCCCTCCCACCCAATTCTCTCTTCTCTTTCATCTTCCAGATGGTGGAGCATGGCTTTCCCAACCAGCCCAGCTCCTTGGCCTTTGACCCCAAGCTGCGCATTATGGCCATCGGAACCAAATCGGGAGCAGTCAAAATGTATCCTTCTTGGCATGGCAACAGCGGCCTTTCTGGGCATGGAGTTCTGGCAGAAGGCGACGATGGAGGTCTCCACGAAGTCTGCGGCAGGGTTTGGACACCACGTGGGAGTTGGGAAAGGACCACCAGTCCTCGGGGGATGGGATCGGGGGTGGGTTCTTGCTGGGTGAGGACTTGTGTGTTGGCGTCTGCAGTGTGTCTCCTGAGAATAACAAGCACAGCATGTTCCAAACGGGGGTTCCCCAATTTGAGAGTCTCCAAAGATGTTGGCATTGCAACTTCCAATGTGATTGGGAATTGGGGAATTAAGGTGCCATCTTGGGGACGGCTGATTAGAGTATTTGGTTAGAAAATGGGACTTCCCGGTTTGAAGTTTTGGTGATGATGGTCCCAACAAAAGTACAGATAGTCCTTGACTTACGACCACAATTGAGCCCAAAATTCTTGTCGCTAAGCAAGACATTTGTAAATTTTGCCCTGTTTTATGACCTCCCTTGTTATCCACGCTAAGTGAATCACTGCAGTTGTTAAATTAGTCACCCGGTGGTTAAGTGAATCTGGCTTCCCTGTTGACTTTGCATGTCGGGAGGTCGCAAAAGGGGATCGTGTGACCCCCGGGGGATGCTGCAAACCGTCATAAATATGAATCGGTTGTCGAGCGTATGAATTTGGATCAGGTGACTGTGAATGGATGCGGCAACGGTCGTCGGTGTGAAAAACAATCACAAGTCACTTTTTCAGTGATATTTTAATTTTGAACAGTCCCTAATTGGACTGTTGTAAGTCAAGGACTTTCCTGTATTGGGTCCTTTTTGTGAATAAGTACAGCAGAATTTTGCCACATCTTCAGGATGATCTGCTCTTCCTAGCAGTCCTGCCCTCCGGCTTTTTCCCCATAGTGCAAGGTGTTTCGAGAAGGAATACCTGTCCGTCTTTCCAGCCGTTGAGGGCGGATTCAAGAGATTTAAATGGCGAAGACTCAGCTGTTCCCGAGGGCTTCCCTTTTCGTGGGCTCCTGTGTCCCAGAGAGGAAGGAGTTGGGAAGTTTTCCCTGGGTTCTTGCCTGGACCCACAATCCACCGTTCTTGCCTTGAGGCTGGCAGTCTTTGTGTGTGTGTGTGCGTGTGTGTGTTGTGGAAGGGGCATTTGGAAAACCACTCCGAATCTCCACGGCTTCAATGGCCTCTTTTTCAAGCTGCAGCCTTGGCGTGCTTGCCCGGCGATGCCTCGTCTCCATGGAGTTGGCAGCCTCTGAGTACAATACGCGGGAGACGCCGTTCCCACCCCCTTTCCTGGGGACAGAGGTGGGTTTCAGCAGCTTCTGACCAGTTCTGGAGAACTGGTAGTGGAAATGTTGAGTAGTTAGGAGAACCGGTAGTAAAAATGCTGACTGGCCCCACCCCCATCTATTCTCTGCCTCCCAAGTCCCAGCTGATCGGGAGGAAATGGAGATTTTGCAGTAACCTTCCCCTGCCACGCCCACCAAGCCATGCCCACAAACCGGTAGTAAAAATTTTTGAAACCCACCACTGCCTCGGGGGTGTGTGGGGTGGGGAGGCTGCATCTGTAGGCTCAGAGCAGTGGGCAGCCTGTGGGAACCCTGCCCCCTTCCAAATGTTTATTATAAAGTCCTTTCTCCCCTAGCTGAAATAGCAAAGTCTTAGATTCAATGTTAAAAAACCCTCAACCTCAAAGATAGCAGCTGGAGAGGGAGAAGTTTTAAATAAATGGCATAAAGAGGCCGGTGGGGATTTCTCTGGAGTCGTGCTTGGGTGACCCCTGTTTCTTGGATAAGCCAGCATGGGCTGGCTCCGTAGATGGGGATCTCTGCTTACAAGGACTTGTCAGGCTGGACTACGATAAGACCAGGGCAGAAATGTTTAAGGGGGGCACCGGAATCACATCAACAACTGGAATTTGTTGGTGGCCAGAGGAATTTTAAATCCTAATGCATGGATATATTTTAGGATTGCATCTTGTTCTGCCTCCCCAAGGGTTAGGGTTCCCCCCCTCCCCAGTTGCTGTTTGTGTTTTTCGTGCATCCACACACCCCTTGTTAACCCTGGGGAATTTTTCAATAGTTTAAATGTTTAAGGCAACTTCTGAAGCAAAAGGCGGGCTTTGCTTTGGGGGCTCAGAGGCTCTTGGAGGCGTGAAAGCCCCTTTGATCTGCAAAAGGAGCCTGCAAGGAGAGTTTTGCCATTTGTCTGCTCGATTTTTAAAACCTCCTTCTGCCCTGTAGTTGGTGTTTGCGTGTAAAAGCACCGGCATCTTTGTAGATCAGCTGAGGTTGTTTGTTTTTTTTTCCCCCCTGTTGTGTTTGGAGATTGAAGTTGGCTTTTGGGGCATCTAAGTTGGGGGAGTTTTCCCCAGCCCTTCTGCCATCGACTCCTTCCTTGCTGCCCCAGCCTTTCCTTCCAGCATCTGTAGTGCATTGGGAGCCTGGCTTGGCAGCCGGACAGGACATGTGCAGCTTGGCAAGACAATGGAGGAAGTGGCTGAAGAACAGAGGATCCAGTCCTTTGGGGGCGGGGGGGGGGGGGGGGGGGGGAGTCTCAGCAGGGTTGGTCGGAAAGAGCTGAGGCAGCTTTAAAAAACTCTTTTGGTCCAGCGGGGTTTGCTTGGGATCTTGGGTTTGCTCTGCTTGGGATCTTTCTCCCTGGGCCCTTTGCCAAAGGGAACCGGTGTGTGTGTGTGTGTTGTTGTGTGTGTGGGGGGAAATACTGGTGTCACATTCACCCCTCCAGAAAATGAAGTGCCAAACCATGCCAATATTGGCTCCTGGCATCCTTGGCAAAGACAAATGCACCCGGTTCGGTGGTAGAGCAGTAAACTGAATTGCCAGTGAGATCTCTTGCAAGGGCAGTCAGGGCTTTTGGGGACAGGTGGGGGGCAGGGGAGGCAGAAGGAATCTTGGGTTGTGCGACCTCTGGAGTAGGTGAAAATCCTCACTTGGGTTGTGCGACCTCTCGCCCTCTGGGGCTTCCCTTGGGGCAGGAGGGGAGGAGGCAGTGGGCTCTCTGTACTGACCAGCCCAGCCCCCCCTCCCTCCATCATTTCCTCTCCTCCTGCTGCAAGAGCAGAACGGGGCAGGGTTGATGCCAGTGCTCCAAACGCAGCCCACTCCTCTCTTTCTCCTCCTCCGGGCGATTGGAGAAGAGGGGGCTTGGATCCGCAGGGGACTGAGCTGCTTCTCCACAGTTGAATGGCTGAATGAATTTTGGGGTCACTTCCCAAGAAACTGGGGCAGAAAATCACGTGGCTGTTTTGCTTCGGTCGCTTCCCCTTCAAACGGCGGCCTTCGCATTGTTTCATTTGCCTGCCGGTTTCTGCTGCCCTCCTCAGAGGGCGGGTGCAGAAGGGGGAATGTGGATGATTTGGTTCTGCTTCTCTCGTCTTCTCTGAAGGGTCCCTCCATCATTTTTGGGGGGTGGGTGGGACAGAAATACCCCATTATGGGAACAGGCAGAGTTTGCATTGAGGTCTTGCAACAGCTGCTCTAAAAGGCTGATGGATCAATTCTTGAAGGCTTCGGAAGTTTCTCAAATTAATTATTTCAAGGGTGGGGTGGGGGGGGGGGGGGGAGAAAACCTGAGGGCTCCCATGAGGACCCAGACTTGTTTCTGGCTGTACTGGGGGAACTTCTTCTCCCCAAGTGGGAAAACTTAATTCCCACCCAATCAATACGGTGCTGGGGGGAATAGTGGGGTCTCTTTCTGCAATGCCCTGTCTTTGCCCATCAAGACACCCTGGGCAGTCCTTGGGGGGGGGCGTCTCTTAAAAGTTGTGGGAGGCCCGGGGGTGCCGTTGCCTTCTGCTGCTTCTCGGGGTCAGCCAGGGGTCCGGTTCTCCTTCCTGGCTTGGCTGGCCGCTGCTGGACTGGGGTGTGGACTGTTTTCTCCGTTGATGCGAAGATCTTTCTCTCCCAGAGGAAGCTGTAAAGCTGGCTTGGTGCATCAGATCTCTGGCAGACCTCACGTCTACCCTGGTGGTGGTTTTCAGGGGGCTGCTGGGCCCCAGCCCTCCCGTCCCGTCTTTGCGTTCTCCACCCAAGGGAGCTCCAAATGACGCATGCACAAAAGGACGGGAGTCAAGCGGGCATCACCTTGAAGGTTTATTATGGGACTCGATTGGTGTGTTTGGGTCAGGGATCTCCCCTCCAGTCCTCTTTTCTCCTCGTCCCTGCCCCCCCAAAATTGCCAGCCCTTAAATGGCAGAAGGCTCTTTGGAGGAGAATATTTGCAGCTTGAAATGGTCCTTGGTGCCCTCTGAGCTTGCTGGTTTTCCTGCAAACATTTCATTGCCAAACAAAGTAATGTCATCAGTGCCGCTAAGGAGTGGGGTTTGCTCTCAGTTTATATTATAGTGGCTTGCCCTGGCAGTGGGGGTGAGGGTGGTCTTAGAAGTTCTTTGGAAGGTTCTTTGCCTGGGATGCCTTAAACCCCTCTTGAGTCTCCTTTGCAGGTTTTAAGGACTTGCCGCCAGCTGGGCTTCCAGCAGCCCCAAACAGCCTCCGTGCCCGGTTTTTTCCTCCTCGGTTTGTCCAGATGGTGTTTATTCTGAGAGGCTGTCTGGAGCTTTCCTGCTCCTCTGAGAATAGTTCTCAGCAAAGGCGCTTGGGGAAGGGGGGAAGGGGTAGAGTTGGTTGGCTTTCGAGCCGGAGCTGGCTGTGACCAGCCTTTGCAGCCATGCTGGGGCCGGGGGTCCTGCTTGGCAAGGGCAGGGCATTGGGGGGCTTTCTGGTGGAGGAGGGTGAGCCCAAAGCCCCTGAAGGCAGGACAAGAAACAATGGGTGGAAACTAACCAAGGAGAGAAGCAACCTGGGATTAAGGACAAACTTCCTAACGGTGAGGACAATTAACCAGTGGAACAGCTTGCCACCAGAAGTTGTAGGTGCTCCACCATTGGAGGTTTTTAAGAAGAGATTGGGCAGCATTTGTCTGAAATGGTACGGGGTTTCCTGCTTGAAGAAAGGGTTGGACTAGAACAGTGATGACTAACCTTTTTGCCATCGCGTGCCAAAAGTGGGGGGAGTGCGGGGGGGTCACATGCGTGTGTACCCACACCCTTAATTCTATGTGCTCTGCCTGCCTGTTCATGCGTGCACAACCCCCCTGTACTCCCCCTGCTTTTGGCACACAGTGGCACTGTGTGCCCGGTAGGCCCATTTTTCACTCTCCCCAGGCTCCAGAGCCTTTCTAGGAGCCTGGGGAGGGTGAAAACGGCCTTCCCCACACCCTCAGAGGCCCTCCAGAGGCCGGAAATAGCATGTTTCTGGACTTCCAGTGGGTCCAGAAGGCCCGAAAATCAGCTGGCCGGAGCTGAGCTCGCGTGCCCACCAATATGGCTCTGTGTGCACCTGTGGCACGCGTGCCATAGGTTCGTCATCACGGGACTAGAAGGTCCCTTGCAAAGCTGCATGATGAATTGATTGAGCGAGATGAAGTGTAATTGTAGATGAACTCTGTGGGAGGTGCCGAATCCGTACTGAATCATCTTCCCAGCAGTGGAGAAGGCATCTCCTCTAAAACAGGCGAAGAATTCAATGTCCTTTGACTGTTGGGGGAAGCGCTCTTCTGCAAAATTGCTCTGGCTTCTCCCTCTGGCGGGCACAAACTGAGGTCTGTGAAGGCTGCCCTTTTGTGCTCCCCACAAGTCTCACCAGGAAAGGGTTGTGGTGCAAGAATGATTTGGATGAGCTTTTGAGCAGAAGACGGACCGGGGAAGGGCTTTTTTTCTCAGGTCTTCTTCCCCCAGCAGCTCCTGCGTGAGGAAGTGGGCTTCTGTTGAAACGTGTGGGGCAGACTTTAGAAAGGAAGGAAGTCAGCACTCCTGGTCTCTCTCTCTCTCTCTCTGCCTCTGTCTCTCTCTGGCTTTCTCTGAACTCATTGAGCTTAAAAGAGGGAAACGTGATGATGACATTGGGGAGGGCTCATCCAGGAAGGAGAGGGGGTGGTGTGAGGATGGGGCCATTCAGAGGTCCCCAACCCTCAGGCTGTGGCCCCTTTGGAACCGAGCCACAAAGGGGGCAGATGAGCATGTTCCTGCAGCTCCAGTTGCACGAGCGGTGGGTGTGTGTGCCCACTGCTTGTGCAAATGGAGCTGTGCACACGCGCCCACCATTCCTGCGTAACCATGCCCTCTCCCTCCACCCCTCCCCCTTTGCCACCAGTCCACAAAGCCAGAAAGGTTGGGGATCTGCGTGGTTGAAAGAGGTGAATATCCAGGATCTTGGAAGCAGATGAACCCAGACGAAGTGCGTGGGAAGTCCCCTTCGGCTTCCCGTTTTCCCAGGGCAAATGCTCCATCCGACACCCCATTCTGAATTCCTTCTGGATCCCCCAACCCAAGAGGAATCCTGCTGCCCCTCTCTGTGTGATCTCCCACTCTGAAGTTCACCTCAGCTGGCCACCGCTGGTTGTGATTTCACTGCGTGTGTCTCATGTAGGTGTAGGGTTTGCCCTTTTTTAGAGGAAGGGTCTGCTGCCTCTGTGGAAGACACACTTCTGATCTCCCCTCTCCTCCCTAATTCCACCTGCAGAGAGAACCGTTGGCCCACCCTTTGCAATTCAGCACGGAGCTTTGGTTCTCAGGAGGACTTGAGTCAACCGTTGACCTGCCCCTTGGAGAATATGATTGGTCCAAGTTGCACCCCTCTAATCCCAAAGTTGATCATTCCTCCCCCTCCCCCCCGGGCTTTCCCTATAGTTGGATTGTGGCTTGGCATCACCAGAGCCAAAGTCAAGCATTGCCCCCCACCCCCCACCCCATTCTTTGAAAAGTAGGTCACACATCAGTGTGGTAAACAAAGCCCAGCGCGGTAATTTGTGCCTGGGAGGGGGGGGGCAGAGGAGGCTGCAGAGGGGAGGGAGGTGGGAGTGGAGCCGATGTGTGCCGAAATCGGATTCCTCTTAAGCCTGCAGTAAGCCAAGAAGTCGACCTTAAGGAAAATCTGCCTTCTTGAGCCATGGGCTCCAGTTCTTAGATAAATAAAGCCAGCTGAGTCTATTTGCTCCATCAGTTTCTTCCAATAGTTTTTGGCTGGTTTATTTTATCTATCTATCTATCTATCTATCTATCTATCTATCTATCTATCTATCTATCTATCTATCTTAAGCAAAAATGATTTTGGTTTTGCAAGGCAGAGAAGCGCTGGGCAAAAATCAAATGACCTCTTTTTTATTTTTCTCCTCCTCCTCCTGGCAGCTTCATTCAAAGATGAAGCAATGGTGTCATTTCCTCCCTTCGTGTAAACAGGCACGTTTTGGAGAATCCCCAACCAGGCTAGAAAAGTTGCTGAGTCTCTCTTTTTTTTTATTACAAAAAAAAAAAAAAACTTGTGGTGCTTGGAAGGCTTTCCAACCTGTAGAATTGCAGTCGAAACGCAGGCGTCTTGTGGGCGTGCACATCCTAGTTTGAGCACCCTTGTGCAAAGCCAGGGGTGTCCAACCTTAGCAACTTTTAAGACTTGTGGACTTCCACTCCCAGAATTCCCTGTGCTGGCTGGGGAATGCTGGGAGTTGAAGTCCTCAAGTCTTAAAGTTGCCATGGTGGGAGACCCCTGTGCTAAGCCACGGACTGTGAGCTGAGAACAAATGGAAAGTATTAGGTTTGTATGAACTCTAGAACAAGGCTGCAGCTAGCCACTTGCAGGAGATCCTTATTGTGTGAATGCAGCCTCTGGGTCTTTTACTGACCTGGGCAAGCTTTTGGAAGGAAGAAGGAGCTTTGGGGGCCGAGACAGGAGTTGGGGATGGGTGTCCATTATTGGTGATCTTTTCTGGGCAGTGTTTGGACAAACGGAGTCAACGAAAGGACCTTCCTGGGGGAATGTCCTGAACACGGCTGAAGGGTCAGGAAACTTTCAGGGATGGGTAGATGGAGTTGTAGGGCATGTAGTATGGGTCAACAGGTGGGTAAGGGGATGGCAGAGAGAAAAGAGTGTGGGCAGGAGCTTCCTTGTCACAAGAGGTGATGAACTTTTTGGGATCTTCAAAGAGAATCTGGCAACCTCCTGGAAGAGAAGATGATTCTGTTCTTGAGAAAGCCTCCACGCTCAAGAGAAGGCTACCTTGCATACCTTTCAGGGCCCTAAAAACAGCCTTTAGTGCTTGTGCGTTGCACATGTGGGCTCTCATCAAAGCCTGCTGCCATCCAGGCTGGAAATGGGATGTCTAGCTAGATGGTCTCTCACACCTGGAGAGATGGTGAGAGCTCTGTTGAAGTTCTTCCTTTCCCCTTTTCTGGCGAGACTCTTCCTTGACTCTGGGCCTCCTTCAGCTACGGGGCTCCCGGGGTGGAGTTCACGGGGCTCCACAAAGAGACCGCAACCGTCACTCAGATGCACTTCCTACCTGGACAGGTAAAATAAATAAATAAATAAAGGCCTGGGTTTGGCTTGTTTGTGGTGCTGCTTAGAGTGACCCTATGAATCAGGGTTCAGAAAGTGGGTGTAATCATGTTGGCAGTTGTACGAATTATTTAATTTGTTAATTTATTCATTTATTCAATTTCCACAGCCGCCCAACTCAGCTAAGTGGCTTACAATTATAAGACCATTCAAAACAAAAACAAAACAATAAAACAATTAAAAAAATTCCACCCAGGAAATAAATAAATTGTAATATAAGTGGTCCGAGGTTGGACGGAATAATGTGAAGGAGAGCCAGCTTGGCCTAGTGGGTAGAACCTAGTGGTGAGTTCTAATCCTGCCTTAGGATGACTTTGTGCCAGCCATTCTCTCTCGGCCCAACCCCACCTCACAGGGTGGTGGTTATGGGGAAAAAAAAGAGGAGGAGGAATAGGCTGGATATGTTCGCCACCTTGAGTTATTTGTAAAAATAATAAAGGCAGGAGAGAAAGAAAGAAATCAATGTTGAGGCAGTGGGAGGGGGATTTCTGGAGGCCAGGTTCGGAAGTGCCCTTGAGAATGCCTTAAAAGCCCACCCCCCACCCCGATTTCCTGCAGGGTCTCCTGCTTTCCCTTCTGGATGACAACACGCTGCACCTGTGGGACATTTACCAGAAAGACGGCTACTCCCACCTGGAAGAGACCCGGAACTTTGTCCTCCCCGGACGGCCAGGGTTCGACAACGCTAAGTACTCATGGCTTCTGCTCCCTCCTTTCCCCCTTCCTTCCTTCCTGCCTGCCTGGCTGGCTGGGGGTGCCAGGGACCCTGGGCAAAAGTGAGAGGGGGAGGGGGGTATTCAGTCTCCAACCACCTCCTGGCCATTTTCTTGTCCCTTCTTGGCTCTCTGCAGGCGAGGGAGGGAAGTCCAGCTGGGTAGATAAGGCATGGCTCCAAATGGGGAGGAGGGCTGCTGGGGAATCTACGGGGCAAAGCTGCTTTCTGCTCCAGATGTTTCAAGCGGGGGGGGGAAGCGCAGTTGAGGGTTGGGCTACAGGAAGGAGGAAAAAAGATGCCAGCCTGATCTTCCACCACTTGGTGCCCGGGCATCGCTGGCACAATGGCACATCTTGGTGGGATGATGTTGAGGGAGGCAGCTTTTCCTTGCAAATCACCTTTGGGGTGCTGGTTCCCCATTCTTGCAGCGAGGATCTAGCACTAGTTTCACTGGTGTTCAGGGGTGTCTGTGCAAATATCCACTTGGGTGTGTATGTGCCACGATCTGGGACGACCGTTTTCAGAATGTGTTCTGGGTTCCGTTTTGAAGGGCCAAGTTGCCAGAAGAATCTCAGAGCCCTGATAGATCTTTCCATGCAGTCCATGCTGCAGGAAAGTGCCAAAGACATCAGTCCATAAATGATGCACCCTCGGCTGCAAAGCTGCCCAACTGCTCTGAAATAACTTTCCCAAAAGATTCTGAAAACCGCTGGCCAGACGATCCAGCTGCCGCAACGGTTTTGGTTACAAGAGGGTCCTCTTTCTTCTGCCAGTTCTCCTCCCAGCATCACCCGGGTGACGGTGATCCTCCTGGGGTCCACCTGCAGCATCGCATACCTTGGCACTGAAGGGGGTGGCACCTACTTCCTGGGGCTTCCTGGTCTAACGCTGCTGGAGGACCACACCCTGTACCAAGATGAGGTCCTGCAGAGGTGAGCGGTCTTAAGAAAAGCCAGGGCTTGAGGTCAGCGGGCATGGGTCTACCTGGGTGGGGAGATGGGCAGCAGAAGAACATTATCAGCGTGTGAAGAACCGGACAACTGTTGAAGACATGAGATGCCTTCTGAGGGAAGCACCAAATGCTAGAAAAATAGGTCAGAGATCTTCAAGAAGGCTGCTGGTGATGTCAGGTCAAATCACCTAACTGATGTCCTTCAGAAATGGTGTGTCAATTGTAGAAAAACACAAATGCCTCTATGTGTCTTCATTGTTTTGGACACTGGAAGCATGAGGGATCTTAATGTTGTGAGGTCCTTTTCACAGAGTATTCTTCTGTCCTCATTCCTGATGCACACAATGAGGTCCCAACTGCAGAAGGGCACCTCGTGTCACTCAGGTTCCATAACTACCTTAATTCCTTGGAAAGGGAGATCACAGCTGGAGCATCCCTCTTTCTCTCACTCTCCTAGGGTGCCTGAAGACTACCGATGCGGGAAGGCCCTCGGGCCAGTTGAATCTCTGCAGGAACATCCTCAAGACTCAGCCAAAATCCTCATCGGATACAGCAGAGGCCTGATGGTCCTGTGGGACAGAAGCTCAAGAGAAGTTCATCATCTTTTCTTGGGCAACCAGGTAGGTTGCTTGGCTGGGTTGATGGCGTCTTCCTCATGCCATATCCCCAGCCTCCTCTTTTTTTGCAGGAAGTTTCCAAGGTTAGATGAGACGGAGCTAAGGAGTATCTCCTGCCAGCTGAGGCCCTGAGGAGCTGAAACCAGCCATTAGGGGAGATTAGCGGGCGGTTAAAGGGAACAGGGAAGAGACTTCATAGATTACCCACCCTGATTACCCAGGATTAAAAGATGATCCCTTTGGGTAACCAGGATTAAAAGTCTGCAGTGGCTCGAGGGACCCAGTAGGGCGCTCTCAAAATGCCTTGCAGCCATAGGACCTTGACTGGCAGGTCTCCTTTCAGCCTCTTTTTCTCCTCTGTGCCCAAGGCTGGATGGCTTAGCTTGGGTCTGCGGCTTTTTTGCAGCAACTGGAAAGCGTCAGCTGGGAGCGGAGCGGCCGGACGCTGGTCAGTTCTCACAGCGATGGGGGCTACGCCTTGTGGTCGATGGCAAGCGGTTCGCCCAAGACCCTGCAACCCACAACTTCCACCGTCCCTTATGGTGAGGCTAATCGGGAGAGGTGTGGTCCCTTGGGAGATGTGGGTTGGATCTGGAGGCCGTCTCCTGTCCCAAAGGCCAGAAGAGAAACTAACCGGCAGGTCACCAAGCGGAGGGAGGATTTCATGCCTAGAGAAACCGAGGGGACAATATTTAACCGTTATGGAAGCCTGGACAGAGGTTTCCACTGCTCTCCAAAGCTCCTAATTTCTCCCCTGCTCAGTCCACTCAATGAATTTCTCCACTTGGAAGACTGTGTTGATCGTCCAAAGCGATCCTTGGCTCAGCATTGCTTCCGTTCCACGTAGAGATGGACCCTCTGAAACTTTATCCACTCCGCTCCCCACCGATTTCAGCCCAAACTCTTTCAAATAAGGCATCCACCCTCTTCCCTCTCCTGGCTGTCAGTTTTGTCCACCTTCCAATTCCCCGTTGCTGGTTGGGGAGTTCTGGGAGTCGAAGACGTTGCCAAGGTTGAGAAACAGCGAAATAAGGGTTTGCCATGAGGACGAGCGTCTTTTCACGGGGCGGGAAGTTTTTCTCTTTCCTCAGATGCTGATCAATCTCTCCCTTCTCCCCTTCTAGGTCCTTTCCCATGCAAAGCCATCACCAAAGTCCTGTGGCAGAACTGCGACTCGGGGTACGTTGCATTTGTCTGAGTTGGTTCCCCCTCAGCTTTTCTCCTCTCCCGTCTCCAATCTTCGCTTTCCTTTCTCATAGAATGGCATTTCGCCTACAGGCAGTCCTTGACTTACGAATGGTCCCTTAGCGACCGTTCGAAGTTACAATGGGCCTTCCTTGGGGCTACTTATGATCTGGATTCTGATCTGGATTCTGATAGTCATCCCCTCCTCACCTCTGCCCAGCAACATGGCAGTTTTACGGTGTATGTGTGTATAACCAAAGAAGAGCCCTTCTGGTTTTCTGCAAAACTCTGCCGATGGCCAACCCTTGATTTGCTTAATGACCACGGTGTTCGCTCAACAACTTCTGAAAAAAATAGATCATAAAATCGGATTGATCATGTGACCAACCCATTTCATAACCGTCACAATTTAATGACCACGATGAGCAGGGTTTGCTATGGTTGTAAACTGAGGACCTGCCAGAAACCTACCAATGACTGCAGCCATCCTCGCAGGGTGGGTGCAGAACAAGGAACCGTTGCACCCCTGAATGACTCATCTCTGCTTCCTTGTCTTCTCCGAAGGGGCCACTTCATCATTTTCAGCGGGGGGATGCCCCGGGCCAGTTATGGAGACAGGCACTGTGTGACCATCCTGCAGGGCCAGACTTTGCTCACGCTGGACTTCACCTCGCGGGTGATTGACTTCTTCACGGTGGGCAGCACAGACGCAGAGGACGGTACGTAGAACGGCGGGCTGGGGAATTCTGGGAGTTGAAGTCCAGAGGTTCCTATCGTTCTTTGTCGAGAGCGTTTTGCAGGTTTCCCAAGTGAGACCACCTCGTCCTTCCCCCCGGCTCTTTTTCTCTCCTGGCTGTCCGTTTTGTCAAATTCCCCCCTTCCTCTGACCCAACCTGGTCTTTCTGCCCTGAAGCATCACTGAGAGGTGCTATTTTTATCTGGCGGTTCCAGAATTCGACAACCCAGCAGCCTTGGTGGTTCTGGTGGAAGAAGAGTTGGTGGTGATTGATCTGCAGACGCCGGGCTGGCCCACCATCCCCGCGCCCTACCTGGCCCCTCTCCACTCCTCGGCCATCACCTGTTCCTACCACATCTCCAACGTGCCCCTCAAGCTGTGGGAGAGAATCATCAGCGCCGGCGAGCAGCAGAGCCCTCGCCTTTCCTCGGTGGTGAGTTGGGAAAGTTCACATCCGGAGCCAAAAGGGTGGAAAGGAGCCTCTCTGCCAAACCCAGAGCTTGGGGGAGGAGGGGGCCTGTTTGGTTTTGGGGGGGGGAGTCAGAAGCAGCTAACCTTCCCGCTCCATCTTCTGCGTGGAGGATTTTCCACGTAGCCGTCTTAAGGTTTTGCGATGCGTGCACCCCATGGACGTAAACCAAAGCAAGCTCTGTGTGTGTGTTTGTGTCCTAAACAGCCTTGGCCCATCGATGGAGGGCGGCCCCTGGCTCAGGAACCCACCCAGAGGGGGCTGCTCTTGACCGGGTAAGTGGTCATCCCCGTGGTTGCTACCTGCCGAAGGTCCCTTGCGGTCTTGAGGTCTTGGCCAGATGGCCGGGATGCCAGCAAAGCCCTTGAGGGTTTGGGGGGACCATTGTTACGGGGTGAAGGCAAAACTTCGGGGGGCAGTTTTTGTGTCAGGGAAGGCCTGCGATGGAAGGAGGGCCCAAAGTCCTGAGGGAATCCTAGAGACGGGAGAGAAAGAGCTGCCTGGGCTCTTTCAGATAGGCCTCAATTTACAGCAGTTTGTTTAGTGACCGTTTGAAGTTACAACGGCACTGAAAAAGAGACTTACGACCATTTTTCACACTTATGACCATTGCTCCATCCCCATGGTCACGGGATTTACACTCGGATGCTTGACAAGCGGTTTGTATTTATGACTGTTCTGGGCCATGTGATCCCCTTTTGCGACCTTCCGATGAGCAAAGTCAACGGGGAAGCCAGATTCATTTAACGACCGTGGGACTTGCTTAACAACTGCGGTGATTCACTCAACAAACATGGCAAGGAAAAGTCGTCCAATGGGGCAAAACTCACTTAACAAATTTCTCACTTAGCAACATAAATTTTGGGCTCAATTCTGGTCATAAGTTGAGGACTACCTGAATAGTCCCACCGCATTTGGGAGGTGTCCGATGGAGAGTCTCTGAGTTGGCCAAGCCAGGAGAACGCCAAGTAGGAGACAATGGTGGTGGCTGACCGGGAGGAATGCTCCTTCCGAGTGGAGAAGTGGAGACGTTGCTGGCCACGAGCAAGGATTAAATTCCTCCTGCGAGTAATAAAAGGGCACGAAGATGCTCCAGCACCATTCCACTCCTGCCTCTCCTCTCCTCAGGCATGAAGATGGCACGGTGCGTTTCTGGGACGCTTCCGGAGTGTCCCTCAAGCCGCTGTTCAAGCTGGGCACGGCCAACATCTTCCAGATGGACTGTGAACACAACGACAGCTTGAATCAATCCTACGAGGAGGAATGGCCCCCCTTTCGGAAGGTGCTGGCAAACTCTGCGTTCGGTTGCTTCCCACTTGTGCGTGGGGAGGAGGGAAGCCCCCTGGATGTGAAGTCATTGGGTGTGGTGGATGGTTCAGCCCTGGGCAGGGATTTGGTTGAGTTCTCCAGATCTTGATGAAATCTACCACCAGTGGGATCCTGGGAGTTGTAGTTCGGCAGCATCTGGAGGCCCACCTTAGCCCAGAACATCTCAGTTGATCATGATGGCATCAGAAGGTCCATCTTTGGATTCTCTACACACAAGGAAGACCATATCCGTTTTCTGTGTGCAGAATCTGACTTTGTTTTCTTCTTCTACCTCCTTGGGGACAACCCACTACCTTCATCCAGGTTGGCTGCTTTGACCCTTACAGCGACGACCCCCGGCTGGGTGTCCAGAAAATTGCCTTATGCAAATATACAGCTAAGATGGTGGTTGCTGGCACAGCAGGGCAGGTAACAGTTGTGGTGCATCTGTTGGGGTTTCCTCCAAAATCCAGCCTTTTCTCTCCAGAAACCTATAGCATCTTCTTCACCGTCTTGTGTGCCATTAGTGGCCTTCTCCAGTCAGTTGGAGAAGACTTTGAAATAATAGAAGATAGAAATCACTGAACTGAGGTGGTAGTTGAAGTTCGGGAAAAGATGGAGAAGTTACTTGATGGGAGCTTTGTAGGTATTTGTAGGTGCAGGTACTATGAGAAGGTCTGTGATGCCTCAGAAATTAGGGACAAGAAGAGAGAACAATGGAGTTGCTTGAAGTATCGGCGATCACAGGGGTCATAGCCATTGAATCAGAGGGCTGAAAGAGACCTTGGAGGTCTTCCAGTCCAACCCCTTGCCCGAGGGAGGAATCCTAATCCTGGAAAGAGAACTTGAGTTGTGTCAACGTATGAATATAATTGTGTTCAGGATTACCAATCTTGGTCTACTCCAGGATGAATCGTGTCTAAGACTTATCTGGGGTTCTTCTCTCTTTGGCAGGTGCTGGTGATGGAGTTTAACGATGAGAAGTCCGAACACATGGTCAACATCGCTGTGGTGGACCTACTCCAAGACCGTGAAGGCTTCACGTGGAAGGGGCACGACCGGCTGCCCCCCAAGAACGGTGCCCTCTCCTTTGCCCCCGGCTTCCAGCCCAGCATCCTCCTGCAGTGCCTGCCCCCCGCAGCTGTCACAGCTGTCACCCTGCACTCAGAATGGAAATTGGTGGCCTTTGGAACCAGTCATGGCTTTGGCCTCTATGACTATTACCGCCGGAACCCCGTGCTGGCCAGGTAGAGAGACCTCTGCCGGGGACACATCTTTGTGACTCCAGAAAAGGAGTCGACACCCCATGGATTAGTGTTCGTAGTTGAAGGTCTGCTGATTGTGATGGTTGGTGATCCGATTGTTCCTTTTTGATAGGTGCACCCTGCACCCCAACGATTCTCTGGCAATGGAGGGCCCCCTCTCGCGGGTTAAGTCCCTGAAAAAGTCCCTGCGCCAGTCCTTCCGTAGGATCCGTAAGAGCCGCGTGTCGGGCAAGAAGAGAGTCACAGCCAGTAGCCCCTCAAGTAAGGTGAGCAGAGGGAGAAGGGGCGAGATGCTGGCTGGGGAATTCCGGGAGTTGAAGTCCACATATCCTAAAACCTGCTGAGCTTGAGAAACACTGGTCTGTAACTGTAGCTTAAAGAGATTTGTCTGAGTATCTGTTGTGGCCCAGCTTCTCTCCTCTACTATTCGGAGTTTCTCCATTTCACCTTCCTCATGAAGTTTTGGAGAAGGTGAAGTTAACTATTCCCCAACTTCTTCCCCCACTCCAAATTCCATGGAGGGAAGAGGGATGAAAAATCTCCTGTGTTCAACTGAAGGACAAGCCGTCCTTTGAAGGAAGAAGGAAATGGAGAAGGCTTGTCCATGGACGGAGAACTTGGTCTCCTGTCCTAGGGGTTGGCTGAGCACTTTTGAGGCTCTGCCGATAAGTTCCCTGGATCTGGGCCTTGCCTCACCTGCTTCTCCCACCCCACCAGGTACAGGAAGCAAACGCCCACCTCGCTGAGCAACCTGGTCCCCACGAGGTGGAGATGGCGCCTGTCCAGCGGCGGATCGAACCTCGCTCAGCAGACGATTCACTGTCTGGGGTTGTGCGTTGCCTCTACTTTGCGGATACCTTCCTCCGAGATGGTAAGGGAGGGACCCCGATGGAAGACAGTGACCCCAAAGGGAAAGTATCCTCCACCAAGTAGTTAGTGTACACGGAGGGAAACTTGGCCTAGTCACAGGGGTCTTGCTGGTTGTGAGTGATGGAAACTGTGGTGTATTGCTCCTAGAGGGGCTGGGAGAGGCTGGGGAGGGGGAACAGGCAGCCCCTCAGTTTCTCCTCTTGTCTCTCGGCAGCTGCACATCATGGACCCACCATGTGGGCCGGCACCAACTCGGGCTCGGTCTTTGCCTACGCCCTGGAGATCCCTTCCCAGGAGAAGTTTTCGGAGCGCTCGGTGGAGGCCGTCTTGGGCAAGGAGATCCAGCTCATGCACCGGGCCCCGGTGGTCTCGATTGCTGTCCTGGATGGCCGAGGGAACCCTCTGCCGGAACCCTACGAGGTCTCTCGGGACCTGGCCAAAGCCCCCGACATGCAGGGCAGCCACTCGGTGCTCATTGCTTCCGAAGAGCAGTTCAAGGTAATTCCGAGCAAGGCAGAGGAAGCCCTCTGGATGTTCTCGGTGGAGTCTCATCTCCTTGGGTGGCCCCGGCATCTCGGTAGCCATTCCGTGTTTTCTTACTGTTACGATAGAGCACAAAAGGGCCGCACGATCGGCTCATTCAGAGTCAGGACGGGAAGCGTTTCCCTCCCTCTGAACTGGCTTTCTGCCACAGGAAGTCCTTGACTTACAAACACAGTTGGGACCAGAATTTCCGTTGCTAAGCAAGGCAGTTGTTAAGCGAGTCACACCTGATTTTATGACTTTTTTCACCATGGATGTTAAGCAAATCTCTGCACTCATTAAGTGGATGACATGGTCATTAAACAAATCCAGCTTTCCCTATTGACTTGGCTTATCCAAAGAGAGCTGGGAAAGTTTCAAATGGCCATCACGTGACCCTAGTACATGCCAGTTGCCCAGCATCCAAATTTTGATCCTGTGGCCGTGGGGATGCCGCTACAGTCATTGGTCACTTTTCTCAGTGCTGTTGTAACTTCGAGCGGTCACTAAACAAATCGTTGTAGGTCAAGGACTGCCGGTATCCTAGAATCATTTCCTTCTTGGCTGAACTGATTGTCCAGATCAATGCGGCCACTGGTCATCGTGGCCAGCCTCTTGAGAAGAAGAAACTTAAATCCGTCCTCCTCCTCCTTCCCCCGACTTGCAGGTCTTCACCCTCCCCAAGGTCAGCGCCAAAACCAAGTTCAAGCTGACCGCCCACGAAGGTTGCCGCGTCCGAAAAGTGGGCTTGGTGAGTTTTGCCAGCGCCACGTGCGATGACTATTCAGAGAACGGGCTGGCCTGCCTGACCAACCTGGGCGACCTCCACGTCTTCACGGTGCCCAGCCTGAGGCCGCAGGTCCACTACGACTGCATCCGGAAGGAGGACATCAGCGGCATCGCCTCCTGCGTCTTCACCAAGTACGGCCAAGGTGAGCGAGGGGCGGCAGGTGCCCTGGGGGCAGGTGGGATGAACGCCCGAAGGCCTCCGAGGCACCCTGGCACAGCCCTTCAGCTGAAACGGGATGGTCTTGTGGGTCGCATTGAAAATACCTGAAATGATGGGGAGAGCAAGAGGGAGATGCAATGAGAATTGACGATGGCCCATTGGGGAGACACTCCCGCTGCAGATCGTTCAGAGGTGAAAATCTCTACCTCCAGATGTGGTGGTGGGTTAAAGCTTATTTATTGATCTGATTTCTTCACTTACTGTAAGTGGTTGGCAAATGACATAGTAAAGCAAGATAGAAACATGACTTAAAGGCACAGGTAAAACCCAAATGACGAAGAAGGCTAAATTTTACAAGGTAAAAAGTAAGAATGAAAGTTACAAAACTAAAGGGTTGAATTAAAAAGCCCCACAAGGCTCAAAGATGAACAAGGCAGTCCTCTTGAGATGATGGCCGTTGTTGAATGAGGACCAGATGGGCTGAAGATGGGAGAGAAGTTAAACAGCAGCTAAACTGAGCCTCCTTGGCTGGAAGAAGTTTATCTTGAAGGATCAGGGGCTGCCAGATGCAGAGTGGGTGAGGGTGGGGTCCTTCCCAGACTCTGTTTTTGCGTTGCTGTGAATATTTGGGGGCACAGAGGCCTGCAAGCAGATCTCTTTTTATGTCCCTTTTGCAGGCTTCTATTTGATCTCTCCGTCAGAATTCGAACGCTTCTCCTTGAGCACTAGGAACATCACCGAGCCACTGTGTGTGCTGGAGACGAGCCGCACCCACGACAGCCTTTCTCCAGGGTGAGGGAACCCCCTTGGCAGCGCTGTGGCTTTGCAAGTCCAGCTGAGCCTCGCGGGGGCAGGGGAGGGGGCCACGAAGAATCTCTGCCAAGGCGAAAGGCTGGCAAAGTTAAACCCAAAAGGATGTACAGCTGGCTTCCTTGAAACCCGACCCATATTTTTCACTATTCGTGAGGCAGAGAGGGGCTCACGAGCAGGTGGTATCCCCAAAACAACTTTTATTGTTGTTTATTAAAGTTATTAAATGCAAATAACTAAACTCAAAGAAATAGCGCTAGTAGATTGTTGTGCTTCAAAGTCAACCTAAGGGGATGATACACAAGTTGTAACTGGATGCATTTTGTGGAAGATTGAAAAAAAAAAACCCCAGATGGGATGGGACTTGATGTACCACCTGTCCCACTTTGTGATGGCTGTAGTCTGCACCCGGAGGGCTATTCTGCTGGATGTGGGGTGGGAGCCATCCAGGTTAGGACCCTAAAGCGGGGAGAGGTTTAAAGCCTGCCGTGTCCCACTTCACAGCTTAAAGCGGAGCACTTCACAAGGGAGTGGTCCAAAAAGCGGAATGGTGGCCGTGATGCAGTGATCACAGCCCTGCCTGCTTTGTTACGTGCGTCACATTACGGGGAATGCATTTCATAGCTGCCGTGTGCTTAAGATATTTGATGTATCAAGAGGCCGTCCTATTTATTTATGGTGTTTATTTTGACCCTGGAATGGAGACTGAAGCGGGAGGCGGCGTATAAGAGAGGCCTGGGGTAGCAAATGGCAATTTATGTGCCGTTTCCTTTTTTTTACAGAAATAACTTCACAGCGACACCAAAACTAAACCAGGCCAACGGGACGCATGTTTTACAAGGATCAGAGGCTAATCATTCCCCTGCAAGCAACGATCGTAAGGAAAACTCCTTTGCAGATAGTTGGGCAGACTGGCAAGTCATCCAATGTATGACGGCCATGGCAATGGGGTGCAAGTTGTTTGCAGGACTCTCTGTCTGTGTGTCACTCTGAATAGTTTGGCATGTTTTAAAGATAAGCTCAGGAAGTCTTGAAGGAAATTCCAGGGGGAAATTCCTTGATAAAGTAAAAGGGGTTTGTTTTTCCTTCCCTCTGTCTTGGAAAAATCCTGTGGTTTGCAGAAAGTTTTGAGGGAAGTTTTATAACGGATCCAGTCACAAAGAGTGAAGCGTTTTAAAGACAAGAGAAGGTTAAATTTGAATTCTGGAGGTTTATGGGAATATTGCAAACGTCTGCTTTTCTACTTTCAGGGTCCCCCGAAGACCACCCAGGATTGTTTGCCTCAACGCCAGTTGACTCCCCCGACAGCAGCATCGACACCCCCTTAAATACCACTGGAGATATTACAGTCGAAGAAGTGAAGGATTACTTGACGTGAGTCTCTGTCCTTTGGTAGCAACCTGGACGTAAAAACATGCCTGCGGCCTCTGCAGAAGCCCACCTAATCTGGGGGCAACATTTACAGAATAACAGAGTTGGAAGGGACCTTGGAGGTCTTCTAGTCCAACCCTTGCTCAGGCAGATTGGTTATCCTTAAAAACTTCCAGTGTTGGAGCACCCACAACTTCTGGAGGCAAGTTGTTCCACTGGTTAATTGTTCTCACCGACAGGAAATTTCTCCTTAATTCCAGGTTGCTTCTCTCCTTGGTTAGTTTCCATCTGTTGCTTAATCCTAACCCTAACCCTGGTCCTTCTCTTCACTAGACTAGCCAGGCCCAGTTCCTGCAACCCGTTCATCGTATGTTTTAGCCTCCAGTCCCCTCATCATCCTGGTTGCTCTTCTCTGCACTCTTTCCAGAGTCTCCACATCTTTTTTACATTGTGAAGACCAAAACTGGATGCAAGATTCCAATTGTGGTCTCTTATCAAGGCGTTATAAAGATGACTTCACGTGATCTTGATTCAGTCCCTCTGTTAATGCAACCTAGGCCTGTCCTGGCTTTGTCTGAATGCCCCTTGGAAGTGGGGTTCTGCTTTTGCCTGGCACGTCTTGATTCCCTTTCTCGTTCCAGGCCCTCCGAGGAAGCCGAGAGGAATCTGCGGAACATCAATGAGGAGGAGGCCAGATCTCCAGGGATCCTCATTAAATGAGGCACGTCCAGGGAAAACGGTGGCTCCTTTTTTTAAAACAAGGGAGAGGCACAGCTAGTTCTCAGGACCGTCGGGGCAGATTCTGAGCTAGGGCAGAAGGCACTGGGGCAGCCCAGGCTGGGAGGCCAGACAGGAGTGTCTCTTGCAGCCGAACAAACATTGCAGAAAAGAAAGGACCTCCCTTTTACAGGTAGTCCTCCACTTACAATGGTTTATTTAGTGACCGTTCGAAGTTACAGCATTGCTGAAAAAAATGACTTAGGTCGTTTTTCACACGACCGTCGCAGCCTCCCCCTGGTCACGTGATCAAAATTCGGAAACTTGGCAACTGGCATGTACTTATGATGGTTGCCTTGTCCCGAGGTCACCTTTTGAGGCCTTCTGATGAGCAAAGTCAACGGGGAAGCCAGATTCGCTTTAGCAACCGTGGCAAGAAAGCTTGCAAAATGGGGCAAAACTTGCTTAAAAAATGCCTTGCTTAGCGATGGGAGTTTGGGGCTCAGTTGTGGTCATAAGTCGAGGACAACCTGTGTTGCCACGTGGAATAAGATAGGGAAACAAATAAAAGGCCCGTGTCCTTCTCCAGGGCAGCCGGAAAGGGAAGAGAAACGATGGAGAGAGGGCGGAGGTTGGCTCGAGAGAGAGACTCGCACTGGGTGCTCTATCCAACCGGTTTTAAGGTGGGATCGTTTCCTTTGCAGGGACCCTGCACCGTCCTACGCGATGCTTGGAGCTTCGGGACCGAGACTTCCCACTGTTTTGGCCACCAACCATTGGTCCTACCTCTCCAGAGGACTCCAGACTCTTCCCTGCGTATTTTTTTACAAGGACAAAAAGAGTTGTGGTCTTTTTCTAACACGTGGCCCGGAAGCGGACAGGCGGCATCTCTTCCTGGGTACCTCTCCAAGTTTGCATTTTTGATAGATTATAAATATATATATATGTAAAAAAAAGGAAAAGAGAAAAAAAAGAACCAGAAAAATGTGCCAATGTCCTGGAGGAACCACTTTGGGAGCATCTGCTCTTCCATTGCACAGAGACTTTTGGGGGCTTTAATAAGCATTTTCTTTTGAAAACAAAGCCACTAGGAGGAGGAGGAGGACCAGGCTGAGGACTCCCCCCCCCAAACTAAGAAAGCGATCGTGATCTTTTGGCCCAGCGGGTCCTCTGATGGGAGAAAGGAGCTTTCGATGGGCAGAAGACGGAGGGAGGGATTTTGCTGCCATGCAACGCTGGACAGTTCCTCCATCTGCCTTTTGGTGTACGTGGGAATGGCTGCCAAGGCTCAGATTGTCCTGATCTTGCTTGAAACATCCTCTTCAGAACCCTCCGCTGTTTCTGGGCTGAACTCCCTGAGAAAAGTTGTACTGGATGCAATGACAAATTAAGTATTTTCTGCTCACTGGTGGGAACTTTGAGGCCAAGAACAGATTTGAAGAAAGAGTTTTTGTGATACTAATGGAAGCCAACCTTCCTTCTCCTCCACCATCATTCCTTCTCCTTCTCTACCATCATTCCTTCTCTTTCACCATCATTCCTCCTCCTCCCCTCCCTCCCTCCCTCCCTCCCTCTTAATTTGAAGGGAACGGTTAAAGACTTTTTCTTTCTTTCTTCATTTCTTCGTTACACAAGATTTCTAATTGGGAGTATTTTTCCAAGCACAAAGCAGATTTTGTGAAATAGGAAGCCACAGAGCTGCTGCAAGAAAATTATAGCAGTCCAAGAAAACCCTGTGCAAGAAATACTATCGTATATTTCTGATATTGTTCACTTTTCCTTCCTCCCATGTTATTTGAACGTTCAGAACGAGGGGTGAGAAAATCTGAGTCCTTCTATTCACTTTCCTCCCCAGGAATTTGATGTGTAAACAGGAGTGATCCTCTCCTCCTCCTTAGCTGCCTGTGGGCCCGATTTGACTTTAAACAGTTTTGTAGATTTGGGGTTAATTAGCAATGCCAAAGTAGCTTCCTCTTTCCTTTCTGAAATTCCAATTCCCTGGGATTTCTTTTTTGTCTCGGGGAGGGAAAATCAGTTGGGCTTGGTAACAGAGTTGATGTACGTCTCTTAATCCCAGGAGATGATATGATGGGTAAATAAGTTCGGCTTATGTTTCTGTGCTTTTTCCCCCCCCTTTGACTTTCAACCTGAGAAGGGAGTCCCCGAGTCTAGGAAGCAAAGAGGTTTTGCTGAGCTTAAGACGGGATTTTGGTCTGGTCTGGATGCACTGAAGAATACAGGGTCTCCATTGAATGCAGGAAGCATGGTGGGCTTGTCTTCTCTTTATTTGGCCAATTCTTACGGATATCGGGGTACCTCTGAGCTGCCTGGTCAGTTGCCACCCACCGGTCGCCCCCAGTTTCCCTCACCTCCCACATTAGAAATCCCAGCTTCGGCTGTTCTGCTGAATTTGGCTGAGCCAGCTCGAGTTTTGCCTGATGATCCCACTCTCTGCAGTGGCTGCCGACCCTTGGCAGTCCAAGGCACGCTGCATGCCACCACAAAGATCCTTAGGGGATTTTTTTGGGGGGGTGGGTGTCTTTCCTGCCTTACAAACCTCTTGCTGGGATTTTTTGCAAGCCGCAGACGGACTCTCCAAGAATGAGCTGCGTGTGCCACTCCGCAAAAGCCGTGGCAAGGTGTTTTTGTGCACGTTGCTGAGATCTCGCCTCAAGAACGGGGCTTCAGCCCACCCTTCTCCCACCGCTGTCCGGCATCCTGGACCCTTTTCTCTGGGGCGGAGGTGGGATTCTCTTCTGCTTCACCTCCATGTTTCCCTGTTGAGGTGGGAAAACTTCTTGTGCCAAAAAGGCAAGCAGGACCTCCAGCTCCGTTTTCTGCTGGGAAGGATTCCTTTTTCTCACGGCTGTTTTTGTGCCAAGAAAACTCCCCTGGAGAGTTGATAAAGATGGGGGTGGGGAGCTAAGAAGTGGGGCTGAACCCTTAAAAATAAATCCCCCCTTTTCGTTGTACGTGAGAATTGGGCTCCCCAGGAAGGGCCTTTGCAAGTCCTCTTGGGTGGAAAAGGTACGATCCGATCCTTGGTGTGTGTGTGTGAGTGTGAGTGAGTGCCTGATGGGTGTCTGGACGTGTGTGCCATTGTGAGTCTCTTTTTGTGGTAGCCACTGAGGGAGGGTGGGCTAGTCTCCTTGTAGAATGTCCTCTTTGGATTCCCCCCCCTTTTTTTTTTTTGGTCCAGAGAATGGATTTAGCATTGTTTAGTAATTAATGCAGGTTTTTAATAAAGGAAGAATAAAGCATTTACTATCTAAAGCAGCCTCTCTGTGTAGTTTCTCTTTGCAGGAGGAGGAGGCAGAGAAAGTACGGCTTGTAACTATCAAAATAGGGACGTTTTCCTACTACCAGCCAAGGGGAGTAAAAATGCTGTTTATAGCAGGGGTCTCCAACCTTGGCTACTTTAAGCCTGGCGGACTTCAACTCCCAGAATTCCCCAGCCACCTGGCTGGGGAATTCTGGGAGTTGGAGTCCGCCAGGCTTAAAGTGGCCAGGTTGGAGACCCCTGGTTTTTTTTTTTTTTTTAAATTTGATTTATATGCCGCCCTTCTCCGGAGACTCAGGGCGGCTTACAATGCGTTAAGCAATAGCCTTCATTCTTTTGTATGTTTTATACAAAGTCAGCTTATTGCCCCCACAAACTGGGTCCTCATTTCACCTACCTTAGAAAGGATGGAAGGCTGAGTCAACCTTGAGCCTGGCAAGATTCGAACTTGCAGTAATTGCAGGCAGCTGGTGTTAATTACAGGGTGCTTTAAACCACTGTACTACCAAGGCTCTGGTTTATAGGACTGGCACCCAAGAGGGGAGGAAAAATGGTGGGAGCGAACCAGGATTTGCTTTAGCTGTCCGAACAGAAGGAGGCCACGGCAGCTGACAAAACACCCATCTTTGCAATCTTTATTGAGACCTTAAAAAGGAAGCTTGTGAAGCCCTGGGACGGATGCCCCCTTCGCTGTGTTTGCGCCAGGCCAGACGCAACCCTGCCCTTTGAACTCCTGCCTGCTGCTGTAGCTGTTTGGCGTTAGGATGCCCACCATTGTCTGCCTTTGGCCATGCGTTCTGCAGATGGTAGCAACTGCTGCAGATGTTTGGCGGGCACCAAGCTGACACTTGGCTGGGTTTAAAGCGGGCGCCACCTCTCCTGCTTTTTACGAGTTCTTCCCGGTGTTTCTTTTCGTGGCTTGATTCCCACCCTTTCCAAAATGTGGGTGGTATCTAGGAAGGAACGGGGCCACCGCCACTGCCTGCATGGCAGAAAGTGGGCAAGAGAACTGCTTTTCAAAACCGCCTCCTGAGGACTAGGAGCAAGCAGGACACCACTTCTTTGTGTGATCAAGCTTGGTGGTTTTTTTTTTAAAAAAAAAAAACTGTGTAATTCAGTGCAAAAAGAAGAAGGAAGAACAGGCATTTCAAGCGGAAGGCAATAAAAGAGAGTTGTGCTTTTTAGTAGGTGTAAAAAAAAACCCAAAAACAGAACTTTAGCCAGGTGGCTGGCCACCTGCTGACATCCTTCCTTCTCGGGGATGGAAGATGGGGGGAATCTTATGTTCGCTTTGCAGATCAAGGGCCTCCCTCCGCCCCCTAAACCTCTCTGCTTCCGCTCCAAACTTAATTCAAAAATCTCTTTGCAAGCCTTTGCTAGAGACCCCCAAGCAGGGAGACCCTCCTGGGTCTCAGCCTGGCCTGCACAAATTTGCTGCTCCTGAGCGGGGGTGGGGATGGGGGCTCCAGAGACCATCTGGGGGCAACAAAGGGGGGGGGTTTGATGGGGAGGAAAATCAAGATTTCTCCTCTGTAACAATGGCTGAGAGCGCCATGGGCCCTGAATGACTCGGGGAGGAAGCCGTCAAAGGAGATTTGACTGGCATTGGGAATGGGGAAGCAGGAGGGGGGTTTTGGGGGTGGGTGGGAGGGGGCAATTCGGCTCCCCCACCTCTCTCTGAGTAACCTTTTCTCCAATCCGCGGCTCGAAGAGAAGCGCGTTGCAGTGAAGGGCGGGGATGGTCCGCCCAGCGCTGGCACAAGACTACAAAGTCCATCCTTTGGGGAACCCCCTGGGGGCCACTGCGGGTGGCAGGAGAGGTCTGAGGTTTGGCGCCTGGTGCCGCTGTTAAGCTGGCGGCTTCCGGAAAACGCTCCAGGCGTGGAAGCAGCGGGTGAAGGGAAGTGGCTCGTTGCCTTTCCGCACCAGACGAAGCTTCCGGGGCCGGCTGGCATCTTTGGATCGCATGTGCTGGATGTAGACCTGAGGAAGGAGGGAAAGCGGTTCAAGCCCCAGCAAATGAAAAATGTACCCTAAAAATATTCAAAACTTGACCTATAATAACAACCTGTAGGCCGCTTCTTGAATTCCTCAAACCATCCAAAGTCGAACCACTTCCACTTACAACACCTCATTTAGTGACCGTTCCAAGTTGCCATGGCAACTTTCATGTGATGAAAGTTCAGACGCTTGGCAACTGACTCATATTTAGGATGGTCTGTGTCCCTAAGTGAACGGTCGTAAGTGGAGGTCTGCCTGTGCATCTTGATGCCGTTGGAGGGGAGAAGGCCAAGAGACGGGAGGTCTTTCCTCCCCCGCCAGCAAAACCCGGCTGAAGCCAAAGCAGGAGGTGAACACGGACCCTCCTTCGGTGTCCACCATGAATGGCCAGCAAGACTTCTGGGTCATTACCTGGCAAGCTTTGAGGCTCAACTTGATCTCAACCTGGCTGGTCTGTGTCCCCACCCACATGTAGACCTGGAAAAGAAGAAGGAGAAGGAGAAGAGGTGACTGGGCGGGGTCTTCTCCAGAGGAGACCACAGCAGACGTCGCCTTCTGGTTCCCACCACTTCGCAAACCATCCGTCCACTCCAGGCCACAGCCGGCCAAAGGTCCCATCCGGTTCCTGCCCCAGACTGACCTCGCAGCCGTTGTCCAGCAACATGATGTCATCATCAGCCAGGTCATCCTGGCAGAAATCGGAGCATTTTTCGGACACCGCGAAGTAGCCCTTCTCGTTGGAGCACCTGGTGGGCGAGGACAAAGCCAGGAAAAAGTCTTAAGAAACAGCTCAGAGCAGAAGGAAGAAGGCCCCCCCCTCTCTCCCTCCCAGGAGGAAATCCAGTCTCCCTTTGGGACCTTCTTGGATTCTGCTACAGATTGGAGGGCTTGCTGGATGACAACGAATTTGGAAAAAAGCACAGCTCCTTCTCTGGCCTGTTGCTCTCCGGAAATTTATTTTTATTTACTTATTAAATTTATATGCTGCCCATCTCACCAGCAAAGTGACTCTGGGCAGTTTATAAACAATAAAAGGATTAATATAAAACAAATAAAATTAAGAAAAGCTACATGAAGGGAGGGTGGGTTTTGGCTCCAGCCAAGGAATTAAGGGAGCCCTTTTGGGGAAGAAGGGATCCACCCGAGGGGACCCAGCGGCCCACCTGAAAAGACGGGAGAAGTTCATGTATTCGGCATCTCCATCGTAAGGCTTCTGGGCTCCAATCCCGACCCAAAAGAAATTCTCCGGTTCTTCTCCCTCGTTGATCACCTGCAAACCAAGGAGGAAAGGAGAAGGGAGGGGAGGGGAAGTGGGAAAGATTTGCTTGTGGGTTTCCCCACCCAGATTGTCTTCACCTATGGGGTCATTGGTGCACTTGGAGCTTGCTTGTTTTCTTGGAGATGTTTCATGACCCAAATAGGTAACATCAAAATCCCCACTCCCTCCTAACACTGATGATGTTACCTAGTTGGGTAGTAAAATGTCTGCAAGAAAACAAGCAAGCTCAGAGAGCACCAAGGACCCCACGGTTTAACCCTGAGCTGCAAACATTCTCTTCAATTTGTTCTCTTTACCTGTTTACTGTACGAGTCGTCAAACATGTGGTTCATGATATCTTCGGCCAGCTTGGCTTCATCGGGGTTGGCAGCTCGGCCCACCCAGGTGTACACGATGCCCTGATTGTCGGAACTCTCGAAGGGAACCTGGAAGGAGAATTCTGGGAGTTGAAGTCCACAAGTCTTAAAGTTGCAAAGGTTGGACATCCTTGGGTTAGAGGTCAGCCTTCTCCTGGCTGGCTCTCACCGGATGTGTTCAGGCGACATGAATTCAGAGGCAGCATGGCCAGTGGTGGTACGAAAGTGTTCGCATTCTGGGGGCATCGATTTTGGGGGATCGGTGCCCCAGAAAGAGGCCTTGAATTCCAACGGCCATGCTGTATTTCACAAAAATCCATCAGATTTTTTTTTAAAAAAGGAAGTAACTGTTCAGTTTTCACCCATTGGTGGCTTAGATTACCTTTAAAATGAAGCAGAATTCAGAGTTCAGAAGGCCGGAGTCCGTATTGATCTGGATACACCTGGAGAGGAAGGTGGGGAGACCATCAGCCCCCACAGGGACAAAGGGAAAGAACCACAGGTACCTTCCCATGTCTAGGTGAGTCAATAGGTTGATTTGAATTTGGACTGCCACATGGCCAAAGAAAAGTGACCAACGAAATTGATTTTGTTCACAAAGAAGGAGCAGGAACGTCAAGGAAGCCAGCATTGGTCAAAGGCTAGATGTCTCCCGAAGATAACAAATCTGGTGTTTGACTCCAGAACAAACCATCTCTGGAGGGTCTCCAGATGGTGGGAGGAGCTCAGGTTTAGCAGAGACTGGCCAACCTTCTTTTAGAAATGCTCAAATTGCATTTTAGGTGACAGCTCTCCAACTCTGGGTTCCAAGATCCAAACACTTGTGTAAACCCAGTTGGCAGATCCCAAAATGCAAGGAGAGCAGAAATGGGAGAACTTCTCCCAGGTTCCAGCAGGACTTCAATCCCCTCTTGAGGCTTCGAAGGGTCTCAGCAAGTCCAGAGGTCCAAGGCCTCCACCCTGCCCACAGGGAATGGAGCTCCTCACCGGGTACAGAGCGCGCTGCCGTTGGTGCGGATGTGGTAGAGGCTGGGCTGGAGGTTGTCGTCCCTGGCTTTCCTCTTCCCCTTGTGGACGATGAATTTCCTCTTGAAGTGGGAGAGGAACTTGGGGTTCTCCTGCTGCTGCGTCATGCGCACAACCTGGGGGATTTGGGGAGGGGGCGTTCAGAAATCTCAGCCATACTTGGAATGTGGGGCCTGGCTGTGGGGCCTTGACTGCCACTTGCAAATGGCCAAGGAGGAAATGGGAAGAAGGAACAGGACACGCACACACAACTCCCTTGGAGAAGCAAAAGGATCCTGAGCAGTATTGAAACCATATATATATATATATTTTAAGAATGTTCCTTTCCAGG